ACAATGGTCCCAGAAAAGGCTGTAAATATATCAATGGAACAAAATATATAATCTGACAATAGGTTGGAGCCGACATCATTTTTGTTACATTGGCCTGTCTAGCTCCCAGACCTCCCACGCACATGTACATTGTATGTTCTTGAAACTCAATGGTTCTTGAGTCTGGATTGCTGAACGGTATTATACAAATAATGAATGTTTGTGAGTGCAATGGTAAGAATAATTTCATGAGGTGGCAGATGAAATGTTCCATTCCACAAGGCGAAGCCGAGTGGAATGGAACATTTCATCTGTCACCGAATGAAATTATTCTTTCTATTGCACGAACGTGAAACATTCATTATTTGTTTTATATAACAACTGAATAAATCCTCGTCATCTGATTGGATGACTTTTAATAGCCAATTTATTCAAGTTAAAATTGTTGACAAGTTTGACAAGTTCAGAGTTATCATATTTAATTTATGCAAACTGTTCAACAGGTTGAGAACTATCATATTCAATTTATCTCAATTTGAAACTTTTCCATAAGTTTAGAACTAAAACAGTTCAATAAGTTCAGAACTTTTATTGCCAATTTAAACACCACAGCACCACCTTCGGCAACATGTGCAGTGACAGTGCAATGATACTTCTAATCACAGTGCAATAGTACATGTACTTCCATTTCACTGTGCGCTGCGCGCCACGCGCGCGCCATGCGTTGGTACGAATAATTCAATGACATGTGATCAACGATCCACCAATCAGATGACGGGGATTTATTCAGGTGTTGTATAACATCACATATAGTCACCGATGAAAACTGGTCTGCAAATAAAAAAGATGTTTTCATCGGATGATGTGGGTACACATAATCCCGCCCATGCCTACATGTACACGTGTATGATGACATGGTCATTTTTGAAAATGAGTGCTGCTACCTCAGATTCGGCTACAAATACTAATTAATTTTGTGCATCTTGTATTGTCTCTTGAAAGTTGTTCTATAAGACAACAGAAGTGGGGAAAAGCAGAACTTAATTTCTGATTGATTCACCAAATAAGTCAAAGTGGCCAAACTGCTAATCAAATTTGACAACAGATTCCTAAAATAAGTCAATGGATAAAATCTGGGCCCAATTTCATAGCGCTGCTTAACAGCCGACTTTGTGCTTATCGAGCCTCCATCTATTTCATAGGGACTGTTAAGCAGTATACACAGCAAAACCACGCTTAACCCCAGAAGAAAACTTTGCTTAAATCAGTGACGTAACAATAGAATCTCCATGCGCGCGCAACCGTTAGCACGTTCACGGCATGAAATAGTGCTTAAGCAGTAGCATGATTTTCTGCTATAGTAAGCACAACTTTTCTGCTTACTGTTAAGCAGTGCTATGAAATTGGGCCCAGTACAGTGGTGAGAAACAGCACTAAATATTTTGGCCCGATGCAATGTGTGGGCTGTCATCAAAATACACAAGTAGGTGTCAGCATAGACATGGAGATGCGATAAGGAGATACAGCACAGCTGTAACGGTCGACACAACGATAATGCATGTGCATATTTACACGAACAAGTAACCACGATGTATCAGTAATTTATCATGGCGTTCCGTTTCTGTCAGCTGATATGTAATTTGTGAAGCTGGTGCACATGTCTAGTACCGGTAAGTCATTTTTGAGAACTATTGATGTGTTTCTTGGAAGTTGTCATAAAATTCCGAATTTCAGTAATACCCTTTCAGGCCAATTTGTTTTGTCAAGGATTTGTGATGTGACATTTAAAGCTATATGGCTTTGACCAGAAATTTGGACTATTAAATTTTTGTGATTTTGTTGCCAAGTGTTTCTGGTAATTTGATAGTTAGAATCTCTGGAGGCCCCCCCCCCCCCCCTTATTCGTTTTAGCTTCAGGAAGCACAATATTGAAGTAGTACACGTGTTCCATGGCATATTGCTGCCATGTTTTCTGCCCTTGTGCTAAATGGTTATCTTGATTCTTCCTCGGTTTGTCTCATACACAGATGCTACAGTACCGGTACATTAAGAATTGTACCTGTGGTTTAGATGAACATTTACAATGTACATGACATGTACCGGCATTTTTCAATTAGCAACACTTGCATGCATACTCTGCACCGCAAGGGAATAATTTATAATTGATGCGTGTGCACATTTGCTCTCCTGGGGCCAATTTCATAGAGCTGCTTTAGCACAAAATTTGCTTAAGCACAAAAACGTCTTGCTTAATAAAATCAGGTTACCGGCCAAAACTCCATGCGATTGTTGTGCTAAGTAAACAACAGCTAAATACCAGTCACAAGCAATGTACGTACATCACATGGAGTTTTGGCCGGTAACCTAACTTTACTAAGCAATGTTTTTCCGTGCTTAAGCAAATTTGCTGCTTAAAGGGAATATACAACATTTGCAAACATCGAAAAATAAAAGTACCAAGTTTTTGCGAAATACCTTAATAGGATGTTGGTAAATGACAGTCTAAAGCATCCTGTAAAATTATGGCACCTGGTATACTGTCATTTTCAAGAAAAGTGGTATTTTTGTATCAATTTCCAACGCTGATCGGCCGATCAGCGTTGGAAACAACTGGCTTTTTTTTCAAATACTGGACCCAATTGACCATTGCACTTGTTTGCAATCGATTACAAACCTATGAACGGGTACGAGCCAGCTAGACTGGTTCCCCGACCTTACAATTCCCCACTGTATGTAAACTGCTCTGTTTCTTCTTATATAGAGTCAGGGAACCAGACTACAGGAAAATGATCGTTTTTCTTGGTTTTTATAGCATTTTCGAACCCAAAACCTCCAAAAAGTCAGTGTAACTATATTTGCTATATATTTCTAACCCCCCAATTCCATCCATTTCTGAAAATTACAGCAAAAGCAAATGATGTATATTCCCTTTAAGCAGCTCTATGAAATTGGGCCCAGGCCACATCATAGCCATGACCGTGCTCAGACTGATTGTCAGTGTCACATGTGAGCTGGGCAGTGCTGTCGTATAGGTATCGGATAAAATTTTGCACTCTGCGACAGTCTTAATTAAAGACTGGTACATACCGGGTACTTCATGTGAATGAGAATGTGAATCGAAGTTGAATTCACAAAACATTCGCTGCGAAAATCACCGGAGTTGAAATGTCATGTGTTAGACAATTACGAATTTGCAGCTAGCATAGACTTGATACGTGACATCACAATTTCGTGTTCGCGTTCGCTTTCGCGCCGAGTACAAACCAGCCTTTACAAGGCTTGCCTAGTCTTGTTAGTAATCGCACAAATTACGAGGTGATGATACAGTTTTATACCTGAACAAATGCAAATTGGGGGGAAAAAAACACTTACCTGGATTTGTATCCAGGTCACTGGGAGTGTGTCAATTCGTATTCATTTGTCTCAATTTACTGGGGCTGCATTCACATCAGTCTTATAAGCTCCTCCCAAGTGCATTTTACATCTGTCAACATGTTTCCTTCTGTTGTTGGTGTTTTTTTTTCTTCCGTTCTCCTTTAATCTTAACCCACTAGTATATTAAGGCCGTGTGAGTCATCAATAAAGAGTTTAATTCATCTCTCAAAAAATAAGTGGGATCATGAATAAATGTCAGAATTTGCTAAAGTGTATAGGTACTGTACATGTACACATAGAGTGTGTAAAAATGTGTACTGGCAGTACATGTAGGCCGACGTGCATGTTAATGTACATACACTGTACATGTACAACGTGTAATCTTTGTAAAGATGACATGTGTATGGACATACAGATATCATTATGATAGTGGATGTTAGCTTCCTGAGGTGTTAGAAAGTGACAAGCTACATTTTGTACAATACGTTAAGTACTGGTATGAGCTACATCATTATGTTGCTTACAAGGCTTTGTCCCGAGTCTCTTATCTATAGAGTTACGAGTTGTCTGTGATATTTCTTTGATGTTGTACTGTACTTGATTTTCATTTAATTTTCATAAAATGCTTACAGAATTTTGTAATTGGTTTTTAAAATGCCACAAATTATAATTTGAAATTCAAACAAACACATCCACAGGGAGTGACTTGAATTTACTGCGCAACTTGAAGTTTTTGTTTGTTTTTTTTTACATAAATGTACATGTTGTGTACACATGTGTACATGTATATGAATCTAAACATGCACTGTGGCATTGCATGTTTTAAGTAACGGGTGTTGATGTCGTTCCTAGCAAGTCTTTGTTTCTACCCCGTGCATTGAGTAAAGGATTGGTCATGCCAGGACTTGCCTTAGAATAGAGTTTCTACAGTATACATGTACATGTATAGCACATCGAACTACAGTCATGCACTGTATTGTGTAAAGCTTTTCTATATGAATGCGTACCAGGTACATGTACCGGTTCATGTAAAACGTGCACTTGTACAAAACTCCTGAAAGTTGTTTTGCGGAAACACTTGACATTTGACATTTTTTGGATGTGGGCCTAAGTCATTGTGTACAATGTACTTTGCTTTAGTGACTATTGTTACTGACGTGTGACGATACAAAGTAAGGTAAGTGTTTTTTTCCCTCAATGTATTCATGTACATGTACATACATATGTACATTATGATGCAGTTCTTCATACGAGTTCTGTTCTCTGGAAGTGGTTGGTACAGTACTGTACATAGATTAACATGTACATGTATATATACATGTACATGTACTACATACATGTACATGTACATGTGATTTTGTATTTAGCATGTTTAGTGTGTCTAACTGTCATACATGTACGTGCATACATGTACATACGGTACATGTACATGTACATGTATACATGTACATGTAGCTCCGTGGTTATTACATGTACATGTATGTAGGTGAACATTATCATGTACCGTACTACAAAGACATGTGCCATCAGTTTACTGCACTGCAGCTGATTTTTGCAGAAATCGGGAGAGTTCCATCACAAGAGTTACCGAGTAATTTAAAACAGGATTGTTATATTCTTTGTTTCTCTTGTTTTTTTCCCGTGCAGGCAATGTATAGCAATATGACAGACGAGTCAGATGACGGTCTGGCGCTCACCATTCCCGTGGAGGAGCTGCGGCAGCTGATGGAACTCCGCAAACAGGACCTGGCCAACCATATCAAGACCAAGTACACAGATGTCATAGGCTTGTGTCAGAAGCTACGAACGTCGCCGACGCACGGTGAGTGGTGATAGTGTGCGAGTTCGTGTTGTGCATCGGATGGGGTTGACCAGCTAGGCCGCACCGACCCGAATCAGAATAGATTCAAACCGAACCGAAACCGATCTGAACTGTTGTTCGTTGGATTGGGTTGACCAGGCCAAACCGACCCGAATCAGAATAGATTAAAACCGAATCCGAACCAAAACCGATCTGAACTCCCTAAAACCGACCCAACCTGACCCAACAAAAATTCAGGAAAACCGACAAGAACTGACCCAAAACCGAACCGACCCGAAAAAAAACATGAATATCTGGGTAATGAGCAACTGTGTCCGCTTTTTGCGCCTGAACTTACCCGCGTCACGTGAAAATCATCATCTCTCAGTAACTGAATCATGCAGTACGGTATACTCACAACGTGACCGACTGGTGGGTCTACACGTACATGTTGAAGACCGTGCGTGATAGACCGCAAACCACATTTGGTCATACCGGGCACGGTGATTATTAATAAATATTGCACCTGTGTGAATTTCCAAACTGTTTCTCTTCTTCGCAATCGCAAAACCGAAACGGACCCGATCCGACTGAATTGATGGACAGACTGACCCGACCCGACCCGAAGTCACTTTCGGGTTGGGTCGGTTTTGGTTTCGGGTTGGGTGGGTTTTGGTTTCGGGTCGGGTTTGCACAACACTTGAGCCAGCGATGTGCTGGACAAGTGGTGGATCCAGGGGGTGCGGAGCTGATGAAACTCACTCCCTAAAATTTGTCATGCCTTGTTTACATGATCTGAAATTTTGGTTTGATTCCATTGGTAAACAATTAGGATCAAAAGTAGGACATGTTTTTTTTTTGACACCTAGTACCATGATACCGTTTAAAGGGAAAATACAACATTTGCAAACATCAAAAAATAAAACTACCAAATCATTTTGAAATACCTTGCTGGACTGTTAGTGAATGACAGTGTATAGCATCCTGTAAAATCATGGCACCAGGTATACTGTCATTTTCAAGAAAAGTGGTATTTTTGTATCAATTTCCAACGCTGGTCGGCCGACCAGCGTTGGAAAAAACTGGCTTTTTTTCAAATACTGGCCCCAATTGACCATCGCACTTGTTTGCAATCGATTACACACCTATGAAACGGGTACAAGCCAGCTAAACTGGTTCCCTGACCTTACAATTCCCCAATGTATGTAAACTGCTCTGTTTCTTCTTATATGGAGTCAGGGAACCAGACTACAGGAAAATGATTGTTTTTCTTGGTTTTTATAGCATTTTCGAACCCAAAACCTCAAAAAAGTCAGTGTAACTATATTTACTATATATTTCCAACCCCCCAATTCCATCCATTTCTGAAAATTACAGCAAAAGCAAAAGATGTATATTCCCTTAACCCTTGTATATTTTTATCCCCTGTGCAGGTATCAGCGGCACCCATGGCATGACGGCCGACCTGCAGCGGCGGGAACAGAAATACGGCAGGAATGAAATCCCTCCCAAGCCGCCCAAGTCGTTCCTACGCCTGATGTGGGAGGCGGTCCAAGACGCCACCCTCATCATGCTCATCATAGCTGCTTTCATCTCCTTAGGGCTTTCCTTCTTACCGGCGCAAGAGTGTAAGTCACTGCATCATAACCTTCCTCAATCTTCCAAAGTCCTCCGGGCGGTTTTGGAGGATTTTGGAGGATTGAGGCTGAATGCAACATACAATTTTGTAGGATTGAGGATTGAGGGCACGTCGACATACAGTATCGGTTGATTTTGGAGGATTGAGGCTGAATGGTGTTTGAAGAAGAGGCGGATTTTAAAGGATTGAGGCTGAATGTATTTTGAGAGGCAGGGCTGTTTGAGGATTTTGAAGGTTTTAGGCAGTGGGTATCCTTCATTTGAACTTACGCGCAATATTTTGGAGGATTTTGGAGGAATGAGGATGGTTCCTAGCAAGAAAGGGCCTAAGGGTTAGGGTTAAAGGGATCATGATGGGGATTTTACTTTGGTGTATATTTGTTCAACTTCCTGCTCCTCTTAAATGTATGAAAACTATTTGACATTCCATTTTGGTTGTTCCTTTTTTTTTAAGTGCACTTCTTTAAACGTAAAAAAAAATGTTCCAAGCTTTTCCTGACAACTGGGGGAGCTCTTGCTGTGATGTCATGTTGGGAACACACATGCACTCGAGTTTTACAGCTGTTCAACTGGTGAACCCGAAAACGTGCTCATTAAAATACTTTGTGAGAAAAGCTTGCTCATTGACTTATTGTCATGTATTGAAACAACAAACCATTACCCAAAACGGATAATTTACGCCAAAATATCCAAAATTCTGGCAACTTTTGGTGCTGACATGCATGTACATGTAGCTGTAACACAGAGGTTTCTGCCTAAAATGACATCACACATTTGCTCATGAATATGGAAATGTTCATTAGCGCAAAAAAACAAAAATGGCAAAATGAGAATGGGAGACAAAGGTGCGTCTTCAAGGATTAGATTAAAAAATTATGTTACATCCGTGGGCCCTTCAACGTTCCTTATCTACAAAAAATGTACGCGTATAAGGTGAACCTGTGTTCTGTCAGGGAGTGAACATTGTAGCAGGGCAGCAAAGAAGCAGCAAAGAATATTAAAGCAGCAAAGAATATTAAAGCAGTTGTATTGATTGCCGAGGGCAGGATTTCAGTAATGGGCCAGCAAGAATCCAAGAAGTGCGTCTTGGTAAATGGGGGATACCTCCAACATGTATGTACATCTGAAATTTTTCAGGTCTGAGTGCCCAAATTCCCAAACTGGATTTGATTCATCTTGTTGATATCACCCTCTACCATTCTACCACAGAGGCACCTTGACCCTGTGTGCAAGGGATCAGGAACAGCTGCATTAACCCTAACAGAACTCAACCCATTAAACCCCAACGGCATGTTTTGTTGGAATCAGTCAGGATGGGTACAGTGCCCCGTAAACTGACAGTCTTTTACATAGGGTTAGCACACCGCCAGAATCAAAGTCAGAAATATGTGTGTGCAGTTTCCCATATGGTGTTGGAATTAGCCAGGACGGGTATGGTTTCTAGTAAATCATGCTAAGGAGTTAGGGTTAAGGGGAACAAAATCCAAATCCCCGGTTGAAGCACTAGTTCAAATTCTGCTCCAGTGAATTTTCAATCATTCAAGCCACATGAAGTAATTGGTAGACATTTCCCCAGTGGTTTATTTGAGAAGTCAAAGAAAGTGTGCTTCAGCTACATGTACATACTGCAAGTGCCTATTCTGTTGGATAACCGACCCAACTGTGCCATTGTGACTCATAGACGTGTTCAATGCCAGTATTACCAACTGACCTTATTTGCTCTTACCTGTAAGTTGAACAAGATTGATGATCGTTCTTTTCCAAAACGTCAACAGTCCGTTGGGTTTTAGGTACAGTGCTTTTAGCAATCAGCTTAAAAGGCACTTCAACTCTCATTACAACCCTAAGCTCTTCATGGTGTCCTCAAATGAAATCTGGCCACACACTGAACGTTCACTGTCTGTTCCCATCATCCATACCCCCCCCCCCCCTTCTCTATCCCTGTTCCCCTGGTCCGCATCCCCACACATGTACATGCATCTAATCCCTCGCTGGTCTCCTCCACCCATCGCCCACCACTTCCCCCCCCCACCCTTGTCCCCCACACTTGTCCCTCACCCCTGTCCCTCACCCCTGCCCCTGTCCCTCACCCCTGCCCCTCACTCACCCCTGTCCCTCACCCCTGCCCTTCACCCCTGTCCCTCACCCCTGCCCCTCACTCCTGTCCCTCACCCCTGTCCCTCACCCCTGTCGCTCACCCCTGTCCCTCACCTCTGTCCCTCACCTCTGTCCCCCACCCCTGTCCCTCACCCCTATCCTCCAACATCCCTTTTCCCCATCCTCCAACCTATTCTCCATCCCCTCCTGCTCCGATCCCCCTCCCCCTCCAGACATTGTGCTTTCCACTCTCGATCCGCATCTTTGTGAGCAACCTCACTTCCTGACTTTGATTCCTTAGCCACTCATGCCCAGCCCTTGTCCCAGACAATTGCTCGTACCCTGCGTCTTTTCGTCTTGTGTACCCGGGCATAGTGCCATCCGTCACTGTCACCCCAATTGGTCTGCTGTCATCTATCAGCATTAACCACGGCATGATCATGCAACCGTTTTCTGGCAGTAGACTGGAAACTTGTAGGCCCTTTTTTTTTTCTTTGGTCATCTCGTCAACCATTTCTCCTGCATTTGGATGCTCGGATGCACCAACAAAAAAATATAAATTAAAAAAAAAATTAAAAAACAGGCAGATTTTATTTCATGTGCAGTTTTCATTCATATTGATTTATAATCTTCAATGTTGCATCAAAGTGCTTTCAAGCCATTACAGCGACATTTGATACCACCTGGGGATTAATTCTTTTAGAGCTATTATTGTAAGCGCATTAACTGACAAGACAAAAACTAAAGCAGGGTACCGTCCTAAGTGGCAAGTGATTGATATTGTTTCTAGCTGGTTCCCAACAGATTTTTTTCGTACCAAATACTTTACTTTCTCAGGTTATATTTTCAGCTTAGCCGTAGCTGCTGTCAGAAAATGGCAGCCCTACCAAACATAAACCTAGATTTTTCTGCTGGAATATCATTCCTGGTTTCTATATGAAGGATTCCCACTGCCTCAATCCTTCAAAATCCTCCAACCCTGCCTCTCAAAAAGCATTCAGCCCGAATCCTCCAAAAATCCTCCTCTTCTTCAAACACCGTTCAGCCTCAATCCTCCAAAATCAACCGATACTGAATGTCCATGTGCCCTCAATCCTTCACAAATCATCCAAAATTGTATGTTGCGTTCATCTTCAATCCTCCAAAATCATCCAAAACCGCCCAGAGGACTTTGAGGAGGGTCAGGGTTTATGCCTATCATCTGTCTCCTATCGTCTCTTCTTCCAGTCTCAGTACAAGACTTTTGCACCCTTCACCCTTCTTGCAAGCTTGGTTCCTGACAAGCGCGGTCAAGACTTTAGATTGGAAGAGGGCACTATCAACACGATGGATCAAGAGCTGTGGATGAATCAATTATAGTCTTGGGAACTTTGGCACTGGGACCCACGAAATTGCAAAGCATGCCTCCCATGTGCGCACTAGACTGAATGTATGTGCATTTGGTGGGCCCGGAATTCTTTGGTCCTAGTGGTAAGGTTTCCATGACTAGATTTGAATGATCTTAATGATAGTGCCCTCTACCATCTCGGCGGCTTACCGCACTTGCGAGGGACAATGACTTGTATTTAGAGTGAGGTGGCCTCGTGGTAGCTGGAGCATTGAGTTCTTGGCCTGCGGGTAATTCTGCAGGCTGTGGGTTTGATTCCAGCCTGGGGTTATGGTGCGTGTGCCCTTAGGCAAGGCACTTTGTCACTATTGCTTCTCTCCACCCAGGAGTAAATGGGTACCTGTGAGGGCAGAGAGGTATAATTATGGTTGATTCTAGCTGCTTTGCGCCGAACTGGCAGCACCGAGCTGTGTACTTCCCATGGAGCTGAGATTGTTGGAATGTTTCGTTGGCCCAATGAGCAGGGGTAATAAAGACTCTTTTAGAGAGCATTGGGACCGTGTGTGAAATGCTCTTTATACATGTTAGCATGTTTTTTTTGTTGTATGAGGGGAACTAAATGCAAATTCAGGCTTTGTGCACAACTTTGTACACTCATGGAAAAGCCTTTTGATTCACTACACCACTACCAGAGAGAATTAAGGCAAAAACTAAACAGAATACATGTTTTTTCTTCCCCACGCTGCAGCGGCCAGCCACGACCCAGGCGAAACCGACGCCCAGTGGATTGAGGGCGTGGCCATCCTGATTGCCGTCTTAGTGGTCATCCTGGTGACGGCCTTCAACGATTGGTCCAAAGAGCGGCAGTTCCGGGGTCTGCAGAACAAGATTGAGTCGGAGCACAAGATCACCGTCATACGAGCCGGCGACCCCATCTTAGTTAAAGTTACAGAAATAGTTGTGGGAGATATTTGCATGATTAGATACGGTACGTGAACATCCCAATGAGTACTTAGGCCAAAAAAAGAAAGTCTCCGGTTTCTGGTATGCGCGCGCGTCGCCGTAGCCATGCGCGTCGGCAAAATGAAAAAGTGTTTTTTTTCAATGAAAGATGATGTCTTAAAATCGCCAGACTCACTGGTTTGACTGGAATCCTGCTGCTGCACAATTTTAACGTGTTTTTAGAGGGGGTTATGATCGAGAATAAGCTTTATGTGGCCTCTCTGGATTCTTATATATTTGCACTAAGTTTAGTCGGGCACCATTTGCAGTCATCAGCCGACATTTGAAGCAAAAAAATCAGGTTAAAAAAAAAAAAGTCGCGTAGCCGCACCACTTTTTGGGCAAGCTCCATACCAGAAACCGGAGACTTTTTTGGGGGGCCTTAAATGTACATTTTTGCGAGGGTGGTAGTAATGATAAAGAGAAATTAAAACCAAAAAAATTGCATAAATTAATCCACTTTTTTGTTATTTTTACTGTTCGAAAGGGCAATTATTTATCAGGGAAGAATGCAAAATTAAAGAAGGGCTAACTTGAGGTTTTACCCTGAGGTACCAGGTACCTCGCAAAACCCTGTGAAACCTCGTAAAACCTCGAGGTAAACCTGAAAGTTATTGCCTGTTTAATATTGCATTTTCCCCTGATGGGGTCTGTGGACTAGTATACAAATAATGAATGTTTGTGAGTGCAATGGTACGAATAATTTCATGAGGTGACAGATGGAATGTTCCATTCCACCTGTCACCGAATGAAATTATTCTTTCTATTGCACGAACGTGAAACATTCATTGTTTGTTTTATATAACACCTGAATAAATCCTCGTCATCTGATTGGTTGACTTTTAATAGCCAATTTGTTCAAGTTAAAAATTGTTTACAAGTTTGACGAGTTCAGAGTTATCATATTCAATTTTTCGCAATTTAAAACTTTTCCATAAGTTTAGAACTCAAACAGTTCAATAAGTTAAGAACTATTATTGCCAATTTAAACACCACAGCGCCACCATCGGCAACATGTGCAGTGACAGTGCAATGGTACCTCTAATCACAGTGCAATAGTACTTCCATTGCACTGTGTGCTACGCGCCACGCGCACGCCGTGCATTGGTACCAATAATTCAATGACATGTGATCAACGATCCACCAATCAGATGACGGGGATTTATTCAGGTGTTGTATAATATACAGTATGTCACAAAAAAAGTGTTCGTCTAAATACTTTTGAAATAGCAACAAAAGCAGGAAGTAAATGTGGATTTTTTTCAATTGTGCAGATACTCTTAATCCCTTGGCCTAAACCCCTATGAGTTTCATGTAATTTCCCTCAGCCTCACTGCACAATTGTCAATTGATCACAACCACATTTTTGGACACCGTGACCAAGTTCCTTGCCTTAATCAATTTCAGTGCTCTGTTTAATATGTAAGCTGTGTAAAATACTTCATGCTGTGAAAAAGGACTTCGGTTGAGGATTGGAATCATTTGCCTGGCTATCATTCATCATTTGCCCTTGAGCATTATTAAAATCAAGGTCTTGCCATGATGACTGATAGCCAGGTAAATGGTTCCAATCCCAACCGCAGCCCGATTTTACACAGCTTACACAACCAAGCACTGAGATTGATTAAAGCAAGGAACTTGGTCACGGTGTCCAAAAATGTGGTTGTGATCAATTGACCATTGTGCATTGATGCGTGAGGGAAATTAAGTAACACTCATAGGGGTTGAGGCCAAGGATTAGGAAAATCTGCACGATTAAAACAATTCCAAATTTACTTCGTGTTTTTGTTGTTATTTCAAAAATATTTATTGAAAAGTTGAACAAAGAAATTGACTGGAGTGGGACTTGAACCTGCGACCTCCGGATTAACCGTTCCGGTGCTCTACCAACTGAGCTATCCAGCCCTATGTTGGCGGTTCCCAATTAGTCAATATCTTTGTTAAAGGGCCGCTAGTCAGAAGCCAGAAACCAGTTTGCCATACAGCAAACCTGAGTGGTTCATTTGAAAGTCAAAATATTTAGACGGACCCTTTTTTGGGACATAACTGTACTAGATAGTGTTTCGTTACCACTAGGGCTCCGTTTGGCGCTAGTGTGCACAACCAACTGTCATCTGAATTTGCACCAGACAGTTGCGCCTCTGCATTGGCAATTCGGGCGATTCACAATGCAGTGCGCCACCAAGAGTTTGCCATGGAAAGTTAATTTTTCCCAGTGCATTGTGGAAGATGGTCGACAAATTCGCAGCGCGGGACATTTGAAATTGTTAGTTTTTCCAGCCCGAAAGTTCGAAAGCGTAAGATTCGAGTATCTGTTTGCCCTTTTGTTTTCGTTTTATCAATATGGAGTTTTTTGTAAGGCGGCAGAACGCTTTGCCCCAACCTACAACAAATTAGCTCAAGTTTTCTACTGACACTCGTTCAAATGGGCCATGTTTTGTCGACTGTGACCTTGAAAACCGAACTCTCCGTGGCAAACTCTTGGTGGCGTACTGCATTGTGAATCGCCCGAATCGGCTAAGGGTTGTCAAAAGTTTGCGTAACTCTCTCTCTCTGTCACAGTCAAGGGGTACTCGTGCACAAATCGTTTGGTATAAATTCATGCTGCAGTCAAAATTTCAAACTGATTTTTTTTGTTAAATCGTGTCTTATTGAGTGAAATCTACAAAAGAACCATTTTCAAGTCAACCAACTAAATTTTGAGATGCCCGGCTCACTGGCCATATTTTGTTTGCTGCCCTCTACAGGTGACCTTTTACCAGCTGATGGTATTATCATTCAAAGTAACGACCTTAAGGTAGACGAGAGCTCCTTAACAGGAGAGTCGGACGCTATCAAGAAGAGCGTGGAGAGGGACCCAGCGCTTCTCTCAGGTATGTTCCTCAGGGATGCTTATGTCCCAGAGCAGGACATTTTACGCCAATTGTGATATCATGCGTGCTCTTCGGGGAGTTGAGAATTTTCTAGTTACTTAACCCTAACCATCCCAAATCCTCCAAAATCCTTTTTGCAAATCGGAGGAATTTACAGGATTGAGGTTACATGGCAAAAGTGCATTGCGGATTTCGGAGGACCCACTATGTCAAGGTCTTGGGCCACCGGACCTTGAGTTGTTAATGCTCAGCCGTGCATAAATTTAGTCCTTGATTATACTTGACATCCTCCGCACTGCTCCAGGATGTCACTGCCTCTGCCTCAGCCTATTGACAGTCATAGCCGGAGGATTTTGCAGGATTCAGGCAGTGGTCACTTCTCCACAGACCATATTCAAGAAATAATGGACGAATTTTTAGGATTGAGGCTACATGTACGTGTATGTGCTATTTTTCCATGAGGCCAATTGGAGGATTTTGCAGGATTGAGGTTACATCCTAGCAAAAAGGCCTAGGGAGTTGGGGTTAAAGGACTCCCATTAAGGTGCATTTTAATCATGATTTTGACATCTTTGACTAATTCTTTTACAGTTTCTAGAAACAATATTACTGATATACCAGTACATGTGCAGCATGGGGCAAGTTCGATCAAGGAGCAGTGGTTAACTAGTAGTTGGTTCGTGACGTACATGTACCTACATGTAGCACATAACTCTAGCACATGACACTAGACTCTTGTCGAACGACAGGCATGTCATGTCAACAACCATGAGAAAATGGGGGTCGCACAATTTTTCAACGCTTGAAATTTCTGTTTATTTACACAAAAGTAATAATTCTATAGTTTAGAACACCTTACCGGTACATACCGGGTAATCGCCATTATTGTTGTACAATGGCGACGAAATCATTAACTAACATGCAAAAACTATGCAATTAAAATGAAATTTAGCACTCGCGGTTGCGTTTTTTCCTGCCATTTTTGTTGATAGTTGGTCCCCTCGGCACTATGCTATGAAAATTGCTATTGATAACCAGCTATGCATGTAAATCGTTGTGCGACCAACTGTTTGTTAGGCTGGTCCTGAATAGTCGATTAGACAAGTCCAACCAGTGTGCGTTCGATCAGAGTAAGTGGAACTATGGTTAACCATGGTCCTAGATCGAACTTGTCCTATAAGCCTTTTCGGAGTTCCAACTGCGCGCATTCGTAACCTGTGACAACGCACATTGTTTGTCTCAAATGCCCTTTGACAGTACCCACAATGCACAAACAGCCTTTTTGTAAAGTCAGTGGCGCGATGATGTCAAAGGCCATTTGAGACAAACAATGCGCGTTGTCACTGGTTATGAATGCGCAGTTGGAACTCCGAAAAGGCTTATACATGTACGATTGATACAAGTTTCTGTTCATTCTACAAAGCGTTTTTTTTCTTTCTCCAACCACGCAGGCACTCATGTCTTGGAAGGCAGCGGCAAGATGGTGGTCACAGCGGTCGGGATGAACTCCCAGACGGGGCAGATCTTCGCCTTGCTCATCGATGTCAAAGGTCAAAAGCCGACGGAGGCAGAGGATGGTGTCGCAGAGAGAGGTGAGAACTCTGACCAATTTTATGAGCCCCATAAAAGTAAGTGAAACCATTTGCAAAAAAAACAATGTGGTTTTGCCAATTCGAGGAAAAACAATACAGTAAATCTGAATCAGGTTATTGAAAAACTAACCTGTCTTAAAGCTATAGTCCATCATTTGCAGCCATCCGAAAAAGTAACTGGCGTATTATTGTTGAAAAACATACTTGGTTGAAAGATAGTAAGTGGACTAAACTCCCTGTGAAATAAATCTTTCTGGCGAGCTATTATTTTGAAGTAATCAACAAAAGAAGGCCTTTCCAACAGGGCGTCTTAAGATGCACCGTAGGAAAATTTAAATTAGAAGTTCATTTTGTTATTCGGCGCAGCGCGCGCAAGCATTGGCACGATGCATACGCGCGCGCGGTTGCTATAATTCGCCGGATCAGTGCGCGACATCGCGTATAGCTGCAATTCAAAACATGATTCAGCAAGTTTTGATTTGAAATTGAGATCCTGGAATGCTGTTTTTCTCGGAATATACAGCTGAAGCTGAGCTGAAACTTCATTAGGTTGGTTGTTCAGTATTCTTCATTAGATTTTGAACACTTTTGTTGCTTCAAACGAGCAAAATGCACAAATTACAAATGATGGACTATATCTTTAATATCAGCTCAGTAGCCTTTTTGAGACTGTGAAAATGCATCTTCATTTTTTCTCGACGTAAAGCATAGGTTTCCATTGAAAGCGTAGTGGTTTGGTCTCAACCATCACAAGGAAATGATGGTAATTCCGCTTTTCTAAAAAAAAATGACCGCAACGATTTCACAGGAAGCATGATCCTATTATTTACTGACTCATACAGTCAATTAAGTAGGATATTTCATGATATTTTGAGTGTCATTTTTTAATGTTTGCTAATGGTGTCAATTGCCTTTAAACCAAGTTATCAAAATGGTCAGCGAAAACCGGTTACCAGACTGAATCACATTCAGTGTATATCGACTGATTCTCTACCATGCAAGTTACAACTAAGTCCTCCTCGTTTGCCAGAGAAGTCGTGTGTCCACCTTTTTACTAATTTGACCTCGCACTATTAATATTCATGACGATTCTAACATCATATTCATACATGTAGATGATATCTTTCCGAGATTGTCCCAACCGGCCTGTGCATTGAATTCGGGACTGAAGAATTTATATCGGCATCAACTGAGTTGGTCGCACCACAGCCCCTTCCTATTCCTCAACCCCCCCTTTACTCCTAATTAACAAGACCTACATGTATATGTACACTTCTTGAAGGCGGTAAGGTTGCAGAATGGAAGAGTCGATTTCTCCAAAAGGGGAAGAGTCCCTCTGGGAGCCCCAATGCGCCGAGGGGCAGCGATGAGCCAGGCATCTCCTACAAGGGTCTGGCCACCATTGAGGAATCGGACATAACGTCGGAAGAAAAACCTGGTATATTGTGGTGCCGATGAATCAATTACGCAACCATCTGTAGATTTTTTGCGTTTTGTAGATCGCATTGCAGAAACTGAATCGCACCTTCAGATTCATCCTGAAAAAAAAAAAGTCAGCTCCGATATTCATTTCCATCCACCAATTTTTAACATTAAAACTGTTCTTTCAGTTTTCTTCAGTCTTCTCGAGCTCAAGATATCATATACATTTGCTTTCAACAGTTGATAAGGGCAATTCCACGCAAAGTGGACGTGGCTGAAAAGTGGACAATTTATGAAATCTTTAGAACGACAAGCATCACAATCTCAAACGTGGTATCAAATGAAAGGGGACAACAAGGTGTGTTGTATTTGAGTGGTGTGCCATTTAGATACAATGTGGTTAAAAAAAAATATTTGTAAAAAAAAAACTGGTTTGGGGACTAGAATTAAAGGCTTGTGGTAGTCATTTTGGCAGTCATTTTGGTAGCTTGTTTTCACATGCAAAGTGCAAGTATTTTGTTTTTAAGGCAGAGAGAAAGGTTCATATTGTATGACAATATCACACAGAACTGAGAATACAATGCTACTAAACTATGATGTTGATTTCAGACACGTAACATCCGTAACGTTATAATGTCCACAACAAAAACAAAATATTTCCATAACATCAAACTTCCTGTTTGTAAAATGTCATTGGTGCTTTTAGAGAGTGAACCCACATCTACCACGACATAGTTATTTCATTAAATTCTTGCAAGAAACTCCACAGACTTTAATCAATGCGTATTGAAAATAACAAATCTACATGTATGTCTTAAAGCGTAACATCCGTAACATTAATTTTTCAGCACTTATATCTCATTAATTAATTCAGCTAACATTACATGTCATGTTGTACATAAACTCTTTCGCTACGGAATTTAATTTACCTATTTTGTCCCGTTTGGACATAATAAATCGCTGGAAATTCTGCCGAGCGTCGATGTGGGCGCCGCCATCTTTAAATGTATCTCCGTAAACAAACTGCTCACAATAACCTGCAGCGCACCCCGGCCAGACAGAGAGCCGCTGGCAGCGGCTCAAACTAGGGTCAGAGGTTATACGATATAAATGATGTAGATAAGGCACACGTCATGGGGATACCCTGTTTATTCACAGCGACGTCACCGAGCTGCTGCCAGCGGCTTGCCGTACGACCTGTACAATTTGTGTGTGCCGCTGTCAGCGGCTCACCGTAGCGAAAGAGTTAATTAAGGCCTAAGCTATCGGTAGATTTGTATCAATTTCTTTCCATGTAAGTATTTTTTTTTTTCCAAATTGGTTTTAGGCTCTGAATGTAACGTCCGTTACGATGGAATTGTCCATAAGATTTTACATTTTTTGGGGGGGGGGAGGAGTTACATGTAGAACCCCCCTTCTAGTAGGGTGCTCATCACAGTTCCACACTCGGCCAATAAGAATGAGAATTCATGTTTAATTGGGTAAACGTTTAGCAAATTCTTCATACACCGCTTAGCCAACATTTTAGAACCCACAAAGGCTGGCATGCTTTCACAATGGTCACATCATCAACGCAAAAAAATTGACTTTGAATTATACAGTAAGTATACAGTGTTTGTACGTTGGTGAAGGCAACCAAATATTGAATTTACTTCACCCTGACGCAAAATCATCTCATGAAAAGTTTCATTGCGGTACCCACTGCCACATCAGTTTCGCACCAGCCAACCGATCCCGGCAAGCTTGGTGGTCGAGTGGTAAGACGTCTGCACTATAAAACAGGAGGTCGTGGGTTGGAGTCCCACCCGAGTGATTTTTCTCTCTTTCACTCGGGGGATAAAACACTGAGTAAACCGTGTTTATACATGTACGTTGGTGAAGGGCAAAACCTAATATTGGACTTTGATATTATTTACAAGATGAGTTTGATTGTATTTATTGAGGGGATGATCCCACAGATCATCCCCAAGATTTAACCATCCATTCCAGGCAAGGGCGGATCCAGGGGGGGGGACCAAAGGGGGCCATGGCCCCCCCTAAAAACGAAACCAATTTTTTTTTTTTTTTATGTGACATCGCAATAAAGGCAGGCAATGAGTACACCACCATCTTTTCCTCAAAAAACATTGGTTAAAGTGGTCAGAAATTGCCTCAGATCGCACCACAGAGCATCTAGAATCCAAAAAATTTTCGGGGCCCTTAAGCGGGCCCCGAACCCCACGCCGTAATTTTTTGACCGACTTTTTTGGGGGACCAAAATTTTTTTTGGCCCCTCCCAAAATTGTGTTCTGGATCCGCCCTTGATTCCAGGGAGAAAATAACTGAAGTAGTCTCAGCCAAGCAGCACAATAAAATCCAGTTCAAGCCTATCATAATTTTTTTTTTCCCCTGTTCATCTTTTCCACATGTGATCTTGCTCGCAACCATGACCATCGGCAGCAGTGCTTCGCCTTTTCTTCTGTTTCTTTCACAGTGGTTTTTAACTTGTTATCTTTTTGGGAATCTTGACCTTTTTCCCCCCTGCCTTTTTACACTGAAGGCGTTGTCAAGGTGCCAGCTGACGGCAACAACATTGACGACTCCGGAGCCGCGAACAGCCGCACAGCTAACCCAGAGAGGGAAGCTATGCTGCAGGAGCGAGAGGAGTCCAGCATGATGGAGGGCAAGTCAGTGCTGCAAGGAAAGCTGACTAAACTGGCCATCCAGATTGGTTATGCAGGTAACATTCTTTAATCCGAGTTTAATAGTTAACACAGGTTTGAATACTCAGCTGTTGCTAGTTATGGTTAGACTGTCTTGTAAGAGGGTTGTCATTTCGAGTTTAGTTTACAGCTTATGCCAGTAGTTATCGACAGATTTTGGCAATCCTAGGAGGGATGCTCACTAAACTGGTTGTGAATGCAGGTGAGGTAAATGGTTTGTTAAAAACCAGGGAAGTCAACCCTGGTTAACCTAGATGTTTCTATGGGTGGCTTGTGCGTAAAGCGCTCGCCTCTCACCACGGTGACCACGGTTCAAATCCTGGCCGCGGATCACATGTGAGTAGAGTTGTAGGTTGGTTCTCTCCTGTGCCATGAGGGTTTTTCTCTGGGCCCTCCGGTTTTCCTCCCTCCGGAAAAATCAAACACTTTCGATCTCAGGCTGTGCTCCGTGGTCATATATGGGTCGATGTGGCCGGCAGCCATAGGCGCCTTTACGTGCCAGCGGCCCCACCACGTTGTAGCCACGTCCTTCGCAATTCAGCATACCAGCTGCGAGTAAGGATGATTAGCCTCCCAAATTATTATTATTATTATTATATTCTAAGGAGAATGAGTCTCTTTAACCAGATTGTTATGGAAGTGAGACTGTTATACTTGTACTGTCTCTACAGGCTTCTTAAGGCCTGAGAGCTACAGTACCGAGGACGCTTTTGAGGAATCCTTGATTTCATTACCAGAAGTAACAATATTAATCGTAGTAATGCTTATGTATTATTATTTTTTTTTACAGGTTGTTCCATAGCTGTGCTGACCACGCTGGTCTTGATCATCCGGTTCTGCATTACGACCTACGGCATCGACAAGAAGAGCTGGGAGACGGGCCACCTGAGGGAGTTTGTGGATTTCTTCATCATCGGTGTGACGGTGTTGGTGGTGGCCGTTCCAGAGGGGCTGCCTCTAGCGGTGACCATCTCGCTGGCCTACTCAGTCAAGGTAGGCGATGCACCGTAGTATTAGACCTCAACTCTTGGTGTTAGTTTAGTGCACATCGGTTGGACATTCCTGAAATTGCACCTGACACAGAGTCTGTGTGTCCCATAGATCTATATTGAAGAATGAAACATGCTGGGGCACCAACCTATTGAAGGTTCAAAATTGTCTACGGCATTTGTACAGCTATTTGTATATCTGCGTTTGAATTGGAAGCAAGTACCTAAATGCAGCAAATGTACAAAAGCAGGCACATTCATTCAAAAGGTCCGTGCCTAGGACATGTCCAGAAATACTCCATGCGAGGGAATGAGGATAACACTGTCATGGCTTCTAATTTAGTAGTAAAAAGTCATGAGATCGGAGCCCAAAGCCAAAGAAGATGCTAAAGCCCGCCGTACACCTTTCCAATTTTACTGGTTCACCTGAACGTTTTTTGTTAACCTTTGTGGAGACCACAACATTACCCGCACACATGCCCGATTCTGTTGTATAGGCCTAATCACATGGTGATCAGTCCCATGACGACAAAATGGCAACTTTCGGTTTTGAATCATGTGACTTCCTTCGTGAATCTGATGGGTTAACATTTAATATCGCCTTAGGTGAAAAAGGGGTGCTTGTGAAAAACATCAAACATGTTTGATTTCATCTTGTCGCTTGGTGTACAGTCAGATCAGTCCTATTTTTCAGGGCACACCTCTCCGATCTGTGCGTGCGATGGCCCGATGATTCAGTGAACTGGTAAAATTGGAAAGGTGTGCGGTGGGCTAAAGTTTAAAGGCCTTTCCAAGACCCTACCGGTAACTCCCTCCATGACCTTTGTGTTCCGATACAGAAAATGCTGCACGACAACAACCTGGTGCGGCACCTGGACGCCTGCGAGACCATGGGCAACGCCACGGTCATCTGCTCAGACAAGACGGGCACGCTGACCACCAACCGCATGACGGTGGTGCAGGCCTACATCGGCACGAAGAACTTCATGACTGTGCCCAGCTACGACGAGCTGCAGGAGGACCTGCTGCACCTTCTGGTGGAAGGGATCTCGGTCAACAGCAGCTACGCATCGCGATTGTTGGTGGGTAGATCCTTGCTGAGTTGTGGCCAAGTCTGGTTTCTTGCTTTTCACCCTTTTAGCATACTGTAGCTCATATAGTGTTGTTCCCTAACGTTGTGCACTTCAATGTTTCCCACGACTTTCCTCATGCAGTGTTGCCAAACTTCTTTGTTGACAAACTTTTAGTTCATTCAGCTAAATACTGGTACTTTTACCTTAATAATGCTTGCTGTTGAACCTTTGTGAACAATTTCAGTTTCATGAAATTGAGTCCGAAATTCCAAAACGGTGATGTCCGGAAATTGGGCACAAAATCGGCTGAGTGTTCCCTAACGTGGCGTACTTGAACAAACCTTGGAAAATCCCAAGTTAACGTTTATGAATTTCTTTAAAGTTGACAAATTCTGATAAACCCTTATTGACTCTGCTCACAGACCCAACTAGAAGTTTGTCAGAAAATTATGTTCTTACTTTTGGCGCATTTTTTAATTTGTTCACTGGGCACTTCAAAATAAAATTTGGAAAACCACAACTTATTTCTCTGCTAACTTTGTAACGGGTAGGTAAACTCAATATTTATTAACGGGAATGATCTAGAGCTTGATGAAATTTCACTCGCTGTGAATTTTCAGGTAAAGCTGTTGATGTAGCAAGGCGGTAGAGGGGCAATATCAAAGTGCGCCACGTTGTGGGCCATCAACAATATTCACTGGACATGCGAATGCATCCCTGTGAAATATATTGGAGGATGCTTGGACTGACCAGCCAAGTAAATTATGTCGGCCAGCATGGTACTGATTTGGGTAGATTAGGGTAGTCTTGGTCCTAAAAACTGGATTTGGATTTTGTTCAGCTTACGCAGCTTGTCCCTGACACGCGTGGTGAAGCCGCAGCGGTAGAGGGCGCTATAACAAAATGAATCAAATCCAGTCTTGGAAACTTTGGCACTGGGACCACAGAAATGACACGCATACCTTGAGTGTGCCATGAGCTTGAATATAGCGCATGCAAGGTATGCGTTGGATTTTCGGGTCTGGGTGCCAAAATTCCCAAGATTGGATTTGATTTATCCACGGACAAGCTGCATGAGAAAACAAAATCCAAATCCAAAGTTTGACTAAGCTTTGTACTTCTAAAGCTACCGTAGAATACTGCACTACTACCCCATATTTGAGTATTATGGGATCTCCAAAAAAGAACGACTGGACTAAAGTGAAGCCAGTAACTTTTTGTAATGTAGCCATAACTTGCTTCCCTGTGCATCCAGTGCACAGCAATTTTAGGCAGTGTAAAATGTTATGATGATGATTATCATGATTATCTGGTTTTTTTTCCAAAATCTCGTCTCAGCCCCCAGAGAGGGAGGGGCCAGGCGAGCTGGCCCGGCAGGTGGGCAACAAGACGGAGTGCGCCCTCTTGGGCCTGGTCGCGGAACTCTCCCAGGAGTACCAGACCATCCGGGACCGCTGGCCCGTGGAGAAGTACGTCCACGTCTACACCTTCAACTCCACCCGCAAGTCCATGAGCACCGTCATACCGCTGGACGGGGGCGGGTACCGGCTGTACTCCAAGGGCGCCAGTGAAATCATCCTCAAGAAGTAAGAAGGCGTTATAAGGCAAAAAAAAAAAAGTCTCCGGTTTCTGGTATGGAGCTTGCCCTAAAAGTGGTGCGGCGACGCGGCTTTTTTTTTTTTTTTACCTGATTTTTTTGCTTCAAATGTCGGCTGATGACTGCAAATGGTGCCCGACTAAACTTAGTGCAAATATATGGGAGTCCAGAGAGGCCACATAAAGCTTATTCTCGACCATAACCCAATCTAAAAACACGTTAAAATTGTGCAGCAGCAGGATTCCAGTCAAACCAGTGAGTTTGGCGGTTTTGAGACATCATCTTTCATTGAAAAAAAAACTTTTTCATTTTGCCGACGCGCATGGCTGCGGCGACGCGCGCGCATACCAGAAACCGGAGACTTTTTTTTGTGGCCTAAACATGTAAAACATAAAAACTATCAACTGTTCCAGATGTGGCCGTGAGCCAGGCCCATTTTTGGTTTGTGCGTACTGTACATGTATTGCCACAGTGCGTGCGATCGAGTTAAACCGAGCTGCTGTGGTCACCTGACCAAAACTTATGATCTGATTGGTCAGTGCACACTATTTGAGTGGCAGGCATGAAGGGTCGATTCGATTGAAAACTTACAAAGGAAAAATGTATCGTATAGAAAACAAGCTCGATCAGAAATATCTTGGAAGCTGAGGGCCAACGAATTCCTGTCCATGCATGAGTCACGTTATTATGCCATGTAATTTCTGGAAATTGTAGTGTTTTGAGTTAAAATTAAAATATTTAAAAAAAAATTTAAAAAAATTTAAAAAAATTTTCATCACCTCATGATGACTTTTGACCACAGTTTGGTCATGTGACATGTTGGGGCAGGGCTACTGATAGGTTTGACAAAGTTTGGTTGAAATCGGTCAAAATATGTAGGAGCAATAGACAATGTCAACGTTTGTAACTAACTAACGGACTGAGTGATTTGTTGAGCTGGTATCCCGCAGCTTAAAAAAAAATGGACACCAGTTGAACAAAGACTGGCATCCAATGAACAAAGACGTAGAACAATTGGGACACCACCAACATTTTGCTGGAAAATTGCATAAAAAAAACTTTTAAGATATGAAAAGAAAATTTAATAAGTACGGAGACACATCGACTAACAGTAATTTTGAAGAGCTGTCGTGTCATAACTGGCATGAGATCTGTCATAGGTTTTGTCTGCAATCAGACCTTTGTGAAACTGAAAACTTTGTAAAAATTGCAAACAATGGAATGAGAGTGTGGAAAGTAGCACAGAAGCATTCAACCTTGTCCACTTTTCAGACTTGTCGTTAAAATTGACGATCGCATCCCGATAGTAAGCAGGTATCACTTTAACCCTCCGTCGCAAAAAGCCCATTTACTAACACACTTACAGTAAGGGTCCCCCGGGGACCCAAATATTTAGGGCCACGGTTTGAGGCTACACAACACTGTATCCACATGAACACAATCTTGCCATGTCTGTGGACTAAGGAGGTGTATTGTATACATAGTCTGTGGTCAAGCCGTGCACTGTCTACTCGCAAGTGACCTTGTTTGTGCACGTGTATATGGTGGGTCCCTGGGTGGGCAGAAATTGCGTCGGAGTTGTTTTGTGCACGTGTGTATGGTGGGTCCCCGGGTGGGCAGAAATTGCGTCGGTCCTTAGCCTAGGTTGTCAGGCTCAGATATGCCTGACCCGGGGTCACACACTAAAGGTGACTGCATATATCCGTAGTGGGTGTCTCTGGCTAGGATTAGATGGAAGATCACCAGAATTGGTTGGAAATTTTTTTTTTAATTAAGGTAATTAACCAAATTGGGTCCCCAAAAGGGCTAGTTTCTGCGTCGGAGGGCTGTTACATTGATGGTGACTTTGTTTTTTCCACAGGTGCACCAGAATCCTGGATACCGGCAGCAAGCTCCAGCCGTTCAGCGTCGCCGAACGGGAGAAGACTATCAACGAAGTGATTGAGCCCATGGCGTCCAACGGCTTGCGGACCTTAGCCCTGGCGTACCGGGACTTCCCCGCTGGTGAGGATGTGGACTGGGAGCAGGAGGCCAGCGTGGTGACCAACCTCAACTGTATCGCCATCGTGGGGATCGAGGATCCTGTCCGGCCAGAGGTAGGGAGTAAACAACTTGCAACATGGGTAATGGGCTCCGTGCACAAGTACCCCCTCAACGAGAAGAAAGGGAGAGTTGGGGGAGACCATCGGAAGAGACATTCGAACGCAGCGCTAACGATGCCTTACGCTCATGCGAAGATGCTATGGTTTTGTGCACATTCAGGGTAAATAAGTTTTGCGTCGCCGTCGCGTGTGAACCAGTACTGCAGTGCACACGCATGATGTGTCGGGCTCTCAAAAGCGGTGAACAGCACCCTTGGCGCACGGAGCCCACACAGCAACCAAGTCTCGCCAGGACATGTTTTCTTTTTTCACGTGAACTTAGGATTAAGATATCATATCTGACATTTGACATAGTGGCTGAGTTTTTTTTTAAAGGTAATACAACATCTGCTTTTGCTGTAATTTTCAAAAATGGATGGATTTGATTTTTTTTTATTTTATAACAAATATCATTACACTGACGTGTTTAAAGTTTTGTGTACATAGAAGATGGAAAAATTAAGAAAGAAATGCTGTTCTTGTAGTCTGGTTCCCCGACCCTACTTCATACGAAACGAGCAAATCAAGACGTCAGGCAATTGTCATGTCAGGGAACATGACTAGCTGGCTTGCATCCATTCACGGATGTGCAACCAATTGCAAACAAATAGGTTTTTTTCTCAACGATGATCGGCTGACCATCGTTGGAAATTGATACTAACAAAAATTCAACTTTTCTTGAAACTGATGGTACACCATTTGTCATGATTTCACAGGAAGCTTGAGACTATTATTCACGTACAATCAAGTAGGGTATTTCATAATAATTTGGTAGTTTTGTTTTTTGGTTTTGCAAATGTTTGTACATGTTTATTACCTTGAAAAATTGGTTGCAGTTGTTTCCCATTTTAACGATCCTGGTAGCCTGGCTTTCCATGGGGCGTCACATATGTTACTACCCCAATAATGGCAATGTTATGCAGCAACGTCCTCCACTAGAAAACATGGCGTATTGTGGAATTGATTCCTGTTTAGATGCAAATAGCAGCTCAACAAATTATCAAGTCTCTCTGTTAGTTAGTTAGTTAGTCAGTAACAAACCTTGACATTGTCTATTGCTCCTACATATTTTGACCGATTTCAACCAAACTTTGTCAAAAGTATCAGTAGCTCAGCCCTAACATGTCACATAACAAATTTGAAGTCAAAGGCCATCTGGTGTGAAGGTCACAATAACGTCAAATTTTAAATAAGCTCAATGTCAAAGTAGCGCGGTCAACATGTCCATGGTGACCTCTTCGTCTGGCCAACAGTTATAGGGTCTCGTTTCGGTTTGCGGTAACACCATGTGGTAATAACTACTGCTTAGAAGATATTAGTTCTGAAAAGAACTTGTCCTGCTTATTATCAACTTTGCTAAGTAGTTTTTTGTTCTGATAAGAACAGTCCTGCTGTAAGTTCTCAACGAACTTGTCTTTGGTCTCTCAACTTTGCCAAGTAGTTTTTTGTTCTGATAAGAACAGTCCTGCTGTAAGTTCTCAACGAACTTGTCTTTGGTCTCTAAGCAGTAGTTATTACCACATGGTGTTACCGAAAACCGAAACGATACCGATACCCCACCATGCAAAGCCTCAAATCTTATAGTTATAGGGTCAACGATCAAAATAGGATACATGGCACAATCTTGCGACTCAATGAACACAAACGTGTCGGCCCGCAGCTTTCGAGATCATTTTGCACGTTTTTTTCACTTCCTTGGTTCTCAGGTACCCCCAGCCATCACCCAGTGCCAGAAGGCAGGCATCACGGTGCGCATGGTGACCGGCGACAACGTGAACACTGCCCGCTCCATCGCCACTAAGTGCGGCATCCTCTTGCCGAATGAGAACTTCTTGGTAATGGAAGGCAAGGAGTTCAATCGGAAGATCAGGGATCGATTCGGCAAGGTGGGTCCGGCGTTACCCTGTGCAGTGGTTGCATTTAAAGAACCGTAGTTGTTTGGGATAATCTTGCGGAAAGGGGGGGGGGGATTTCAGAATCGCTATGGCTGATATGGAATTGCATAAACACTAACAATCGTGCTTAGAACATACACAAACTTTCAACTCGATCATGATTACGACTAAAAGTATTGCTGTGCTGTCCATGAATGAGTGCTTCCAGAGTTGTAATGACTCGAGTCAATGACTCGACTCGAGTCCGACTCGAGTCACATTTTTTTGTGACTCGACTCGACTTGAATCCCGACGGGTAAATGACTCGACCTGACTCGAGTCACTGCGAGCAAATGACTCGACTCGACTCGAGTCCCTCATCAGAATGACTCGACTCGACTCGAGGAAGGCTAATGTGACTCGAGTCACAAAAATCAGTGACTCGTTACAACTCTGAGTGCTTCACTGTACCGTGGTCAATGCAAAACAAACAAAACAGAAAAAAAAAATTGTACGAAAGCTTTGACCAATATTTATGAAATTGTTGTCTCGTTATTTGCAAGAGATCAGTTTGCAAACTCATCAAGGCCAGTTCATACTCGTCGCGAACGCGAACGCGAATTTGTGACATCGGGCAAGTTTCGCACTGCGAATTCGCAGAAGTCGAACACATTTCAAATCTGGTAAATTTCGCAGAGTATGCTTCACAACATCAAATTTCGCTTTGCATTTGCATTTGCATGCAGAATGAACCGGCCTTTAGGGCTACACTTATTCAACTCAAACAAAATAAGACATCACTTGTTCACAAATTCCATTCATATATATACATGTATGTAACTGCAATATTGAAAACATCGCGGTTTGTGTTACATATTTATAGAGTCCATTTGCAGGATGAAAAGTTGTCGGCAACTAACGCATGAGCTGCTTTCATAGTGCACTGTTTGTAAATCTCGTCAACTGAAGTCAACAATTGACATTATTAACTTGCATTGATGTTGCCTTTGTTTGTTAATACTGTACCCATAATACATGTACCTGCAGGTCCAGCAGCGTCTACTGGACAAGATCTGGCCCAACCTGAGAGTGCTGGCCCGCTCCTCGCCGACGGACAAGCACACACTGGTCAAGGGCATCATCGACAGCAAACTGACCAGCCATCGGGAAGTGGTGGCCGTCACCGGCGACGGGACCAACGACGCCCCGGCGTTGAAGAAAGCCGACGTGGGCTTTGCCATGGTGAGTTGGGGTCTGTGTTCGCCTTGCACTAGCATTCAGTTGGTGGTGACATAGAAGCCATGGCAAGTCTTAAACAATGTTCAGGCTATTCAAGATCGAAAACAACTCAGGCTGAACCGGGTTGGATCCGGAAAAGTTAAAGAATGCACCCTTTACTGTGTTATTATAAGTGAGGGAAATTGCCCATAATACTGGTTCTCAGATTTGAAGTATCATTTAACACATGACAGCACCATCTGATACTTTAATAAGGGAATAAATGTGTGTTCGGGAGGTATTATAACACTCTGTTTAAGACCGGTGGGAGTCAGGATGGGTAATTATCACCCATCCAGACTCCCACCGATCTTAAACAGAGTGTTTAATACCGACCGAACACATGTTTATTCCCATTCACAAATACCTTTTCGGTAAAAAAAAAAAAAAAAATCGGTCCAAAAATCAAAAAAAGGCAAAAACTAGACGTTGCCAACCATTTGTTCAACAATTTCACTTCATGTTTTACGAAACACCCCTCTGACTATAATATGGAATGCCCCTCCACAACTCAATAGTTTATAAGAACATTGGCGTGCGCGTTGCGCGTACTGCGCGATGTCACGCAAATCGCAGCTGGGCTGACCAGTGTAGTGTGAATTTCGGACTATGAAATACTGATTCACTGGTTGTATTGCGCATGCATACGTGAGGAATGTGAACGTTCAACCAATGAAATGTTAAAAGGAACCGGATCTCATGGGAGTCCGAAGTTCATGTGACACTGGAAAAGTGTTAAAGACCAGCCAGCCATGTCTTTATCAACTGTTTAAGACCGGCCACGTGACGGGCTCTCGACCTATAGGAATGCGTAAACTGTCTTAGGTATTTATGAATATTTTTTAATAATTTGGTTCTGTACAGCTCTGTATATGCCAGTCTGGAATTGGTATTAGTTCCTCCAACAAGTTCTTAGGAGATTTTTTCCTCATTTTTTTCCCTTCACAACAGGGAATTGCCGGTACGGACGTGGCCAAGGAGGCCTCTGACATCATCCTGACCGACGACAACTTCCGCAGTATCGTCAAGGCCGTCATGTGGGGGCGCAACGTCTACGACAGCATCTCCAAGTTCTTACAGTTCCAGTTGACTGTCAATCTGGTGGCCGTGATAGTGGCCTTCACCGGAGCTTGCATAATCAACGTAAGACTGATTTTTGTAAAAAAAAAAAAGTCTTGACTGGAATTAAGTGCCTTAATAAGGCCAAATTGAAACAAAGAAAAATCTTTTTATTTTTTAAAGTTCATCAAAGAAATTGACTGGAGCGGGGTTTGAACCTGCGACCTCCGGATTACTGTTCCGGAGCTCTACCAACTGAATTATCCAGCCCTATGTGGGTGGTATCCGCAATTTGTCAGTGTCTTTTTTCAAGGGGTGCTAGTCTGAAGCCATACACTTTTATACTCCATGTAGCCAGGGATCACGCTCAAAGTTACGATGCTAGCAACATTAGCAATGCTGCAAACCAGTAAAAATTGCAAACGGGGATCACTCAAAGAAGATACAGCTTTTTCCAATTACAAATTTGTGGTTTATTTAAAAAAAGAAAGAGTACTAAAAGTCACTACTCTGTGTTTCCATCAGGAGCGATTGTTGTAGTCGAGTCTGTCACAAATCCTCAAAAAATTCAGATGAAAGTAAAAAAAATTAACAAAAAATAAACTGTGATGCAGATATTCTTTCGTTTTTTTCTTCCACTGTTACTTGTGACTGGACTTGTGAAATGACTTGTGATTATATTTGTGACTGGAATTATGATGGACTTGACCACAACACGGCCGGGAACCATTTTGAGGGTCAACAAATCAACTCACTAATTCTGCCAACAGTGCTTTTCAAAAATCTACTGACTTTACCGCCTCACATCCATTCATCAAGGCCAATACTGCATAGCTGCCAACTATTACGATTTTTTCTTAATTATTACGAATTGTTTGTTAAATTACGAAAATACGATTTGCCAAAAAAACATTACGAATTTCCCATTTTCTCCCTAACAAAAAAAAAATACTTGTAAAGTATCGTTTTTGACCGAAAACTTCTGGCGAAATGTTGCGATAATGGATGGACTGGTGACAAGTCTAATAAGCAATGCGGTCAAGCACCTGATAGACATCAATGCAGTGTGCGCAGTGGAGTATTTGAGGACCAGACTAAAATATTTTTCAATGGTGTGCCATTTGTGTGCATCTCGTGGATGTGTGGTTGGGTGTGTGTACTGTATGTGTGAGTACTTTTCAATGACGATCGTGAGCACATTTGGTCGCTTATTGCCGGGATGAGACCCATCAGTGCGAGATTTTAATCATGGAATTTAATAAGAGTATGGTTGGAATAATTGGTAATAGAGTTTGAGTTTATCACAACGTCCAGAAAAGATAAATCAGCATGCGTTTGCAAGGTATGTTGGCAGGATATTTCTATTGCATACGGTGGCCCTAAATCATTGTGTGTAAAAACACGATACGAACTCGAAACTCAACAGTGATAGTATGCATCTAAAAAAAAAACACAATTTTTTTTTTTTTTTGGCCTACAGTACATTATTATTCACAACAAGAATGGTATGCACCTGTAAACCATGTACCTGTACTCGATGTTGGTAAAGCTGGTACATACACTTTTGATAATAGGAGTTGAAAATGACCGCGCATGTTGATTACTAATTGGGATTTTGAAAAGTTGGCAGCTATGATACTGTGAGATACCGGTACTCATCAAAGTTTGCGTCCTTGTGCTGCCCCACTTTGGAACTCCCTACCAAAGTCATGGTCCCTACTAGGGCTGTGCATCGGAACCGGGTACCCGAGCACCCAACCGGTGATGTCAGGAACCGGTTCCAGCTTGTGGAATCTGGTTACCCATAATCAACTTTGCAAATTACTTACTAACTTCTCGGACAATGAAAAGGAAAGGTTTTGAATGCCATTTGTGGGGGATTTTACAAATCAAAACCAGGCCACAGGGGAAAGCAAAACATATTTCATTTTTATGACGCTTGCGTACGTTGCAGTTTTTCACCAGCTTTATAAGTCACTGCACGCACTTTGTATCTTGCTGTATGGATGCACACAATCGACATGAACAATTTGAACAGCAACTTCCGAGATTTGAATTTTGGGCTAGGGTTACTCTAACGGATATCCGGATATCCTTTTTTTTTTTCAATCGGGTACCCGTTAATGCACACCACTAATGACATGAATGATGATCCCTTCCAATGGAATCTTTTACAATCCAAGCAAAATTTCAACGGATGTCTTCTATCTTTAAAAATTGGCTTCAATCCTTGGCTTTTCGCTCTAATTTGTAGTCCACACCTTTGAGTAGCCTTAACCTTGTTGTTCTGCTGATATCATAGAGCTATTTTAAATTACTACATGTAGAGCGCTAGCTCGATGTACAAAGTAATGCCTGATGGGTGCATCCATGTTTGTGCACAAACCTATGGAAAACTCAAATGTTGTACGGCTTTTGTACTGCTATTTGCATATCTGCGTTTGTATTCCATACCGGTTCGTCATCGAAGCCGATACGCCCAAAACCGAAACGCACGATCAGCAAATGAGCATTTCATTTTGCTCTACGCAAACAGCGCAACGTGTGCGCGTCCCTCCGCTGCAGATGCTTTTCGCCGTGACGTTTTTTGAACCGTCATCAATGCGCTTAAAGTTGTTTGCGCATCTTCTACTTGCGCGTTGCATTTAGAGTACACTTTTAAAATTCAATCCGTCTATTTTGATTGTGTTCTACAAACACGCACATAAATTCAAAATGTCTGCGCACAGAGCGGCTTTAAAGCGCCTCCGCACGCAAGAATGAGGAGTTAGCGCTCTAGTAATTTAATATAGCTCTATGGCTGATATCCATTTGAAAAAAAAAATTACTGATACATTTTTCTTATTGACCTGCTTACAGGACAGTCCGCTACGAGCCATCCAGATGCTGTGGGTCAACCTCATCATGGACTCCTTTGCCTCCCTGGCGCTGGCCACGGAGCTGCCCACCCCGGCCCTGCTCTGCCGGAAACCCTACGGCCGTACCAAGGCCCTCATCTCCAAAGTCATGATAAAATCCATCGTAGGCCACACCATTTACCAGCTCATTGTAATATTTGTCATTCTCTTTGCTGGTGAGTATTGCCTGTGCAGGGTGACCCCCCAAAAAATGCAACCCTGAAACATTTGCCTCTTTTTAAAAACGTAATCTGAGTTTTGTGTTTCGGATATCAGATTAAAGCTCAGAGTTTTTTGGTCCATTCCATTGGCATTATCATGGTTAAAGATATAGTCCATCATTTGTAATTTGTGCATTTTGTTCGTTTGAAGCAACAAAAATTTTCAAAATCTAATGAAGGATACTGAACAACTAACCTGATGAAGTTTCAGCTCAGCTTCAGCTGTATATTCCGAGAAAAGCAGCATTCTAGGATCTCAATTTCAAATCAAAAGTTGCTGAATCATGTTTTGAATTGGGCCTGAATTGCGTCTGAGACGCGTTCTCACTGAGCCGATTGCAGCTGTACGCGATGTCGCGCACTGATCCGACGAATTATAGCAACCGCGCGCGCGTGTGCGTCGTGCCAATGCTTGCGCGCGCTTCGCCGAATAACAAAACGAACTACTATTTTAAATTTTCCTACGGTGCGTCTTAAGACGCACCATTGGAAAGGCCTTCTTTCGTTGATTACTTCAAAATGACAGCTTGCCAGAAAGAATAATTTCACAGGGAGTTAAGTCCCCTTACTATCTTTCAACCAAGTATGTTTTTCAACAATAATTACGCCAGTTACTTTTCGGATGGCTGCAAATGATGGACTATAGCTTTAAGGGGTTAGCACTACCTATTTGTGCATAGCGCATTGTGTCCCAATCCGGTACAAATGAATTTGATGGAAATACCTTTTTTTTTCCCCCCAACTGAACAGGCATCTTATTCTTTTTAGTCCTATTGTAAACCTATTTAGATTCATAAATATGTCAAAATATTTAAGGAATTGCACAAATGAAAGACATTACAACAATTTGTCTTAACTGTGGTAATGCAATTGGAATGGACCAAAAAGGAGTTGTGTTACATAATTGGCATTTATTTTCCCAGCAACCTGTGCTGTTTTCATGTATTTTTTCTTCAGTATTTGAAAGAAAAACTCTCAGCTTTAATCTGATATATCTAAAGCATAATTCACATATCACGTTTTTGAAGAAAAAGGCAAAGGTTTCAGAGTTGCATTTTTTTTGGGGTCACCCTGTATATAACTAAACCTCTTACATATTCATGAGCTGGAGCCAAACTCCTACTGGGCCATTCACCATCACTTTATCAGCTGCGTTTTACTGATTCGTGCATAGAGTCGATACACGTGCACAGTCTATCACTGCGCATGCGCTTTACTAAGCGATCGTTGGAATTGTCCCATAGGTGACTGGGGCATTGAATTCGGGGACTGCTGGCAATTCTGCAGGTTGTGGGTTTGATTCCAGCCTGGGGTTATGGTGCGTTCCCTTGGGCAAGGCACTTTGTCGCTCATTGCTTCTCCACCCAGGAGTAAATGGGTACCTGTGAGGGCAGAGATGGTTATTGTGATTGATTTAGCTGCTTTGCACTGAAATGGCGGCATCGAGCTGTATACTCCCCAGGGAGCTGAGATTGATGTTGAAATGTTTCTATGGCCAGTGAGCAGGGTAATAATGAGCACCAATACTGCTGGATACGTGCACTTTAAAAATACACACTATTATACGTGTAAAGGTACCACTAAGGAGACACGTTGTCGTAATTTCTTCGCACGATGGGAGACATCGGTTATTAGTGAGACATTTTCATGTCTCCCTAATGTCACAGCCCCCCTTTAGAGGCACAATTTTATTGTTGCAACTAGATTATATTTGTTGCTCGTGGTCTAATTAGTAAACATACCAACATTTGTGGAAAAAGGACAAGGGAATATTGGGTTAGGGCACATTTAAGTTTGAAAATCTGTGTGCACAAGTCTATGGGGAATTCTCCCAAGTGTCCAATCCAGGGTAATAATTATAATTATAATTATTGTTAGCTCGCTCATGCGAACATTATCCTAGCTACGTGAAAAGATGGTGGTCCATGCACAAAAGTGTTTTGCCGAAATTACTGATGAAACTCAAAATGTTTGTGCATCTGTATGAAAATATGCTAACATGGTTCATTTCTGGTAAATTGTCTTCACTAGCTTACTACTAATTTGTCTTCAGGTTTCAACCTATTCGGACTTTGATACTTAAAAAAAAAACAGCCTTGAGCAGAACACTCTTGCTGAAAACTTTCACCTGATGTACAATTTCTTTGTTGATTGTTTGCCCTTCCAGGCCCGTCGTTATTTAACATAGAGGACGGCAAGTCCGGCGGCCCCACGGGAGCCCCCACGGTCCACTTCACCCTGATCTTCAACACTTTTGTCCTGATGCAAATCTTCAATGAAATCAACGCCCGCAAGGTGCACGGCGAGCGCTTTGTCTTTTCCGGAATCCACACCAACCCGGTGTTCCTCGTCATTATCATTGGCACGCTAGTAGTCCAGGTAGGTAGAACATACCGTGAAACCCTCTTTTAAAGCTATAGTCCATCATTTGTAATTAGTGCATTTTGTTCGTTTGAAGCAACAAAAGTGTTCAAAATCTAATGAAGGATACTGAACAACTTACTTGATGAAGTTTCAGCTCAGTTTCAGCTTCATATTCCGAGAAAAACAGCATTCTAGGATCTCAATTTCAAATCAAAAGTTGCTAAATCATGTTTCGAATTGTTTTGAATTGCAGCTTTACGCGATGTTGCGCACTGATCCAACAAATTATAGCAAGCGCGCGCGCCTGTGCGTCGTTCCAATGCTTGTGCGCGCTGCACCGAATAACAAAACGAACAACTAATTTAAATTTTCCTACGGTGCTTCTTAAGAAGCACCGTTGGAAATGCCTTCTTTCGTTGATTTCTTCAAAATGAGAGCTTGCCAGAAAGGATAATTTCACAGGGAGTTTAGTCCCCTTACTATCTTTCAACCAGTATGTTTTTCAACAATAATTACGCCGGTTACTTTTTTGGATAGCTGCAAATGATGGACTCGGGCTTTAAGAGAAAAACCCGAGTACAGAGCTTATATTCGGGTATTTGCCGGAGATGTACCAGGATTTCAGAACACCCTCAAGTTATTCACTGCTGTTCAGCAAGCTGGCATGTTGGTGTGTTTGGCTGCCCATACATCAACCATATATGCAGCTGGAAGAGTGTTTTCGGATCGTTCTAAATGTGTCAGGTTTTTTTTTTTAATAGTGTAACAATTACAAAAATGTAAGAAAAGGGCTTCCAAAGTATCCATGCACAATTTGAGGTATGGAGTGCCATTTCATCATGTGGTGAAATTGCTTGATAACTGGGACCAGACCAAAAAAAAACCAGGCATACATATCTTAGTTTTGCACTTATGGCCTTTATTTTTACATCACATAAAAGAGTAAGAAGGCACAACCTTTACTCACAACACTTTTTGGTTTTAATAACTCCTAGGCAGTGAATTATCTGGGTTGAAAAAAAGTGAGTTTTCAACTTGTGGCCCATTTTTCACACTCTATAGTGATTTCCGCATGACTGAGCAAACAATTTGGTCCTGGGGAGAGCCAAGTCAATAAACAATGTGGTAAGGAAAGGGGTAAAACTGAAAATTAATGGCCAAAGTAATACTGTAGTGTTAAAAAAATTCCTTCCCCTCCGCCTTCTCTTTCCCCACGCCCCCTTCTCTTTCCCCACGCCCCCTTCTCTTTCCCCACGCCCCCTTCTCTTTCCCCACGCCCCCCTTCTCTTTCCCCACGCCCCCTTCTCTTTCCCCACGCCCCCTTCTCATTCCCCACGCCCCCTTCTCTTTCCCCACGCCCCTAGGTCTTGCTGGTGCAATTTGGTGATGTCATCTTCAGCACCAAGGGCCTGACCTTGGACGAGTGGCTCTGGTGCCTCCTCTTCGGCATCGGCTCCCTAGTCTGGCACCAGGTCATCCTGACCTTCCCCACCCACTGGATGCCCAACCTGGCCTACGGCCGGGGCGGCACGGCCGAGCAGCTGCCCAGCGTGACGGAGATGGACGACGTGGACCGCGGCGACTCGCGGGTTGAGCTCAAGAGGGCGCAGATTCTCTGGATGCGGGGGCTGACCCGACTTCAACAACAGGTGAGGATCGTTGCTTTGTGGGCCCAATTTGTTTTTCTCCCCCTTAAACCAGATCATACTTCATGTGACTGTGAAGCGAAGTTGACGTCACCAAACATTCAGCAATATTCTATGATGTTGTTCAACGCTTTCCAGGCTAAGTTTTTTCCTTGTTTTAATGACTGGTTCATACTCCCGTTTGCTTGCTTCAGGTATAAGCCTTTAGTCTTTCGTCAGTTTTTCCCTCGCATTTTCTGTCCTGTATGTTTTTGTACTTATTGTTGAGTCAAAATGCACTAAAAGTTAAGTCTTTATAGTTTGTAGGATTTCATTTTTTTATTATTTATTATTATTATTTTACTTTTTATTTTTTACATTAAATTTTTTTTGTGTTGTCTTTTATCTACTGAATAATGGTTAGGTTCAATTCTCAACAGTATTTGGTCGAACAGAGATATTTTGACTAAAGCAGGGTTTGAACCCACCACCTTTAGTAGAGCAACTGGTGTGACATTTCAGAGGTTCTGGGTTCAAATCCATGCATTAAAATTTCTCTGGGCAACCTCACATCAGTAGCTTTCTTTCCCCAAAACTACTAGAAATTTGTCATTGATAATGCAGCTTTTTTTAACTTTATATTTCACTATTTTAGCGAGAATTAGAAAATTTTGAACTCATAGAATTCTTTGTGAAGAGGTTTCTCAACAGAAAATTACCGGTATATAACTTTGACAACCAGGCGTATTGTCCAGTCTACTCTTCACTGTTCAATTTTAGTCCTTATCTTTTTTCAAAGTTAAAAAGAGTAGGTTCGTGTACACGCAAGGTCCAAAAATATTTTCAGAGTACAAGCAAAATTTGAATTGTTTGTCATTCTCGCACTCACTTTGAAATTGTTGTCTTTTTGGTTACAAGTGTCAAAACACTCGATGTACTACTAACATTGCACTTTATACATAACATGTAGCACACACCGCGTATGGTGTGCACTCTTGTGCTTTGCAACTTCTCTGTCTTTTTTTTATTTTTGGTTTTTGTTTTGGTCTCAAAAAGGCACTTTACGTATCGCCACTTTTTCTCTTGACACAATGGAAGTTGTTCCTCATAATGTTGTGTTGGAGGAGTGATTGTGGCAATACCTTATCTTTATGTCACCTAAATGTTTAAGGAGTTTTAAACACGAAGCCACTTCCAAGAACTTATACATGTAACTAAGAAATCACTTTTTGTAAGTATTTTTACGAAAGAAAACTCTGGCCAGAAACTCTGGTGCTGAATGTCCGCTTCATATTAACCTGTCTGCCCAGCGGGGCATTTTTCCCCACGTGCATGACGTGTTTATGAAATAAATGAAAGTGAAGTTGTGGCAAACGATTTATACTGACAAAACATTGTAAGGCTTGGTTTAGATAAAAGGAAAAGAAAAGAAAAATCTTTAATTTCTAACTTCATCGTAAATGACTTTACATGTAAGTTTGCCAGTATACCTGTACATGTACTGGTCTGCTATTTGTGACTGTGACTTAAGCTTGTGTTGTGTACATGTATGATGTCAGTTAAAGTCTTATTGTGCACTGTATGTCGTCTGTGTGTGGCGTTGCCAAAAAGTGTACATGTACATGTACGTGGTTGTTACGGTAAAGTTGTTGACTTGAATGTTGAATATATAGTTTGTGAGATGATGTTCACCGCCACGTTTGGTATACTGGTAGGTTTTCGCTGGTTATTTAAACACTTATAGAACAATACTTTTTCATTGTACAAAATCGCAGAGCTCGATTAAATTAACAGCATTAAAATGAATGACAAAAACACGACTTTGCTTTATCAATTAGAATTAGAATTACTGGTAGAATGCCGCACATGAAATCTACTGGTGGATATTTGAAATGAAATCTACTGGTGGATATTTGAAATGAAATCTACTGGTGGATATTTGAAATGAAATCTACTGGTGGATATTTGAAATGAAATCTACTGGTGGATATTTGAAATGAAATCTACTGGTGGATATTTGAAATGAAATCTACTGGTGGATATTTGAAATGAAATCTACTGGTGGATATTTGAAATGAAATCTACTGGTGGATATTTGAAATGAAATCTACTGGTGGATATTTGAAATGAAATCTACTGGTGGATATTTGAAATGATATCTACTGGTGGATATTTGAAATGAAATCTACTGGTGGATATTTGAAATGAAATCTACTGGTGGATATTTGAAATGAAATCTACTGGTGGATATTTGAAATGAAATCTACCGGTGGATATTTGAAATTGAAATTAAAAATTGAGCACGGGATGTTGTGGAATGAAATTAAAGTATTATTCCAGGGATTTTTGTGTGATAGAAGTGTTAAAATATGCTGAAAAACCTATTTAATGTTACTATCGGTACTTCCCAGTCTGTGTAAAACTTTCCAAAAGGCAGTACTTTAATTTTTTTTTTTTTAATTTTAAGTATTTTGGACATAGGATTTCAATACTGCAGTCTCAAAAGACAGTTGTAGTGCTTATGATGTGTCTATTTTATCTCTGTATTTCTCATTCAGTTAAACGAAAAATGTTTAGCAGAATGGAAGTCGAATCAGTCTTGAAACAGTTGTTTCCAAAATGTTATATTTTTGTTTGTTTTGGACATTTGAATGGTTGTACTGTGTACATGTGACGTGTGCATATAAATAGGTGACTTGTTACATGTACATGTAATTGATGTCCAGTGCAGGTGTCATCCTCTCCCTACGGTCTCTCTGGATGTTGTCACATGACTGTCACATGACCTGTCACCTGACAGACTTACGTGTACCAGACCTTCTGAAAGTTGTCGTCTGTCAAAGAAAATGTCCGTACTCACATGTACTTTAACCGTTCATGTTTGTTACTGGGCATTGCGTCGGCCATTCTTTCACCTTGTTGGTTTTTGGACTTCCCCCGATTTCCAAATTTTTTTTTTGATTTGTTCTTATCTCACGCTGTGCTATCCTTCGTGGTCAATTTGCGCTGGAAGTCCCGTGCTGTGAGTAGCATAAACTGCCTTTCATCTTCCCTCCTCTTTGCTGTGATCGGATTGTGAAAGTTGTTGTCCAATTAAGACCCGACGCACGAAGAGAAGATTTTTTTTTTTTTAATTTCGGATTTCAGTGTTGTAACAAATCCATCCCATCTCACCATCGCCGGCTGCCTGTACCTCCCTGTTTTGTCATCAGCAAAAAAAAAAAAGTTCATTCATCATTTCATTCATCATTGCATCGAAATGTCGTGATCCATCATGCTGCAATCATTCATTGTACTGTCATGCTTTGTTTCATCGTTGTTTGTTTTCATGGTGCTCTGTTTACATTATACCACTTGCTGGCTATTGTGTCGTGACTCTGTGAATCATGCACGGGAGTTTAGTTGATTTTTTTGTATATTTTTGTTTTTATTTGGTTCTTCGGTCGTTGTCGCTGCGCTGATTTCACACATCTGCAGGATCACATTGTGGTCACTCTCCCATGCTGTTAATGTTGTCATATGCGTGTGTGCATACATACTGTACGTGTTCATGAATCTCTTTGTGCAGGCAGTTATGTGAACACAGACCTGGGACTTAAGGGTTAGTGCTGTGTAGTTACACAAGAGTCCTCATTTTGTTGGAGCACTCAAAATTACAGCGCCCTCCTTTTTTTTTTTATAAACACCCAAAAGTGAATGCACATTTTGGGCCTTTTGAGGAATAAAGCATTTTTGACTCGCAGATAGAGGCATGTTTTGACCCCTCTTCGGTTGAATATTCAAAAATCTTTCATCGCTTCCCCGAATGATATTTCCCCTGTTGAATATTCAAAGTTACATCACTGTCTGTTGGCTTGACTACAGGATACCAAATGGCTGTTGTCCAACCAGATTCGATCACTCAAAGGATTCACTGAAGGAATGACATCTTAATGCATATTCATCATACACATGTATTTCTGTGACGCTTGAATACAATCAGATTCACAGAGGGATGTTCCATAATATGGTTTGCAGCCTACTGAATATTCATGACGCAATCCATCTTAAATGAACATGTATTTGATCCATCCTTGAAAGAGATGCCCTACTTAAACTAACTGTCCCAAATTGAAAGTAAACAAACTAAAATACGTAGCAATCAAATTACACTTTTGAAAAATTCATGTTGTTTTTGATGCAAAAACTAACAAACAAAAAACACCCCCCCCCAAAAAAAAACCCACCTTTTTTTCTAAAACAAGTAAAATGGAAGATGAGTTTCTATTTCCAAAGTGGTTTAATTTTGCCCCTGTTAATGGCCTTGCACAATACATGCAATAATTTTGAGTCCCATTGAAGTTTTGATTAAAGAGTGCTATTTTCGAATTGCAAAATGAACAATTAAGCTTTTTCCCCTCAACATCAAAATCAATACTTTTAAAAAACCGAGCAAAATTTTTGAAGAGAAATGACCTTCATTTAGAGAGGTCTGAGTGCAGCACTAATCCATCCAGTTGCCCGTCCTTCTGTTAGTTATTCCTGTCATGTAGGATAGCTTGTCACAAAATACTGTGTGCATCCTCCATTATTTTTAGTATTTTGGTTTTGGTATGAGTAGGAGGAGGCATGAGATTTACATGTAGGTTTGTTGCCTGATACACCCTGATTGCCTGTGTAGTTATGTTGATGGACTTCCTATTTAGTTTTCTTCAAAAGTTGCACGGTAAACATGTGGATATGATTGCCGTGTTCGCAATCTAGTTTCCCGGTGATTTTTTTTTTTTTTATTATTATTATTATTTTTTTTTTTGGTCCAAGCATCCTGTATTTTTTTTTCCACTTTAGCCTGGAGTAGGTTTGGCTGTTGTACAGTCATTGAGTATGTTGTGGGAAAGTGATGTGGAAAAGCAGTAGTTTTGCAAAGAGTGTTTTAAAGCGTCTTTCTGCACCAGCACTGGACTAACTCATCACCATGTGGGTATGCATGTGTTGAAGTAGATAATATGTTGTTGGTTTAAGTTGTAGGCTGCATGGGATGATTATCAAAACTGCATTGCCTGGGTATCTGGCAAGCAAATTTAGGGGCCTTTTATGATTTCACCGATTCTACAAAAATGCACCGACATGATATCTTTGCATCAATTAGAAAAGACCACTTCGGCTTGCTCTGAACAACGATCCACTCTGGAAAACTGACTAGCTCTCACTGTAAACTGCAACTGAACAAAGGCATTGCCTGGAACCAGGATTTGAACCTGCGACCACCAGATTGCCGCTCCGGTGCTCTACCAACTGAGCTATTCAGCCGCTAGTTAGCGGTTTCCAATTACTTGTCAGTGTCCTTGTTCCAGGGCCCTAGTCGGAAGCCATAAACCTGATGCCATGCAGCCACGGATCACGCCCTAATTCACGACGCTAGCAGCATTCAGGTCCGTCGCCAGCCCTGAGCGTCAGGGGTGGGCCATAGTACCAACTAGAGGGGCCCACCATCATAAAAATACAAAAATAAACATGTATGGCTTTTGCTGTTGGGGGGGGGGGGGCCCAATTGGTCGCCCCCTTTGGCGACGGGCCTGGCAACATTAGCAATGCTGCAAACCCGGAAAATGACAAATGGGGATCACTTAAAGAGGAAACAATCTTTTTTCTCTCACAAATTTCAAACCACAAAGGGAAACTGACTATAGGTGCATTGTATTAATTTTGAATTTGAACTAAGAAATTGAAAGGAGCATCCTAGTTTCTCCGAACTCAAAACTCTATTTCACATATTAATACATTCTTAGTTAAAATGTTTAGGTTGGAGAGTGCTTTTGGAAGCTGTTGAAAACACCTTCAGTATAATTGCATGACATTTTTGTATGTTGTTTAATATCATTTTTCATCTTTTTGAAAATGTTTGTCATATTACAAACATGCAGTACAATATTTCCATGATAAGTTTTTGAGTTTAACTTTCGTTCTGTTATGAGTATATTTTATCCCGCCGAGGCATTTTTTTACGTGGTGACATCCCCCAAAAAAATGCTGGACAATTTTTCCTTGGAATTTGGTCAAGCACTTTTCACCTTCATAAAGTGCAAAAGTATCTGATTTCTTTCTACTTTTGTTTCCATCATATACACTGTCGATGTTTTTCCTTGCTCAGTTTTAATGTCTTCTTCTTTGCTTATCTTAACCTTTGACCTGTAAACGTCCCATAATCCGCCTCGTTCCAAAACTTGGCAACCGTTCATAAAGGTAAAGTAATCTTTTCTCAGTCTCAACTGTGCACCAGACCTAACACAAACCACCACCACTAGGTTCCAGAAGCTGGATTTGCATGATTTGTTTAAAAAAGACAAAGAAACAACATTTTGGTTCCGACAAGTTTTAGTTTATCCTGTGTTGATTGGTCCAAAGAAATTCATAATAAGAAGTTTTGAAATCCCATTCCAGTGAAAGTCTGATTCCCAACCCCCCACTACACACCAAACCAATGTGTATGGTACCCTGTACCCCCATGCAAACCAAACACACCAATGAGTCTTTGCAAGTTGTGGCCCAGTCTGACCCCCACTGTATGGTGCCCAGTCCCAACCCAATCAGAAAACACCAGTTTAACAGTAGTGTGTCAAAACCCTGACTAAAATTTTGACCCAGTGTTATGTATGGTACCCTGACCCCACACAATCAAAACACACCAGGTGGACTGTCAATATTCCTACACCCGGTGTAACTCCCAATGTATCGTACCCTGACTCAACACAAGCAAGAAGCACCACTTAACGAGTCGGATCCTTGTCTCAGAGAATGGCACTTTGCACAGTCTTGTCGTCTCTGTATGACACGATGCGAACGTCTTTCTAGTCTACCACAAATAGTCATCCACTTTTACACAGTACATGTACATGTTTACCCCGACTGTCACAAGCAACACACGATTTTCCTTTTTTTTTTTTACAAGAGTACGGTAGATTGCCTGGGCCACTGAGTAAGAGGGATTCAAATGTTATTACCCGCAACTGCATGGCAGGCATATTCCAAACTGTTTACATTTGATTAAACACTGCACTGAAGTTAAATTAATGTGCGGTACCATGGGTGTAGCAAGGTCATTTTTATTGTGGGGGTTAATATTTTCTGAAAAGGGCATTCTCACATCTGTGCTGAAATGTAGACCGGGGGGGGGGGGGGGGGCTGTTTAAAACAGTATGCAAGAGTATGCAAACTAACGGAAAATTAAAGGGTACTTGTTCAGAAAAAAAGGGCACTCACTCAAAACAAAAAAGGGGCACTCGTTAAAAATATTGGGGGGGGGGAATGCTAGTAAAAAAAAGGGCTCTTGAACAGAAATGGGCAGTCTACAGTTACATAATGTTGGGGGGGGGGGTGTATTGCTCTGTGGCCATATTTGGCACCCTGTGCAAATGAACAGCCTTGCATTCAAGGCTAGTATATTGCCCGAAATTACAGCCAATGGTGGCGTCTAGAATGAATACCCAAAAACTGAGCTCAAAATATCGAAATAATCATTAATACTGGAGGAAAGGTGAAGTGAAAAGGTTTACAATTAAGTGGGGAGAGCACACTTCATAAAAACTACATGGTTAATATCTCACAGGGTTGGGGAAGGGTTCAGATCGGTTGCAAACTAGGAATTTTCCTAAAATCCTTAACCTTCTTTTCCCAATCGTGCATAATCTGGTAAATCCCCCATTGTGGATTTTGAAGGATTTTGTATGATTTAGTGTTTAAAATTTCTAATTCAGTGTGGACCTTGCATGATCAGTTTGAATTCTCAACTACCCGGTACATGTAAAGTTAACACCCCAATATACCTATGGAGCAAACCAGTTAACATTACCCGCCGTGTGTAAACGAACAAAGCAGTTTTTGTTGTGGAAAATTTGCATCACTAACTGTAGTGTTTTCATAAAAATGCATGCACCTTATCGAAAGGGTAGCACTTCATAATCCTGTGTTGATTGAAAGAAATATTGATATTAATCTCTTTTTTTTAATTGCCCAGAGGCCCGCTGATCGTTTTCTCCATTCCTAATTTCCTCTGTCTTTTTCCAGTCTTCGCTTTGTTAGAAACAGCGTAATTGTTCTTCTTTCTCGTGTCTGTTTGACGTCATCAATCAATGTGTAGTGCTGCCTTTTTATCAGTTTATTTCTCAGTCTTTGTGTCCTGTTTCACATGGACCTTACTGCCTTTTTCATTTCTTTTCCCCTTTTTGTGTACATCCTGATTTCTTTCCAGTACAATGCCATTTCTTATCTTGAGTTGACCCAGTATATTCCTTTGTGCAGGCCAGTTGTCTGTCTTCAGCCATGGATCGTTTCTAATTCTTTTTTTTTTTTTACCACCCCTTTGTCCAGATTCGAGTTGTCCATGCCTTCCAGTCAGGGGTGAATCACCGCATCGAGCGCAAGAGCCTGAGCAACTCAGTCCACGAGTTTATGGCCCCGCCCATGGACGAGTACGACATTGAGCACACCAAGAAGGACGAGGACAGCGCCCCCACGGTATCGTTCCACAGCGTAGAAACCACGTTGTAGACGTAACGCAATGGAGCGACGGGCAACTCGGCATTCTGGAAAAAGACACAAAACGACCTCTGGCAACTGGTGCACGACCTGCGGCACCAGAACGTGACCTCTAAAGCTTGCATCTGAAGATTGACTTGTAAAACGACCCGGATATGACCTCGAGTGCTTTGCGAAAAAGCGTGACTTTGGGGAAAACGACCTCTGGCATGGGTTAATGACATGTGACATGACCTCTGATGCAGGTTGTGACATTGGAATGACCTCTGTCAAGAAACACCATCCGAACATGCGAGATGACCTTTGATCTGGGAAGGTCAGAGGTCACATCAAAATACACAGAGCAGCTTGGGCGTGCAGTTAGTCGTTTCTACCTGGACCAGAAAACATTTCTTTAGTAAGATTGACACAAAAGGAGAAGTTTGATGATGAAAATTGTATAATGAATGAAGCCGCAATATGAGTAATTGTAAAATATCTGTGGTTATAAGGTGTGTACATGTAGGGCTTTGCTTGACGTAAAGATTGGAGTTTGCAGTGATCAGAAGTTTAGAACGTCTTGGAATAATTGTGCACGCGTTAGGGATTTGCAAAGGGCAAGAGGACTGGTTCTAGGTTTGCAAATTTTGTAAATATATTCTTACGACTACTGTGCTGCCATGTCCAAGAGTGCGGATGGTAGCCGAGGGTGTTAGTCTGGTGCCTGTAGCATTGTACATAGCAGGACGCTGTCTTTCAGTCTTGGATGCAAACAAAAACGCTAAACAGAGGACAAACTTATCACATTGAAAGAAACAAATCACGATGTGGCCATGTCAGTATCGGAAAACCGTTTTTAAAATCTTAATGATAAATATCGTGTTAGTCTGGCGAACTGCTTTCCTTTTTCTTCTACAGGTGTTCATTAGTAATCTTCATGGAACAATTGTAGTCTAGGTAACTTTTTTCTCGTGGCCGTAGTGGAATCGGCTTTAGTGTAATGCTGTGAAGAAATTTTAGCACAAAAAGTTGACTGTAAAAATTGTGGGAAACACCGCTATCGCCTTTTTGTTTGGGTCGATATCTTGATGCGTAGTAATACTAGGTTTCATGCTACAGATTACATCCCATGATCCCTCAGTATTTAAATTGTTTTCTTTTATATGGGTAGCTTTGACAAAAAAGAAAAGAATAGACTCTGCCTAACACTAGTGTTACATACCTTGTTGCATGCTTTTAAATTTCTTTAAACCCTGCCGATGCAGTTACGTTTTTATTGTTTTTCGGCCATAAAAAATAAATAATTGCTTAGATTGTAAAATGTCATCAGGATGAAGTGTATTTATAAATATTTCCAGGTGCTGTTAGATTATTTGCCCAATACTAGTGATCATGATTGAGATAGAAAGAAAAAAAAGAAGTCAAAATTTGCTGTAAAATAAAATAAAAAGAGAATCATGTAGACTTAGTCAGAAAGTTGGGCACACGATAGGCTAGGTTTGTAATATCACTTAATTACTTGCAAAAATGGTATTTGCCATGAAACTTCTTTGCACAAACTTTTGCTTTTTTATATACAAGTATAAATAGTTTTATTTTATCCTAAGTATGTGAGTGGGGTTTGGAGGATTTTTTGTTGTGGTTGTGGGGTGGGGTGGGGTGGGGTGTTAGTTTCTTGTTTTTGTGCGGAGAATTCACTCGACATTGTACATAACATTTCATTCGTGTTGTGACACGACTGCATTCCTGTAGGACTATACCACTGCTTTTACTGCAGACATTTTTGCGGTGTGGTTAAAAAAAAAATTAGACGAATCAAGTCAAGTCGTTTGTTATTTAAAAAGCAGAAACCTACTTGTTAAAGTGTGATAGTGTAACGGACCTCAAATGGGGGATGGGGGGGGGGCATTTGTTTGAGAATAGTTAACAATAGATGACCCTTTAACAGTTGGTGAGAAATGATTGTAATAGTTGCATATTAGCCACAACATAAGAAAAACCAGCCCATGTCATATCTAAGCAGAGATATACACGCCATATCTGTTCAAGATCGACATACTTCTACACTGATAAATCTAGTGTGTCTTTGTGCCAGATGGCAACTAGGTTAATGTGGTAATTAACAATGCAGAAATACAGTTTCCAATGGATTTTTTTTTTTAGATTTGTTGAATGTAGCACGTGAAAATTCCCTAAACAAATCAAGTTTATTCAAATATTAAGTACCCTTCAATGTGCATTTTTCAGGGTAACACTATATATCAGTTACTGTCAGGTGATATAAAAGAATCCATTTGAATTGTGTGTTATTAGCAATTGTAAAGAATGTACAGTTTTGCAATTTGCATTTTGGTAACAAATACTGAAAACCATATTTTCGGTGTAGTGGGCTATGTCTTTGGGTTGTGGGGCCAGTGCAGTATTTCTGGTGTCTACTTTTCGAATGCTGTCCGATCCATGCAGAGAAACCATGTTGACATGGAGCAAAAAAAAAAAGTGGTTGGACATTTGTACACAAGCACATAAGGCTTGGAGTGGACCCAGATATAGGGTGGCCCCTCAAAACGTCTGAACCCCTTCCATTGCGTCTTGATCATTGCCATCTGGGTACTACACCAAGATGGCACCAGCGTGTAAATATTGCAGTGGGCTAACTACAGTTAGTCACATGAGACGTGTTTGCATAATACACGCTCGTGACATTTCAACTTATCCGCATTTTTCTAGTTGCGTCTTTTTTTTCTGCTCAAGAAAATTTGTCGTTAATAATGTGCAAATCTGTAACATGTAACACATTGTGCATTATAAGTGTGGATCGACCTCTCGTGAGCATTTTGTGATCAGAAACTCAAACAAAAATTCCCACAAAGCCCTTTTTCGATTGTCTAACAAAAGTAGTCTGCCAACCATATCTTAGACAGTAAATGCTGCTATCAGCAATTTTAATCAATTTTCAAGTTTACTAATGTAAACTAACATTTTGAGTATGATGTACAAATTAAAAAGAAGAAAAACAAAACTACACGTGGTTTTGACTGTAACTATTTATACAACCAATGTATGGTTATTACAAGTAGGTTTTTGTTTTCAGTGATTATTGGAAATAGCGTTTAGTGTGGAGAACATTTTCAATTGTATGTACATATTATTGAAAAGGGTTGCCATGGCGGCCTACATATCTTCCTGGCATTTGCCGGTTGTTTTAGGGTTTGTTTCAATTTTGAACATTGATGGAGAAAAAAAAAGACGCTTGTACTATTATAAATATAAATATATAAATATTAAACGACGGCGCTTTTTGAGCTTGTACGCAACACAGTGTTTTCCCCTTATACTAACGGTTATCACACTGCTGTGTGAATTGAATTTTCTGATAGTAGGATTGAAATGAAATTATTAATCTTTAGTTTCTAAAATTGATTCAAGAAAATATGCATAGTGCGGATTTCGGGAGAGCGCCTTTCTTTGAATTTCGTTTTCAGCGTTTTTGTGGTCTTTTAATTTGCGTCGTTTTTTTTGGTTATATTCAGCATTGTTCACAAACCATCGTGCATGTAGAGTATGGAATAGCCGGTTGCACACAAGCATCTATGATATTCACGCAGATTCTGCGATTAATTGCGCAAAAGGAGGCTCCATCTTGACCGCCAGATTCTGACCATTCAGCGGGCGCCTTCTATTGGGTCTTCCGTAACCCGCTGTTGGATTACAAAAAGACATGGCAGCCAAATTGACCAATTAACAGCTTAGTCCACATTTCTGATCGAAATGACGTCACAATTTCTAAAGTCGACTCCGATTGGCTGGCGCGCGGTCGCATAAAATTTGCATGTTAGGATATATATCAGATATTTGTTGTGTGGCTGTGCACACCTGAATGTCTGATCCCCTGACTACGCGCATGCTGCTGGTGTTAAATATCAACATCACGAGGTGGAACATTGTTAAGACCAAATCTACCAGTCTGTGCTAATGCGACAACCTAACAAATGCCTCGGACAAGTTGTTAACAAATTTATCAGCAGTTTACTTCGTTGATGGCATGGTTTGACACTAATGCTTGAAAAACAATTTTTGTCGCAATATTTTTTTTTTTACGATGCTTCACTTTTTGTTTGCCAAAAACCCCCGGCTTTGAATTTGGCCCCATGCCTTTTTGGTTGCGATTTAATGAACACACAGTCCTTGTCAATTTGTATGATGATGCATGTGGCATAATACTGCATGGGGCATCGTACTGATGCATATTCATGACTGATTTAAAACATTCATTTGAATATTCACGAGATGAATGATACTCATGACTCGGCTCATAATCTACCTCTGGAACCGTTAGGGTTCCACACACACATAAAAAACAATCCCTGTTATCCCTTTTTCCCCCCGCTTGCAAAATGCAGTAAGCGCTCACAATTTTTGCTCTAAACTGTAGGTAGATTTGAAATGTATAAATTTTCGACATGTTGGAGTTGGCGGATTTAGTCGTGGCAGATGTAAAAAATAAATGAATTACATTCAACTTTCAGATGCAATTGATGTGTTGTTTCTAGTGTAGTATAGTGTACTTGGGTTTCGTTTTTAGTGTGATGCAGATCTGAAGGGAAAAAAATGAATTCAGCAATCGCATCTGTGAATAAAAATCTAGGCCTCTTGCACAGAAAAGTTGGTTGCTATTTAGTTGATTTAGTTTTCGTTTTTTATTTCTCATTTTGCTGTTGTATTTTTTATTCCTTCGGTGGTTCACGTATCCTACATACGAGGTGTATTTATTTGTATCGTGTATATGTTTGATTATCCTTTGTTATTTTTCTATGATTATTTTGTAATTTCTATACATAGCCAAAGTTATATCCTTAGTGTGATTTACAAGTTTATTGCAATTAAAAAGACAAAAGCCCGAAACTTAGATTTTACTTTGTAGTAAATTTTTTTGAAATCCGATGTTTAAAATGAATACAAGTTGCAGTTGTTTAAAAAGGATTATTACCTGGTTTCGGGTTGTGAGTTTCTGTTGTGTTTTTGGTCTGTTTGTCCCATTTTCGTCATTGTTTGTCTGTCTGTCTCCCTGCCTGTCAATCGGTGGTTGTCTGGCTGTGTGTCCGGTTCCCATGAACTATGGCCTCCCTGACATTTCAACTGTATTGTTCATCCTCCGTCCTCCACATTTTGGTCCCAACCACCACCACTTTCCTTGTTGGAACACCACGTCACCGTTTTCACGAAGAGCCACGTATGTCCAAAATTACAATTTTCATTATTTTGCATTGAAACAATGTACTTAACCATTTTGACGTGTTTCTGAAAGCAAAACATCATTAATTTCTAAGTTACATTAATGTTGCAAGGGACAAAAATCTCGATAAATGCATTTTGCGTTTTCACGAAGAGCCACATACATTTTGGCCCTTTGAACGCGTACAAAACCCATTGCACGGAAATACGTAAAAGTAGAGAAAATGAGATTTGCGTTTTCACGAAGAGCCACATATCTTTGTCACATTTCAGCTGCGCGCGCGCGCTCACGCGCGCCTATGGAAATACACGTTGAACAAAAAGGGCCAATATCTCGAAAACCTGAATTTGCGTTTTCACGAAGAGCCACATATCTTTATTGATTAATTTTCACTAATTAACTGTGTATTAAGTCTTATTACCGGTTCATGTAAAACTTCAGCTCTCGTAGAATCGTGTGATGGTTTTCTTGCTGCACAAAGTTGTTGCAAAGTGGTATTTTTTGCAGTTTAAAAGTATGAGAAACTTCTTTTGCGATTATATCGAAAACGCCTTTTCTTCAAAATCCACATATGTGGCTCTTCGTGAAAACGGTGACGACCAGTGGTACAGGCGTGAGTTGTGCAAGATGAAGTAACGCGCGTCCTATCCTCCAAGGCCCCGTTCCGCCCCCTGCCCCGCCCCCCCCCCCTGCCGCCCCCTGCCACGCCCTAATGTTTACATTTTGGACTTCATACCACCCTTAGAGCTAGGACCCAGCTTTAGGCTACGCTTATACATGCACAGTAACGGTACGAAATGGCATGAGCGTGGGCGTCAGCAGGTAAGGGCCAGGGCCAGGACCAGGAGGGTATAGGTCCCGCTAGAAAAAAAAATATGCATATGAAATTACAGGCCGCCAACCTTTCATTTGTGTTTTTCTCACAGTACTCGTGACCGAGTTTGAATACCATCATGGACCTGGTTAAAATCATATCTAATTCGTTAATTAGCACTGATGGAAGGTCCATCCCGTCACCTCTAGCTCTAATTCTCGTTTGGAAAAAACTGACTTCTCCGATTTGCACGTCACTCGATCCGTTATAGGCCCCGCCCACCAATCTACAATATAATAACATGTTCCAGCTAAAGGTACTGTGCGCGTGTCTTTGGCCTTCACGCATGTCAGACTTTCGTAGCACGTCAGACATTAATCACGACTGTGATTGGTCAAAGCATCTTGGGCGGGGCTTAATGGGTAGGTACTATTCCCCGCCGGCCCTACCCGTGTATGTATATCAAACCTCTACTCTTCCTTTGCAAGACCGACAATCATGTTGTCTTTTCGTTCCTGCAGTTTGTAATAAAATACATGCCTTCTTATTTTAAACCCTCGCTCTAGATGTTTTGAGGATTTTTTTAATATTTAGGGCTACATAACAGGTCATAGACCTATTAGTTATAATTAGTAATTTGGCAATGTTGTCGGGAACATCGATGAAATCCCGCTGAACAGTCTGTTGATCAATTAAAAAAAAATTTGATTCGTAACCTAATTTGACTTTCTCGACTTCTTTTGTTTTGTCTTTTTTTTTCTTCTCTTCAATCATTAATTTGGACTGACCCTAAAGCCGAGTTTTGCGCGCCGCTGAGGGCGGGGTTGTTTGCATGTGATCTCCGATCGACGTTTCAGGGCGGGGGAACGAGCGAACCTTTCAATGGCATTGGGCTGAGCACGACCCATATATAAATTGCTTGCTTTAAAAAAAAGTAATGGACATTTGTGGCGTTTTCTACACTTGGTTAATTTTATTGGAAAATGCACTTCTATAAACATTTACAAATTTCCCGTGCTCTTCTGGACAACTGAGGGCGCTATTGCTTGTTCAAATTGAAACCCCAAAGTTGCTCATTGAACACAGTTGTGAGAAACGGTTTGCTCATATACTGCCATGTACTGACTCAAATTCTGGCGACTTTTGGTGCTGAAATAGCTGTAACACTGAGGTTTCTTTCCCTGAAATGACATCACAGTTTTGCTCAAGGATATGGAGATTTGCATAAACATAAAACAAAAAGGCAACAAAATATCCTTGAAAATGGCAAAACGAAAATTGAAAATATGGTTCAATGAAACACAAAGGTCCATTTTCAAGGATTGCATTAAAACAATTATATTGCAATGGGCCCTTTAAAACGATCAACCCTACCAAAATTTGAATTCTTTACTATACTCTAATTCCAGAAAATAGGAATTATACCCTCCTGATTTTTTAAACAATATGCTCCCAGCTTATTGGATTTTGTTTATTTTGCAATAGGTTACATAATCAGTGAATGACCGAGGACTTTTTTCCGAGTGACAACTCCTGGGACCATACCAAGAGGGTGTTTAAAGTCAAGCCTAGGCGTGGCCCTCGGAGTAATAAACACGGAAAGGAAGGCTTTCAATAAAACTTTCAAGGAAAACCTTGCTTATTACGTCTGGAAAAATGAAGATACATTTTCAGTTTGCAAAAACTAGTATACTTTGGTATACCTTACCAATTTAACGGCGCTGCTAAGCACAAAATGTGATTAGCACAAAACAAGTCTGGCTTATGAAAGCAGGTTACCAGCCAAAACTCCATGTGAAGTATATTGCTAGCTTGTAATTAGTATTCAGCTGTTGTTTGCTTGGCATGAAAATCACATGGAGTTTTGGCAGTTTTACATCACGGCCAGGGCCAGGGGTAAGTGAAGGAACGCGCACGCGCCCGTGGTTTTCTGGCCGTGAAGCCCCGCCCACTCAAGGGCGGATATCCGGAGGTACTAGGTGAAGCCAGGGGGGGGGGGGGGGGGGGGGGGCTAGGGGTCCATCCCCCCCCCCAATAAAAAAGAACCCCTTTTTTTTTTTTAAAGTGACGTCGCCATAAAGGCGGGCACTGCGTACACCATCTTTTCCTCGAAATAATTGCTCAAAGTGGTCAAAAATTGCCTCATGATCGCACCCGTACCACAGAGCATCTAGAATCTAAACGGTTTTTTTTTCGGGGCACCCCTCGCCGTCATTTTGGACCCACTTTTTGGGGGACCAAAACAATTTTTTTTTTGTGGGGGGGGGGTGGGGGGGGGGGTCTGGATCCGCCTTTGCGCCCACTTTGCACGTGGGAAAACAACACGCGAGACTCTTTAATGTCACAAATTACATGCCAACTGCGTATTCCAGCTACCCGCGCGCACCGTATTCCACGCCATGGCCGGGTACGCGACATAATAGAATAAAAATACGCGCGTGCACGCGCAAAGCTAGCAGCTATCGTGACGCATATTCCACGAGATGATCATGTTCAATGCGTCTCTTTTTCCAAGTGATTTTAATATTACAGCACTCGTCATTTTTCCCAATTGGTCATCCCCCGAAAATAGCACTTTTCATTCTCTAGAAAATTCTTTGAAAGTTTGAACACAAAAGGACGTACCTTGTCTGATTGGTACTTCTCACTTCACGTTGAATTCCAACGCAAAAATGAAAACCAGCGAAGGACCTGTCATCATGGCTTTCCCATAGTGCTTTGCGACCTGGTACATTTTTGCTTCTTCCGGTTCTTCGTTTTCTGACGGTGAGTGTCAAGAACTGTTCCCTTGTTTTACTCGCAATATATTCCATTTCATTCATCAAATATTGGTTGAGGAATTCACGAATATTTTCATGGGTATTTTTGAAAGAATTTGGTAAATTTTACTTTTTTCTTTGTTGCGCAATTTTTGATTGTGCGGTGGTCTAACGAAGCCGAAAAGCTTTGTGTGCCATCACGTGAGAATCGGTTTTTATTTTAATATCAAATTCTGAAGAGTTTATCCAAAAAACTTATTTCTTCCCACTAAAGAAATGATTGAAATATTCTGATACCATTTTGGTTACTTTCAATAAAAACTTAAATGACAACTTGAAGGTAAATATGGCGCCTTGCTTGGCCTTTGTGAACTTTTTCTGTTCCATTTTTTTTTTAATTGTTGCCCGGTTTCCGGACAGCCGACAGGAATGTCCTTTCATTAGTTTCAAGCTTCATAAAACATCGTCTTTTCGTTTTTAGTTTTACTTGCATCATGAAGTTAGAGTAGGCTAACATGAAGCCAACTCGCTTTTTTGACATATTTTGAATTAATGTGCTATCATGGCAATTGGTCATAGGCCCTATCATGCCTATTAATATTATGTATGTTTTAATCATCCGAAGTTTGACTTTGAGGCTTTGTTTTACATTTTAACATGTTAAATTAAGATGTAGGCTAGGTGGGTTAAACGTAATTTAAACTAAATTTTTGAAAATGGGTTTTCACTTTATTTTAAGAGATTTTTTTTTTTTTTTTTTTTTGCAGGAACTACAAATTATGTGTAATAAAAACAGGGGTCCTACATGTCCTACTGAAATGCGTCAATAAGCGTCAACAAGCATCAACGGTTGTCAACCCAGCGTCAACAAATTTTGTATAAGTTTTAGAACATCAAAAGACGTTTTCTATGGTAGAAATAGTGACAAAGGACACATTCATGATATAAAATAAAGTTAAAATTATTTTAAAAATTGTTTTTTTGAATGCGAAATGTACGAGTTTGTCGATTAGTGTTGGCCGCCATCTTGTTTTGATGGCACTGTACACTTCGCGCATTAATGGCTCTGTTCACGCATGCGTAATACAGCTAGCTTCACAACAAAACGGCGGCCAACACAAACTCAACAGAGTCGTTGTACGTTTCGCGTTGAAAAAAAAAAAAAATTGAAATAGTTTTTGCTTTAATTTATATGCTGAAGGTGTTCTTTGTTGCCATTTCTACCATATGAAGCTGGTTTTGATTTTCCAAAACTTCTACAAAATTTGTTGACGCTGGGTTGACGACCGTTGAAGTTTGTTGACGCCCGTTGACGCCAGTTGACGCCAGTTGATGCTTGTTGACGCATTTTATCTATGCATTTTGTATAAAGAATTTGTTTCCATATTATTAGTACTAGGGGTCTAGTTAAGGACATTTTGTCATGAATTGACATTGACCATTGTCATGATTGTAAAAACTCACCATGGAGGGGTGACCACTGCCTGAATCCTGCAAAATCCTCCGGTTATGACTGTCAATAGGCTGAGGCAGAGGCAGTGACATCCTGGAGCAGTGCGGAGGATGTCAAGTATAATCAAGGACTAAATTTATGCACGGCTGAGCATAAACAACACAAGGTCCGGCCCAAGACCTTGACACAGTGCGTACTCCGAAATCAGCAACGCACTTTGGCCATGTAACCTCAATCCTGCAAATTCCTCCAATTTGCAAAAAGGATTTTGGAGGATTCAGGGCGGTTAGGGTTTTAAGGCAGTTAGTCAGCACCGCTGTCTTAAGTAAATGGCATTTTGCTGGATAGGCACTGAACATGTGCAGTGACTGTTTTGGGGACTTGGGAAATTTTTACCTTGACAATCTTAGTCTGGCTCCGCGCCAACATTGCCATTGTGACTTCTGTCTAAATTTAAAAAAAAAAAACGCATCAGGATGTTGAATATTTATGTTTTTTTAAGTGAACAACTGAAAATGTCTGTATCATAACTTAACCATAACCGCCCTGAATCCTCCAAAATCCTTTTTGCAAATTGGAGGAATTTGCAGGATTGAGGTTACATGGCCAAAGTGCGTTGCTGATTTCGGAGTACGCACTGTGTCAAGGTCTTGGGCCGGACCTTGTGTTGTTTATGCTCAGCCGTGCATAAATTTAGTCCTTGATTATACTTGACATCCTCCGCACTGCTCCAGGATGTCACTGCCTCTGCCTCGGCCTATTGACAGTCATAGCCGGAGGATTTTGCAGGATTCAGGCAGTGGTCACCCCTCCATGGACCATATTCAAGAAACAACGGAGGAATTTGCAGGATTGAGGCTATATGCTATTTTTCCATGAGGCCAATTGGAGGATTTTGCAGGATTGAGGCTACATCCTAGCAAAAAAGGCCTAGGGAGTTAGGGTTAAAGGATTGTTTTTGCGCATTCTGAGAAGTGATATGCCTGTTGTCTCTTTTTTACAAAAAAAGTGACTGTTCTGTAGAAGGTCTTGGGAAGCAAGATGTAAATGTAGTTGATAGGACATTCATGTGTTACATGTGATTAACTGCCAAGATGTCACTGACCACTCTATTTCTTGTTTGTACCCTTTATGGCAGATGTCATCGAGACCTCGTGAAGATTTGGATAGCCTGTCTCCAGCCAGCAAGAAACTTCGACTTGACCCCGAGTCCCAGGTGCTAGCGGAACAGTCCAATAATTCGGTAGCTTCATCAGAGAGAGTAAGCAGTAATGACATACACTTCCGGCTACACTTTGCTCACACCCACTCCCCTGTTGTGGCAGTCAAGTCTGTTACGTCCATAGAGCTATTTTGAATTACTAGAGCGCTAACTCGTCATTCTGCGCGCGGAGACGCTTTGAAGCGGTCCGTGGCGCAGACATTTTGAATTCATGTGCGTGTTTGTAGAACATAATTAAATTAGATGGATTGAATTTTGAAAGTGTACTCTACATGCAACTCGCAAGTAGAAGATACGCAAACAACTTAAGTGCATCATGACGGTTAAAAAAAACGTGACGGCAAAAAGCATCTGCAGCGAATACGCGCACACGTTGGGCTGTTTGCGTAGAGCAAAATGACACACTCATTTGCTGATCTTGCGTTTCAGTTTTGGGCGTATTGGCTTCGGTAACGCACCGGTATGAAATACAAACGCAGATATGCAAATAGCCGTACAAAAGCCGTACAAAATTTCTAGGTCTCCATAGGTTTGTGCACAAACATGGATGCGCCCAGCAGGCATTACTTTGTACACGAAGTTAGCGCTCTATGGTTACGTCCCAACTACAGTCATGTGGGGCACAACAAGTCTATCAGTAGTCCGCACAAGTCCATCTCAAGTACATTACAAGTCATCTAGTCCCAAACTGGTCAACTGAACTGTGGTCAAGGAATTTCTTTGTTGGTGTTCCTCCTCTGTTTCTTTTAACCAGGCTTGCGATGAACTCAGCAACACTGCCTTTTCCATGGGCACTTTGTGATGGCTAAATTCAACAGATAGCTATTGCACTTACGACCTGTCTTAACCCTGCTATGCCCAGTGCAGTTGGCAGAGAATTATCAGACCTTTCAAAACATTTTAAATTTGCCTGACTAAAAGGGTTTTGAAAGGTGAAATAGTGCTGGAACTTTGAAACTTTTCAAAAGGTTTCGGAAGGTGAAGCAACTCTGTGGGCAAATTCAGTAAGTTGCCTTTCAATACCTTTCGAAAGGAATTGAAAGGTGCGGTAGTGCAGTAACAACAAATTCTGGAGGGTTTAAAAGGTCCTGCATTTTTTGTCCTCCAATTTGCCAGAACTCAGATTTTGAGGTGTTTTGAATGGTCTAACTACAGTAGAGTTAATACTGTACATGTAGTTCTGTATACATGTATACGTGTGCAAGCGCATAGAATGTGTGTGCATGTAAAATAGTGTTGTTGGTAAGCTACCCACAATGCTTTGTATTTCCTTCACAATATTTTGTAAAAACGATCTGGGGTCCCCTGTGCTCCTGGATAGGGAGAAGAGTACAGAAAAAAGTGTTAGCTTATCAGTCATCCGTACAGGGCAAAATTCAGAGTTTTGTACACAGAAACAATTGAATTTTTGAATCATTTAGTATTTGATTGTTCAAATTCGCACCCAATCGAATGTTCAAATCTTTGAAACATACCAAACAAGTTTTACGTGCGCAAGCCTAAACAGTGCGCACCAGTTCAGATATTGCCGCACGCGCCAGTCAGGAAAGTGCATGCACACGCCATTAAAATGGTCCACTAATCAGAATTTCCGTTCACAATGGCTCTATAGATATTAACCCTAACCCTGCCAGACGCAGCACAGTGCATCAGGTGGAAAAGTCTGGTGCACTTTGATGGAAAATGCTACCAACACCAGTGCAGAAACCGGCCACTTCTGAGACACTGAGAGCTAGTCCCATGGAACAATGCCCGAGTTGTATCCTGCTGCAGTGGGTGACCATAGACTCTGAGGCAGTTTGGCCTTGAGCCTTTTGACCTGATGGATCTTGCTACACTGGGCAGGCTTGTCACTTAGACAAGTGTTGCATGTTGCTGCGTTTGGCAGGGTTTCTAGCCAAAATACCCTGGAGGGTTAGGGTTAAGAAGGTCATTTTTGTATAGATACATTTGTTGATGCAGCTGACCAACTGATGCTTGGAACATTTTAAAGATGAAACACGATTAAAATGACGTCATGGGCATTTCTTCTTCATCCTCTTGAGACCGCTTACATGTGTTGAACATTCAGATATACTTGGTACAGCCCTAAATATCATCAAGTACCAGTTATCATTACTTTAAAACCCTAACTCCCTAGGCCTTTTTGCTAGGATGTAGCCTCAATCCTGCAAAATCCTCCAATTGGCCTCATGGAAAAATAGCATATAGCCTCAATCCTTCAAATTCCTCCGTTTCTTGAATATGGTCCATGGAGGGGTGACCACTGCCTGAATCCTGCAAAATCCTCCGGCTATGACTGTCAATAGGCTGAGGCAGAGGCAGTGACATCCTGGAGCAGTGTGGAGGATGTCAAGTATAATTAAGGACTAAATTTATGCACGGCTGAGCATAAACAACACAAGGTCCAGCCCAAGACCTTGACACAGTGTGTTCTCCGAAATCAGCAACGCACTTTGGCCATGTAACCTCAATCCTGCAAATTCCTCCAATTTGCAAAAAGCATTTTGGAGGATTCAGGGCGGTTAGGGTTAAGGACCCCATTCTTATATAACGTTACTAGACTCGCTGAAACAGCTGACTACATTACACTAAAAAGTGACATTGTGATATTTCTTGACACATCTGAACAGCTGGAAGTGACATCGTCTTGAATATCAGCAGGTTTAATCTTGTGGAAAGAGGGGCAGGGTTTTGATTTATGAGGGAAATTCATATTTGAGTGAGTTTTCCTCTTGTTCATTTCAGGGAGCCATGGCTAAGAATGGGACTGATGGCATCGATGAGAGCTTGTATTCCAGACAGCTGTAAGTGTGTTTTAGTTCTCTAGAATTAAAAGTACAATTTGAGTTTTCTGTACATTATGTATGTACATGTACATGTATGTATTTTCACCCACTCAAAGAACATGGGTTGCCACACACGTATGTACATGTATGAATGTCACATGTACAGAAATTTTGGCCATTTATATTAGCGTATAAATATTGGTTATACATGCAGGTATGGTTGGCAAGAATATAAATTTGTGATGCGATCAAGTTAAATGAGTCGTTTGTCGACCCCGGTCAAAATTTGTTTTTATTACAGATTTGAAACGAGCACAATCTCAGCATTACTGCTGTGAAAACTGCATGCTGTTACCATCTTTAGTTCAAAAATTATGGAAGTCGGAACACCAAGAGATGTGATGTAGAGATGTGAGGAATTGGCCCTACTTTGGCCTGTATCTCCAAATGAAAATTCCTGACAAACAACTCATGTAGCTTGATCGCATCGCATTTGTGAACAGTACTTAACAAGAACTTTCAGTCTGAGTTTTCGCAAATGAACCACAAAATTGACCCCCAAAAAAGTAGTTGTTTTTTCCATGTCATTCAGAAACTACTTAAGTTTACTCATTTAAGTCATTTACATTAACCCTTTTTTGTTTGATCAGTCACAGACAGTCACAAATTCAATCCTATTCCCCTGCCATACCTTTTACACATGCTAGTCACCAACAGTCATGACATATTTCAATAGGTATCGTGACTAGTCAAATTCCATCAACAGACCCAAGCAGGGACATGTACATGTACCGGTAGCTGGTAGGCACAGCTGGCTTATCAATCTCCTACAGTCAAAGCATACAAAATGAAGCTACATCAGGTGTCATAACAATCACGGCCAGTCAATCCTGCTTTATGAAGGCAGGGAGCACTCAACTGTTAAAAACAGTCACTTGATTTATTCTGACTGCTGGGCTGGCCTTGTTGAAATTGCCAGCCAGAGAGGGAAGGCTAATTAACCGATGGAAACGTGCATTGTCAGCCTGGTTAATTACTTGGATCAATATTGGTCAAGACCCCCATTGGTTTGTACACAGTATGCCAGGAGATCAAAATTTTGACTTTTTGTGACCTCTTAAATAGGAGAGTTAATGAATTCATGTGAAAGTAAAGTTTAGCCTTTTGTGCCTCAATTTCATCAGTATTAAAATGTCACGATTTTGATCAAGGTTAAGTGTGTTTGAACTTCATGTGTGATGTCAGTGTTATTTTTATCTTTTGTGTTTGTTTACAGCTACGTGCTGGGTCATGATGCCATGAAGCGCATGAATCGTTCCGATGTGCTCATCTCGGGCATGGGTGGGCTGGGAATCGAGATCGCCAAAAACGTCGTCCTTGGGGGTGTGAAATCTGTCACCATTCATGACGAGGGAAATGTCACAATAGAGAACTTAGCATCGCAGGTACGTTCCACGTTTACTGGTTAGCCAATTTTGGGGATAAACATCCAGAATTCCCAACTGCAATGGCACTTTTTTTTCTGTATTGTAAATTTCTTGAATTGAGATTTTCAGTATTTGTGAATCTTCTGAAACAATTAGCAAGTTTGGTTTTCAACTGCGCATGTGCACAATGGTATGGGTCACAGGCCATTCGAGATGATCGCACGATGCTTGCTACTACTTACGAGCAGAATGAACGTGAGCGTAACATGGAAGTTACAAGACACTTCCATTTAATCCAAAATGACCTTTGACCTGGACTACTTGATCGAGATACCGTACTGGCTTATTGTGGTAAAATATACACTTACGGGTTTTACCATACTAGTCTTTAACAATGCAAAACCCTTCAGGTTTTGCATCAATATCTTTGCCCATGGAGTTAGCACATACTGCAAAATCCTTTGTAATAATCGTGTGTGCATTATGCTGTGCCCTTCAAAATCCCTTCAGTCTCTTTGGACGAGCAGTTGGGTGGCCTGTCACACTCCACCGCACTCTACATGTTCGAGACGCAGTGCCTCTTTTGCATAGACGATCTGTCACTCGGCATACGTGTAGTTATTTCACATGAGAAAATTGGAAGGGTATTGAAGTGTGACAATTTTGATTTTAACCCTAACCGCCCTGAATCCTCCAAAATCTTTTTTGCAAATTGGAGGAATTTGGAGGATTGAGGTTACATGGCCAAAGTGCGTTGCTGATTTCGGAGTACGCACTGTGTCAAGGTCTTGGGCCGGACCTTGTGTTGTTTCTGCTCAGCCGTGCATAAATTAGTCCTTGATTATACTTGACATCCTCCGCACTGCTCCAGGATGTCACTGCCTCTGCCTCAGCCTATTGACAGTCATAGCCGGAGGATTTTGCAGGATTCAGGCAGTGGTCACCCCTCCACGGACCATATTCAAGAAACAACGGAGGAATTTGCAGGATTGAGGCTATATGCTATTTTTCCATGAGGCCAATTGGAGGATTTTGCAGAATTGAGGCTACATCCTAGCAAAAAGGCCTAGGGAGTTAGGGTTAAAGTAGGAGTATTAAAATAAAATACACCACTGTTTGTAACCGACAAATTCAGTTGAAACTAAGATATCCATATGTACATTCCCATGTCATGACTGTCTTTCCTTGCAGTTTTTCTTCACGGAAGCCGATGTGGGCAAAAATCGTGCGTTAGTGACAGAACCCAAATTGGCTGAGCTCAACACGTACGTGCCCGTCAAGGCAGAGACCAAACCTCTCTCAGAGGAACTCATCGGCAAATTCACTGTAAGTATTGATTTAATTAACCCATCGACATGGTGAAAAACAAAATCAACATGGCAGTCTACAACAATACGTGGTGAAAAACAAAATCAACATACCACCATCTACATGGTGAAAATTATATAACAACATACCACCGTGTAAACAGTGAAAAACAAAAATATACCGTACGTATTGATTTCAGAAAGTCATTTACCCTCCTAAGCATTATTCAAACTTGGGCTCTTTACTCAGATATGTGGAAAGTCACATCGAGTGTCTTTCTGATCTACATGTAAACACTGAAACTCTGGGTCAGAAACATTAACTGACTGTAATTGACCCCTTGTATCAAGCAACACTGGAATTGTATGAATATTGATGACATGAACTTTCCAAGGGTGTACTGCACCTGTCTACCTGAAGAAGGCATGGTCAGTGTTGTGGCACTACCCTAGTGGTGTGAATTTAGGGCTAGTACGGGAACCGGGTACCCTGAAGTAAAACACGGGTTCCTGTAAAAAAAAATAATTCAAATTCAAATCTCAAAAGTTGTCCGAAAGGCTTTATAGCTTTACGGTGTATACGGCAACTTTTGCGGGCATCGTCTATTGCATGTTAAAATGCACATAATCAGTCCTTCTGATTTGAGGCGTGCGATGGCACCCCCACGCCATCGCACGCCTAAAAGCTTCCTGAGAAGTGCTAGTAATCGCACGCCTGAATCCCTCTGTACCGCACACCTCGCCATAGATTTATGGCATAATTAAACTTAATTATATACGTAATTTGTGAAAAAAAGTACGTTGGTGAAGAGAAAATGGCTTTACTGTAAAACAAGATGAATATGATTAAAAAAAACCTGATTGTTCCCGCTTGGACCACAGAATCCCAAGCTAGAAAAATCACACGCCTACAAAAATCCAGGTGTGCCTTTTTCCACACGCCTGTGATTTTCAAATCAGTAAGACTGCATAATCATAAAATCTGTTTTGGCTTTCCATGCACATGTAGCCTGGTTTTCATTTTGAAAATGCCCAGAAATGGCATTCAAACCTTTCTTTCTCATCGTCTTGGAAGTTACTTAGTAATTTGTAAAGTTGGTTACGGGTACCCCATCCCATAATTGGGAACCGGTTCCTGACATCGGTAGGGGACAGGGTCTGCCGTACCACTCGGAACAGCTAAGCTGCCGGTATTACTTATTCTGGGTGTATTGTCCTTTGAAGTTGAAGTGCCAAGAATGTTCCATTGGGTGCAAGTGGTGGATTTTGAACAGAATTAACGTCAACACCCCTTGCATTTTACATACAGGTGGTAGTGTTGACCAATAGCAGCCTGGAGGCCCAGCTCAAGATTGGAGACTTCTGTCACTCCCGAGGCATCCACCTGATCGTGGCCGACACCAGGGGCCTCTTTGGCCAGATCTTCTGTGACTTTGGCCCGGATTTCACCGTGATCGACACAAATGGGGAGGAGCCACTGAGTGTCATGGTTGCAGCAATTACCAAGGTAGGTGTGGCTTGTGTCTGACCTTGGGGCGGGTTTTTTGAGTGATTGACACAAATGGGGAGGAGCCTTTGAGTGTCATGACAGCAGACGTTACCAAGAGGGCACGAGTCTGATCATGGGGGTGGGGTTTATAGAGATTGACATTAGTAGGGAGGAGCCTCTAATGGTCGTGGTTGCAGCCATTAACAAGTTAATTGTGGCTGGTGTTTGAATGTGGAGGCAGGGTTTATACGGATTGATATCAATGGGGAGGAGCCTCTGAGTGTCATGATAGCAGTCATTACCTATGTAGGTGTGGCGTGTGTTTGACCTTGAAGGCGGGGTTGAGAGTAATTGACACTAATTGGGAGGAGCCTCCGAGTGCAGGTGATGTTATTGCCAGGGTAGGTGTGGCTTGTGTTTGAACTGGGGGAGATTTAGAATGAGTGACACCACTAAGGTAGATGTGGTTAGCAGAGTGCTTATTATTGAAAACGACGTCTCATGTTTTCAGGGGTGAGCCAGCAACACATGATTGACAGTCATGAAAATGGAGAGGCAGTTTCACATTGTATTTTTAAGTCATGTCTTTTTCTTGTGACTATATCAATCCTTCTCTAATGCACTTAGAATATAATAAAATAGAAAAAGAATGTCCTTGTAAAAATAGACTGGGAACTGAGCTCTCATCACTAACTCTGTCTTTCCTCAACGTGTATTTTAGGAGGAGGATGCAGTGGTGACATGCCTAGATGAGAACCGTCACGGCTTTGAGTCGGGAGATTACATCAGCTTTACAGAAATCCAGGTAGGGTCGGTCCCGCCAGATCTCCTGTTAAATGTCACGTTTCCTCGGATCAGCTGATTTTCCCTGTCTTGAGCAACTAAAAAAACTAGTTAAGAAATCTTGAATGTTCTCTCTTAAATGTTTGTGCATTACTTCGACCATGTCCATAATGGACAGTGATGTGCAAGAACTTCAACCTTTGCTTAAAGGTATAGTCTGTCATTTGTAATTTGTGCATTTTGTGCGTTTGAAGCAACAAAAGTGCTCAAGATCTAAAGAAGGGTGCTGAACAACTAACCTGATGAAGTTTCAGCTCGGCTTTAGCTGTATATTTTGAGAAAAACAACATTCTAGGATCTCGATTTCAAATCAAAAGTTGCTGAATCATGTTTTGAATTGGGCCTGAATTCAGCTCCGAGACACGTTCTCACTGAGCCGATTGCAGCTACGCGATGTCGCGCACTGATCCGACGAATTATAGCAACCGCGCGGGCGTGTGCGTCGTGCTGAAGCTTGGCGCGCTTCGCCGAATAACAAAACAAAATACAAATTTGAATTTTCTACGGTGCTTCTTAAGAAGCACCATTGGAAAGGCCTTCTTTTGTTGATTTCTTCAAAATGACAGCTTGCCAGAAAGATTGAGTCAAACGGTTTCTTGTCTCTGCTGCAGGGTATGGCAGAACTGAACTACACTGACCCTAGGAAGATCAAGGTCCTGGGCCCCTACACGTTCAGCATCGGTAACACCGAAGGGTTGTCAGACTACGTCAGGGGCGGCATCGCCAAACAAGTCAAGATGCCCGAAAAAGTCCCCTTTGTGAGTATGCCAACTGGTTTGTGTAATGCTTCATTGTCGTCTCTATCCCTAACTCTCTTGGGTGATTTACTGGGAACCTTCAAATCCCAATGCCATTTGATAAACTGTTTACATAAACAGTTGGGGTTTCTGTTTATTTGTGGTATGCCTAATCCCACGTAAAGCACAGTCAGTTTACTAGTGCAGTACTCATCCTAACAGATTCCAATGAACCCTTGTGTTTGGAGTTTGGCTGGAGGGGGATTGTTAGAGTGAATGTTTGACTTTGCTCCTTTGATGTAACTAGTGCAGTGCCCGTCTAAAATGTGCATGTTTGGGAAGGGCAAATTGCTTGGCCACTGGTATTGGTTGCTTACAGCATTTTCGAGAACTGCTCGTGCAAACAACGCACGCGATTCAATGATGTTGTTTTCACAGGTTGAATGCACACTCACAGGTTGAACGCATTATAGTAAGAAAACATGTAGAAGAAAACTGTGCTGTTGTTTATTTACCCATTGTTGATAATGGAATAGCCCCCCCCCCCCCAAAGTGAAGTACCCATTGTTGATAATGGAATAGCCTCTCAGTGAAGGTCAGCTAGCTCTTTGCACATGCGCGTAGTGTTAATTGTGACGTCACACAACTCAGTGGCGCCATATGCATGCATGGTGTTGTTCTCACAGGGAGAATTACAAAGCATATCAAGTGATGTTTTCTTCATAAGAAGAAGAAATGTTTGAACTTTTGAATAGTGGGTTTTGCCGTTCACTGACATTGTTTCACTGTAATATTGAACCTACACCTCACCAAATGTTAGAATTATATACATATAATTTTTTTCTGAAGAAGAAAAGCAGTTTGAATTTTTTCAGTTTTCGGTTTTGCCCTTAACTGATGCAGTTGCAAAAGCACTGTAACATCGAATTTTTATCTCCCCAATGCAGAAATTCCATGAAGAATTTTGAAGTTTAAATCAGATTTATTGTGATTCCCTCGACAGAAATCCCTCCGTCAGTCTCTGGCCGAGCCAGAACACGTCATTACCGACTTTGCCAAGTTTGACCGGCCGGGCCAGCTGCATATAGGATGGCAGGCCATTCACAAGTTTGAGAAGGATTATGGCACACTACCTCGTCCTAGAAACAAAGTAAGAATCGCTCAAAGTGTTGTTATATCAGTGTCCTCAATATGCAACTTTTTCATGTCATGGTTGGCTGCCTGCTTATACGGGGCGAGTCAAAAAGAAAGTGACCTAATGAGAGAAACTAAAAAAAAAAAATGTGGCTCCCACCATTCAATAATAATAGCGTAGGGATAAAGTACATTATTATTGATTATATAAGCGACATACATATCCTTGTCATTTGATTGGTGGAACTCACATCACGTGTCATTCGTTATTACTGCCATTCACGCCGGGGCTCAAAAGTACTATCCGCCCATGGGGAATGGGAAATACTATTGAACAGTTATGATCATTCTTGTTCCATGATGCGGTATTTGTGTGCAAATGCATGCTGGTGTGCGCGTTCAGCATTACGCGTAGCGCGTATTGTTCCAAAGAGCCAGTGCTACAGAGTGGGGTTCAAACATTTTGGTAAAGGGGTGGTTTGGAAGAGAGAAATACATGTGTTACCAATTTTGTATTGAAATAAAAGTTCAAATATCTCAAATGACAAGGATCTATATGTCAGTTCTATAAAACAAATATTGAGTGGCTTTAAATTGTGAAATGGGAGGAATATTATCGCTCTGTAAAATCTGGACTATTCCAGTTCACGAGGCAAAACCAAAACTGGAATAGTCCAGATTTTACCGAGCGATAATATTCCTCCCATTCCACGCTAAGCCACTCAATATTTGTATACTTGTAAACTGAAATTTCACGTAACTTGCGTTTTATGTTCACAAATTATGTCTATTTTGGTACAAACACAACATTTTTGTTAGCACTGATGGTCTGGGAAACGCTTTCATTTGTCTGTGGTTTACAATGTACAACATAGTTTGAGAGGAAATAGTGTCAAAATTTGCTCTCAGAACATGTTGCTGATTTGAATTCATTATTTTTTGTTGTTAACAGGATGATGCAGCTAAAGTATTAGCCATTGCTAAAGAGATCAACAGCCAGGCCACCGATGCCACCAAGCAAGAAGAGCTAGACGAGAAACTCATGTCCCACCTGGCCAGTAACGCTACGGGAGACCTCTGCCCTATGCAGGCATTCATTGGTGGAATCACCGCCCAGGAGGTCATGAAGGTGCGAGGTCAAGGGTCGGCATATAGAGCTAGTTTCAGTGCAAAGTGGCGCAATAGCTGCTAAGCATAAGTTCAGAATTGCAGTAAAAATTGTAGCATATTCAATGACACCCTGTCTATCAAACCCCTTCAACAGGTTTTGACAGTTATGTGGTTTAACCCTAACTCCCTAGCATAATTTACTAGGAACCATACCCATCCTGGCAAATTCCAACACCATATGGGAAACTGCACACAGATATTTCTGACTTTGTTTCTGGAGGTGTGCCAACCCAATGTAAAAGACTGTCAGTTTAGGGGCACTGTACCCATCCTGACAGATTCCAAGCAAACATGCCGTTGGGCTTTGATGGGTTGAGTTCTGTTAGGGTTAATGCATTGGTGTTCTGGCAGTTGGTGACTAGCCTGTACAAAAGCTATGGGAAAGAAAGTGGGTTGGTTTTTGACAGTTTGTGACAGTCCTATAAGTAGGAGGGTTAACAATGCAATTTTAAAACTACCTGATACACTGTGCAGCATGTGTTAAAAATTCCTTAGCTATGACTTTTATTGGGACTCGTGTCTTACTCTTTGCTGCTGAACTTGGTTGGGTTTGCTGGCTGGTTCAAAATAAGGATGTGACTTGACACGTTTAAGCGAAAACAATCTAAGTCCGTTTACAAATGTTCCAAAATATTTTATAATAATAAAAACCATTCTTATATAGCGCATATCACCATGAGGTCCCTATGCGCTTTCACAAAATCAACAATTATACAAATTGAACAGATATTTAAACGAAACCATAATTATAAAAAAGGGACGTATGTTCACGAGATCTTCGTTTTGAGTTAAACATACATAGCACAAATAATTGACGATGTTTCCAAACCTATTTGTTTTACAAAATGTTAGAAGCACTGCAGTACTTCATTACATTTGGGGTACATGTGGTAAATTGTTTACTTTAGAATGACTGCCTACTATTTGTTTATGTCAATCATTGTTGATTTATCATGTCAATCTCATCCGCCTGCAGACATAATGGGCAGACATCAGCCTGTTTTGAAATGGCAAAATGTTCAGACGTTTGAATCGTTCTTAAAATATTTGCTAAATGTTTACAAAAATTAAAGTCACATCTTTAAGTCGAATGTAATATAGAAGCTGTTACTGCAATAAATGAAATTTGGTGAATTTTTGTTTTGTTATGCGCATTGTTGGAAGTAGTAAAAAATCCATCAAGGATCAAGTTGTTTGAATTGTGTGTCATGTTGTTCTCTGCAGGCCTGCAGTGGTAAATTCATGCCCATTCGTCAGTGGCTGTACTTTGACGCTTTGGAATGCTTACAAGAGGACGACCCCGAAGGCTTGACAGAAGAAGACTGTAAGAAGGTGAGCAGTCACAGATGTTACCTCAGTTTACCCTCACTGTTGGACTCGTTTGCCAACTTGGGCAGTTGATTGTGCTAAAAAGCGTTACTTCGAAAAAACTGTGTGCTTGGCAAAATCAAGCGTAGGGGACTGACTCATATCATGTGTGTCAGAAAGAACATTTAGATCCACGAACAACCTACTACTATATGGTTGTGTTCTCAGGCAAGACACTTTACAACAATTGCCTCTCCACCCAGGACTGTAAATGAGTAGCTGTGAGGTTGGAGACCAGATTGCACCGATCTTGAACTGTTGCATAAAAACTGATCTCTTGACCCGATGAAGAAGGGCAAATAATTGCGAGGCGCTCAGAGTCATTAACACTAACTAACTAGTCCTTTTTGCTAGGATGTAGCCTCAATCCTGAAAAATCCTGCAATTGGCCTCATGGAAAAATAGCATATAGGCTCAATCCTGCAAATTTCTCCATTTTTTTTTAAATATGGTCGATGAAGGGGTGACCACTGCCTGAATCCTGCAAAATCCTGAGGCAGTGACTGTCAATATGTTGAGGCTTGACCAGTGCCATCCTGGAGCAGTACGGAGGATTTCAAGCATAATCCAGGCCTATATTTAGGCGTGGCTGAGCAAAACAACACAAGGTCCGGCCCAAGACCTTGACAAAGTGCATCCTACGAAATCAGTAACGCACTTGTGCCATGTAACTCAATCCTCAAAAATTCCTCCACTTTGGCAAAGAAGATTTTGAAGGATTCAGGGCATTTAGGGTTAATGTAAAATATCGTCACACTTGTTATAATTGCAGACTGGTAGCCGATACGACGCCCAGGTGGCCGTCTTCGGCTCAGCCTTCCAACAGAAACTGAGTCAGCTCAAGTACTTCATGGTGGGCGCGGGAGCCATCGGCTGTGAGCTACTCAAGAACTTTGCCATGATGGGGGTGTGCTGCAGCCCCCAGGGCAAACTCACCTTGACCGACATGGACATCATTGAGAAGTCCAACCTGAACAGGCAGTTCCTGTTCCGACCGGCGGACGTGCAGGTAGGTGGACAGCAGAGGTTTGTGGGTAATGCAGGGGTTTGTGGGTAATGCAGGGGTTTGTGGGTAATGCAGGGGTTTGTGGGTAATGCAGGGGTTTGTGGGTAATGCAGGGGTTTGTGGGTAATGCAGGGGTTTGTGGGTAATGCAGGCGTTTGTGGGTAATGCAGGGGTTTGTGGGTAATGCAGGGGTTTGTGGGTAATGCAGGGGTTTGTGGGTAATGCAGGGGTTTGTGGGTAATGCAGGGGTTTGTGGGTAATGCAGGGGTTTGTGGGTAATGCAGGGGTTTGTGGGTAATGCAGGGGTTTGTGGGTAATGCAGGGGTTTGTGGGTAATGCAGGGGTTTGTGGGTAATGCAGGGGTTTGTGGGTAATGCAGGGGTTCGTGGGTAATGCAGGGGTTTGTGGGTAATGCCGGGGTCAAGGGTTATGGAGCGGTCGGGGTTTTGCCAACCTTGTTCCCATTCCACCATGCTGTGGGCAATCTTACAGCCGTGTCTTTTTCAAATTTAAATCCATTACTTGGGAAACTTTAATCAGGCTAAAATGAAAGTTCCATGTGGAGATAGGATGGACACAAAATCTATTTCACATACAGCCGTGGATTATGCAGAACTTTTTGGCAGTTGTTTTCATACTTTTACCTCTCAAGCATAGTTATTGCCAGAGTCCGTGACGCACCACATGAAAAGTGGTATTTTTGTATCAATTTCCAACGCTGGTCGGCCGACAAGTGTTGGGAAAAAACTGGATTTTTTTTCAAATATTGGCCCCAATTGACCTTATTTAATTAGTCCACATTTGTTTGCAATCGTACACACCTATGAATGGGAACAATCCAGCTAGACTGGTTCCTTGACCTTACAATTTCCCAATCCCCGCTCCAATTCATCTTAAATGGGGTCAGGAAACCACACTACAGAAAAATGATTGTTTTTCATGGTTTTCATAGCATCTATGAGCCCAAAACGTCAAAAAAGTCAGTGTAACAAAATTTGCTATATATTACCAACCCCCAAAATCCATCCATTTCTAAAATTACAGCAAAAGCAAATGATGTATATTCCCTTTACACCTAAATCCTTCCTCAGATGCGCACCAATAACCATTTTTTTAAACTTGTGTTTTTGTTTTATCCGTCTCTTAGAGCCCCAAGTCCAACACAGCCGGCAAGGCAGCCAAACAGATGAACCCAGCACTTAACATAGTTGCCCACCTGAATCGCGTAGGACCCGAGACGGAGAACGTCTACAACGATGACTTCTTTGAGGGTCTGGACGGTGTGGCTAATGCCTTGGACAATGTAGATGCACGTAAGTCCACAGTTGTGCACATCTGTAATATCTATCTTAACCCTAACCCTGTTGGGGTGCTGTGGTCCAATGGTTACGGTGTTCGACTCGTGTGCCGTGGTACATGGGTTCGAGTCCTGACCGTGGGAACATGGTGCTTGTGCTCTTGAGCAAGGCACTTTACCATTATTGCTTCGTCCTTCGGATGGGACGTAAAGCCGTAGGTCCCGTGTGTTGTGTAATATGCACGTTAAAGAACCCAGTAACACTTATCGCTAAGAGAAGGGGTTTGCCCCGGTGTTTCTGGCAGTGGCTGCAATATGCGCCGCAGCACCTTGTAAACCCTTATAAGGTGCTACATAATGGGTCTCATATTTCTCATAAACTTTATTTACCTTTCTTTAATAATAGACATATCTCCAGCGCCTTGAGTACCTAATAGTTGGTAGATACGTGCGCTATATAAGACTCGGATATTATTATTATTAGACGCAATACTGTGCATCACGTATAAAAGTCTGTGGGGCCTTGCTGCACCTAGCCATCATCACCAGTGCATAAACGGCTAAATTCTGAAACAATAAGAGCTAGTTCTATCGAACAGTGCCACAGTTGGTTTTGGTCCTGTTGCAGTCGGTGTATGACCACAGACTCTTCGGTAGTTTGGCCTTGAGATTCCTGACCTGAATGATCTTGCTACACTGAGCAGGGTTGCTATTTCGACAAGTTGTGTTCAGCAGGGTTTCCAACCAACTTGTGATGACTTGTGATTGACTTGTCATGACTTGTGATAACTTGTGGTTTTCTTGGGTGTACTTGTGATGACTTGTGATTGACTTGTGATGACTTGTGATAACTTGTGGTTTTCTTGGGTGTACTTCTGATTGACTTGTGATTGGCTTGTGATGACTTGTGACTTGTGGTTTTCTTGGGTGTACTTCTGATTGACTTGTGATTGACTTGTGATGACTTGTGACTTGTGGTTTTCTTGGGTGTACTTGTGATTGACTTGTGATTGGCTTGTGACGACTTGTGACTTGTGGTTTTCTTGGGTGTACTTGTGATTGACTTGTGATTGGCTTGTGACGACTTGTGATTGACTTGTGGTTTTCTTGGGTGTACTTGTGATTGACTTGTGATTGGCTTGTGACGACTTGTGACTTGTGGTTTTCTTGGGATTGACTTGTGATTGGCTTGTGACGACTTGTGATAACTTGTGATAACTTGTGGTTTTCTTGGGTGTACTTGTGATTGACTTGTGATTGGCTTGTGACGACTTGTGACTTGTGGTTTTCTTGGGTGTACTTGTGATTGACTTGTGATTGGCTTGTGACGACTTGTGACTTGTGGTTTTCTTGGGTGTACTTGTGATTGACTTGTGATTGGCTTGTGACGACTTGTGATTGACTTGTGATGACTTGTGACTTGTGGTTTTCTTGGGTGTACTTGTGATTGACTTGTGATTGACTTGTGATGACTTGTGATTGACTTGTGATGACTTGTGACTTGTGGTTTTCTTGGGTGTACTTGTGATTGACTTGTGATTGGCTTGTGACGACTTGTGACTTGTGGTTTTCTTGGGTGTACTTGTGATTGACTTGTGATGACTTGTGATAACTTGTGGTTTTCTTGGGTGTACTTCTGATTAAATTGTGATTGACTTGTGATGACTTGTGTCTTGCTATAACCTGTGGTTTTCTTGGGTGTACTTCTCATTGAGTTGTGATTTACTGTGAAACGCCGCTATAACGAACACCACTATAACGAACATTTGGTTATAACGAACGTCCTTACAGGCTCCCGAAATAGTGAATTCTATTATAACGCACAATGACTATTACGAACAACCACTATAGCGAACACTTTCTGTGGACCCCATCGTGTTCGTTATAGCGGCGTTTCACTGTACCTGTATTTTACTTGTGATGTCATGTGATATGTGATTGACACATGACTCCTCTTCCCAGGTATGTACATGGATCGGCGCTGCGTGTACTACCGCAAGTCCCTGCTGGAGTCTGGCACCCTAGGCACCAAGGGCAACGTGCAGGTGGTCCTCCCGTTCCTCACCGAGTCCTACTCCTCCTCCCAGGATCCTCCCGAGAGGTCCATCCCCATCTGTACCCTCAAGAACTTCCCCAACGCCATCGAGCACACCATCCAGTGGGCCAGGGATGAGTTTGAAGGACTGTTCAGGAACCCTGCCGAGAACGTCCAACAGTACATGAGGTTGGAATGTTGTTTCTTAGTATGCAACCAAGAAGTTGCAATTCAATCTGTCCAAAAACCACGGCTGTGCCGTATATACCCAATATCTGTCGTTGACCGAATATCCGCATAGGATTTTGCCAAAAAATGTGAGCCGAGTCGAGAAGATGGCGAAAAACATCATTGATGTAATTTTATTTTTTTATAAGTTGAGAGGTTTTATTGTTAGCTAAATGCCACTTGTGTGTGGACATGCACCTTAGACACATGATTTGAGAACATCCCTGAAGAATATTAGCTCTAATTTGTATCTTTAAAATCTGTCCAATGTCAGCCATCTCAAAATAAGTCAGTTGTCTCAACAAAAATTCTCGATGTGTACATGATATTGGTAAAAACTTCTTTTCTCATTGTCAGTGGTTGAATATTCAAATATTCGATCAAATCCACGTTCAATTAATTGAATATTTAATTATTTGAAGATGCACAGCGCTACCAAAAACACTGTCAACATTTACGTGTTAACTTTACCTGTTGTGCTCCATGATTGGCAATCTATGTCCCTTATATAGTGTCATTCCACCGGGCTGGGATACAGTGCATGTTACATCCAAACATTTCGTTACATTATTAAAAGTATCAATGTATTCTAAACAATTGCTCAAAATAATATTTGTCTTAGGGTGTTTCAGTACTTGAGAAAGGTTTAAATCATTTGACTGTACTTTGACAAAATGTGAGCAAAAATGTATTAATTGAGACGTAACATTGACACTGTCAATGTTACATCCAAATGTTCTTTTTGTGCCATTTTTTTACACATATGTTACCCAAACTGACATTGCATATTTATAACTGGACACCTTATGCACCTAGAAAAGCTTTTGTTTGGGTATAGTCATTGTTCAAATAAAGCACAAACGATACCTTAGGCCAAAAAAAAAAAAAAAAATTTCATTTCAGTTCTGCATCCCATGCCTGTTCTTTCGCAAAAAATTGTATAAATACATTATTCAAGCATTTAAGATATTCAATTGATACATTTCATTCCAATTAATTCGTTCTGGCGTCCATCGGCCAGGTGCACCAATTCACCCCGATATGTTTGTGCAAAAATAATCGTACTTCATAGTTTGTAAATTCAAGTTTTTAGATCGTCGCGATTTTTGCACGTGTCAAATCATGGTCAGTTTCAAGTGTGGAAATGGTTTATGTTCGTGGCAAATAAAAAGTACTTGAAATGTTTGAAATTTGTTATTTAAAATGATCAATATCAACCTTCAAAATGGCAACAAAAAGTTTGAGGTCGGCAATTTGGCCGAAAAAAATCCAGGTCGGTCGGGTTACCGTAAACACATCATTTTTTTGTTTGGCCTTAATGTGGACTTAACAGTGTCAAAATCACTCAATGGAAGTGTGTCATTTGGGTTGACACTGTGTGTCAATGTTACGTCTTTAACCAAGCTATCATTTCTGCTCCATTTGATACCTGACTACCGTAACCAAAGCTTTTCTCAGTGTGTTGCATATATATAGTAAGAAGCACAAAAAGTGAATTTGGGTAATGTTTTACACAATTTTGTTTAAAAAGGTACAAATATAATGTTTGGACATTGACAGGGTGTGTCAATGTTTTGCCTGATTGACATTTTTGCTCAAATTTTTGGCAAAATACATTCAAATGATTTAAAACTTTCTGCAGTAGTGAAACACCCAACAACAAATACTGTGTAGAGCAACTGCAAGCAAGGCATTCATACTTCAATCTGTCTGGATAACTATGTAACTGTGTTCATTTGACCAATTGCCATTTGTGAGTTAGCCACGCCCCTTAGACAACCCTATGGAATTTTTGTAAGCTAAGTTTTGTTTGTCTCAGATGTTGCGCGTTCCGCGTCTATTTGTATATCATGTTATTGGACAATATTTCACAAGCTGCGTTGAATCTAACACGATTCTACCGCGATAGGTCAATTACTGTTAAATTGTGCAATTTTGCTCTGTCAGCAATATGCAATCACAGTTACTATAAAAAAAAAAGAAGCATTTTTGTAACACATGTTTTGGGTTTGTTTTCCAATAGTGATCCCAGATTCATGGAGAGAACAATGAAGCTACCAGGGATGCAACCGGTATGTAACCTCAAATCAAAACACTTCTTTTCTTTTTGTTTTGTTTTTTTTGGCTTGTTAATACTTAACCAACTAAGTCGTCTTCATATTTTACTTTTGAAACATAGAATGCAGCATTGAATTTTGTTGGGAAAAAAGCATTCTTAAATGAAGTATATATGTATGTAAATTAATTAAGTACTCTCAACTTCAATCTGCGGACACCTATCTAAGGGATGGCGTCCGGTTGTATCAGCCTTTTATAATAATAATAATATTAACCCTTACTCTCTGAGGGTAGTTTACTGCATGTCAGTTGGTTATGCCAATGCCCTCCAGCTGCAGTTATTTGGCAGATAACAAGTCTTAACAGTGAAGGCTCCAATTGGCAGGAGTTGGAGGCCCTGGAGGGTGCCTGATACTGACCAGCTGGGGGCACTCACTTTGTTATCAGAGGACTCTCATTGTTCTCTGTGGCATGTATTGGAGTGCCTGTCCAGTTACCCTTGAAATGAAATGGCAGATATTGGAGGGCCATGCAAAAAACATAGGAGATTTTCTTGAGGCACAATTGGCATGCATTGGAGGGTCAAGTAGGGTAAGGGTTAATGAAGATTTATAAAATGCACATATCCACCTATTTAGGCACTCAAGGCGCTATAAACACAATTAATCCAATTTACTATAAAAAAAAAAATAAACATTATACCAGTGGAGAGAGAGAAAAAAAAAAATTACAAATGATTAAATAAACAACAGATGCTGAAATGGAGCTGGTGCCTAGGTGCATTCCTCCCATGTGAACAACATGAACGTCGGCCTACATCGTCAGGCATCTCCAATTCAAATGCATACATAAAGATGTGGCGAATGCACACCGATGCCCACGCGGCTCATGTGATCAGAATGCACCTAGCTCAGATAACAATAAACGGAAAGAATTAAGTAAAAGCCAGAGTTGTCAGATGTGTTTTAAAGGAATGCTTGGAAGGAGAGAATGGAATCAGATGTCCTAATGTGTATCCGCTCCGTTCACAAGTACCCCCTCACTGGCAAAGAGAGTACAGTTGGGGGTGACCGACCGACGCCATCTTGCCTGACTGCAATTCATTTGCCGCGAAGCGCGGCCACTGCGTGTACATAGTACAAATCCCCTGGTGTACGTGCATCACACACAAGGAACGGTGCACGTCAACCAGAGAAATGTCCCGCCTATGAGACGTCGTTGCTAGGTAAAAGGGCGCCCTCTTTTGTCGGTGCACGGAGCCCATTGGTAGCTGGTTCCACAGGCGAGGTGCTGCTGCTGAAAAGGATCTTTTCCCCATGAGCGGTGTGATATGGGTTCTTGGAGTAAATATTTATTACTTGATCGAAGCGTGCGTGGTGGATTGTATGATGAGAGGAGATCAGTGTTGTAAGAGGGGCTTTGCCATAGAGAGCTTTATAGACGATTAACATATTAACCGTTCGTTGTTTTCTATTTTCCCCTTTACCATGCAATAGTTTGAGACCCTGCATAGCCTGAAGACCTTCCTTGTGGACGACAGACCTGCAAACTTTGACGACTGCATCGCCTTTGCCAGGATCCGATTTGAGTCCATGTACACCAACCAAATCAAACAGCTACTATTCAATTTCCCCCAGGACCAGGTAAATAAAATTGGATTCTGCTTTGTTTCTGAAGTGGGCATTAGTACTTCCCTTATGGAGAAATAAGTATAAAAGATATAAAATGGATTGACGGTGGATAGTCGACACTGGTTCCCTGAGGTATTGGAAGTTGACAAAGTAGTTCCCGAGGGTAAAAGTATACCTCATAAATGTATTCACCAAAATTTGGTCGAGTTAAGAATCCGTTATAGCAAAATATTGTTTTTTTTGTGTGCTGACATCTTTTTATGTAGCTAGTGATTGATGCATAACTAGTGCAGGGCCCGTCGAAAATGTACCTGTTCGGAACAGGCGGAGAACTGCTCATACAAACAACGCACACGATTCAATGGTGGTGTTTTCACAGGTTGAACACACACTTACAAGTTAAACGCACAATTTGTGCATGTCGCCATCCCCGGCACTGATATTCACCCATACTGGACAATGGTATCGCCCTACAGTGATGGCTGCTCAGTCGCCTGCAAAAATGCATGTGCCCGTGCAGCCACTCACGTACGTGAGTTACTGAAACATGGTACGCAGTGCATGCTATTCACCCATACTGGACAATGGTATCGCCCTACAATGCGTGTGCTCATCCTTTGTCCATTGTGTGCGTCATATTGAGCACGCACGCTTAAGCTCAAACATGACGTAAACAATTGAAAAGAACGGCAGCGCGTGGTGGTCTAGGCTATCATACTGCCACGTTTGCTTTAGAAAATGTTGCTTTTTTGCAGCTTTTTTGAGAACCGCTCAACCAAACCACTTCAAACAAACCACTTCAAACTTGGCACTGCACATTCTAGTGTCCTGGGCAATACACCCGCCGATTTTCAACTAAGTGCGGCGCCCGGTTCTTGAGATAATCGAAATACAGACAGACAGACACACAGAGACAGAGATTCCTGGAATTATAGTAAGGATAACAAGCGCAATCGAGTATCACGTGGGTAGCGTGTGATAGTGTACTGCACATGTGGTTTTGAACCACCCCCCCCCCATGAGTGTGACTCAGCACATGCATGCTGGTACATAGCTAAACTATGGTGTGTGATTGTGAATTGACCAGTTAGAATTCAGCTCCAGCTTGTGAATATGTATGAGGTATAGCAGAACCTATTACCATTGCACTTATGTCTAGCTGCATGTGGGCAATGTGCATGTACTCAATACTAGAGCAGTGGTGAATTCCCGTCAGCAGTTCAGACACATAGGAGGCTAGTGAGCATAGTATGGCCGACTTGATGGATCTGGTTTGTCTCTTGTTGCAGGTTACATCATCTGGTGCGCCTTTCTGGTCTGGTCCCAAGAGGTGTCCCCATCCCCTAGTCTTTGACCCATCGGATGTAAGTACTCAGCCCTGAAATTTGTTAATCAAATTATAGGTTTTGCCCTTCACCGACGTTTAAACACTGTATACTCAGTGTGTTACCTCCCGAGTGAAAGTTGGAAAAAATCACCCGGTTGATTTTTTCCAACTTTCACTTGGAAGGTAACACACTGAGTATACAGTGTTTAAACGTCGGTGAAGGGCAAAACCTATAATTTGATTTATATCACCCCGACGCAAAAATTCCATCTTATGAAATTTGTTAGTTTATATGTGATATTACTTGGGATTACAACAATGTGTGGAACTGGGCACGCTGAGGTTTGTACGTTAGCTGACACACATAAGACAGGCATGCAACTTTTCCTCTGATCAGCTGATTTCCTCTTTTTTTTATTCCCATTTCTGTCATTCAAAATAGAAAAACACTGTACAAAGTCTTCTGAATTTTGGAATTTCCTCTTCTTTTGTGAATGTACAGTTGCATGCCTGATAAGATATGTATGGCTGCAGGTAGTCTACACGGGATCAGGAATATTTGATTGGTTTAATACTTATGGACAGTTCTTTGTTTGCGGGGATGTCCACATTTTTGTAAATGACAAAACAGGAGAGGAATAAACTAAAACTTGTGAAGTGCAAAATGGATCATGCATGAAATCTAAATTGACAGTCAGCTTGCATTGCGAAGGGTTGGTCCAGTTATGAAGTTTTAGATCTTGATTGATACTTGAAAAAAATTACAACACATTTTACATGTAGCACAGGCGATGATAAGTTCCAATATTGAGTATTCCAGCTTCCAAGTGTCACATGCCCAGAGAAAACAAATTCAAAATTCAATTTCTGGTGAAACGTGGCGATTAACAGTGACATGTGCCAAGCTTTCGATGGTAATTTGTTTATACTGACGAGGCCCCAATTTCTTTCATTCCAAATCTCAGCCTGCACATATGGACTACCTCCTGGCGGCTGCCAATCTGCAGGCTGAAACCTACGGCCTGCCTCAGAACAGAGACACGGCCTACATACGCAAGGTGGTGGAGGCTGTCAAGGTTCCCCAATTTGTACCGAGGTCTGGTAAGTTGCCTTTGCCTCCGACAGGCCAACTGACAATCGTGGTAGAAAATGCCATCGTACAAGATATTGATTGTGGTATCGGCAAACCCTGGTATTAAGCTCGATAGTGGAGTGGTAAGACGTCTGCTCCAGTAAGCAGGGGGTTATTGGTTCGAGTCCCAACCGAGCAAGCTGGAGAGTTTTCTTCGGAAGTTTCTGTACAGCACTGAGTACACAGTGTTGACAAAATTTAATCACAGAATGGCGAAACACAGTATTAAGACCATTATGCTATTTAAAATTACAGTTCATCATTTGCAGCTATCCAAAAAGTAACTTATCAACTTATTGTTGAATAGCTTCCTTGAATTAAAGATAGTAATGGCAATAAACTCCCTGTGAAATTATTCTTTCTGGCATGCTGTCATTTTGAAGAAAACAATAAAAGAAGGCCTTTTCCAAAGATGCGTCAAATGATGCATTTTTGGGAATTTTCCGTTTAGTATATAGTTGGTTTGTAATTCGGCAAATTTGTGAATCCATGAATGGGTGTGTACAAGCATTGACACGACACACATATATGCGCGCGGTTGCTATTATTCATCAGTATAGTGCGTGGCATCGCGTAGCTGCAATCGGCTGAATGAGAACGTGTGCCGGATGCTGACTTCGGGCGCAATTCAGAACATATCTTTGCAACTTTTGAATTGAAATCGAGATACCAGAATATTGTTTTCTCGGTATTATAGCGTTTACAGACCTAAAACTTTATCAGGTTAGTTGTTGAGCACCCTTCTTTAGATTCGAGCACTTTTGTCGCCTCAAATGAAAACAGTGCACAAATTACAAATGATCTACCCTACCTTTAGATAACTGTACAATTGTTCAATCCTGCTATTGGTGACATGTTTGACTGCGTTGTGATTGACTTGAAACTGAACTATGATTGACTCGTGGCTGACTAATTATTTGTGATATGACGTCCGATCAGTATGTGATGGATTTCTGGTGGACTTGTGAGTGACTTATGACCGGCTTGTGATTGACTTCTTTATAACTGGTGTATGACAGGTGTCAAGATTGATGTGACTGACTCAGAGGCCCAAGCCTCGGCCCAACATTCAGCCGATGACGCTGAGCTGCAGGCGGTTATCAAAGCCTTGCCGTCGCCACAAAGCCTCAAAGAGTTGAAGATTACACCCATAGATTTTGAAAAGGTAAAAACGATTGATGTCCCCGAATTCTTTCAATGCACACTTTGGACCCTTTGTAAGGTTGGTTTGAAAGGGAGGCTAAACTGGCAAGCTTCGGTCTCCTGAACTGGGCCACTGTGGCCTTGTGGTCTGAAGCATTGAATTTGTGGTCTGAAGGTAATTCTGCAGGTTGTGGGTTCGAGTCCTGCCTGGGGCTGTGGTGCGAGTGTCCTTAGAAAAGGCACTCTGTCACTTGTTGCTTCTCTTCACCCAGGAGTAAATGGGTACCTGATAGGGCAGTGATGGTTATTGCGATTGATTTTAACTGCATTGTGCTGATATGGCAGTATCAAGCTGTATACTCCTCAGGGAGCTGAGATTGTCTTTGGAATGTTTCATTGACCCAGTGAGTAGGTAATAATGATGTAGCGCCTTGAGCACCAATAAATACACATCAATATCATTAAATGGATTCCAACATCATGGACAATTCTTGCTTGTCAATCAAATTGTGTCATGGACCACTTAGATCATGATTTTAGTCGAGTTGTGTTAATTTTGTTCACACTTAGGATGACGATACCAATCTGCACATGGATTTCATAGTGGGTGCATCTAACTTCAGAGCTGAGAACTACGACATTGCACCGGCAGATAAACACAAGGTTTGTATTATCGCCAATCAATTTCTGAACTCAAATTATAAATGCCAAAGGAACTGTGGTCAAATCCTTTTCAGAGTCCACCAATAATTCTGATATGGCAGGGATTAAACCTGAAGCAGAATTTAAACTTATAATTATTCACATTTGTATTTAGACAAAAAGGTTCTGCAAGGAATGTGCACGTACTTTCAAAAGGAACTTACTCGGTTTTTAAAATGATTTTATATTTAATGCATACATACTCCTTTAAAGCTTTTTAAGGAAGTAAGGGTCACATGACCTTTTCATATTAAATTTTTCATCTTTTTATATCTCATCTATATGAGATATGGCTTAAAGGTCCAAAATTTCAAAAATCCATATAAAATCACTCAGTGACGTCATCATGACGTCACCTCAATTTTTACCTATTATACATTCCGATCTACCTATATACCAAGTTTGAACCTAATCGGACTTACAGTTCTGTAGATATAGGACTTTAAAATATGCAATATTAAGATGACGTTACATGACCCATGATGACGTCATGACGTCACTCTTAGGGACTCGACTTCACTATGGGGTCTTTACCTGAGTTAAGTTTCATAGGAATAGGACTTTGTGTTTAGGCCAAAAGTGCCGTGCTGAATGAAACATGTAGAAAGGATCTGGGGTACAAAAAAATAAATTAATAAATAAAAGTCAGAACAAAAACAAAGGCTTTTCCGCCTTTTTGTTGTTGCAAATTTGCGAAAAAGCCAAAAATAAATAAAAAGGGAAAAAAACTCTCAACAAAAAGCTGTTCCGAATTGAAATTGGGAACAGCTAATAAAATTTTTGCGTACTTTTTTGAAGACCAAGTTGATCGCCGGTAAGATCATCCCAGCCATTGCCACCACCACCTCCGTCGTGGCCGGCCTGGTGTGCCTGGAGCTCTACAAGATGGCCAACGGCAACAAGAAGCTGGAATCGTACAAGAACGGCTTCATCAACCTGGCTCTGCCGTTCTTTGGTTTCTCCGAGCCCATCCAGGCCTCCAAACAGAAGGTGAGTTTGTGTGGACTCCATTTTATCCTCCTGGCTTTCAAGCCAGACAGGGGGATATTGTAATTGCGTATTCCTTCTGTGTGTCTGGGTGCGTTTGTTTATGGGGTAAATCAAAGACAGACACGTGCAACAGCATCGGTGAATCGAGGACAGGAACCAAATCGAGGACGACCTCGATTAGAAAACGTGAACAAAACCAATGAGAGCTGTTGCGAAGAAGTTGAAGTACAAACAAAGGAAAAAGGAAGAGGAACAAAAGAAAATCCTCGATTTACACCACAGACAAACGTGTATGTCCGTGTGTGTGTGTGTTCCAGTTCACTGTATATTCAGTCATCAATCTCAACCAAACTTGAAAAGTGGTCTGTGGAGAGAAAGGCTGACGTAAGAAGAAAATCCTTTCCAATATGGATATTTACGAGGTCTCTGGGGAGATACTAATGGCTCTAACATATGTAAGTCCGGTGTCCCACCGAAACTCCCCATTCAACTGAGAACTGGTACCTGCTGGGTTGACAATCAAGGCTGTCACTGAATATTTTCCTTGCTAACTGCCTGTACATGTACTTGTGTACAAACTGGCAGGATGCCAGGGGGATCGCGCAAGATTTACTTGCAGTTTCTCCCTTGGAATTGCGTACGGACTTGACGCAGAGATATTGTATAATCATGTCAGTGCACTGTGTAAATTTACATCACAAGCTTTGATCTCGCTGGGGAATCCTTGGATGAACTTGGTTGAAACGTATACCCCAACATGTTTTCTTTTTTTGCCAGGAATTACATTACCTAGGGCCTATTTGGTGTACATTATTAGAATTTCAATTTGGTATTCTTTTGTTTCTCCGTCAGTATAACGAAATTGAGTTCTCGCTGTGGGATCGCATTGAGGTTCAGGGTCTAAAGGCAGACGGCAGCGAGATGACGCTCAGTGCGTTCCTGGATTACTTCCAGAAGGATCTCAAGCTGGAGATCACCATGATGTCCCAGGGTGTCTGCATGCTGTATTCCTTCTTCATGAACCAGGCTAAACTCAAGGAACGCCTGACCTACACGTGAGTCTTTGGGGACAGTCCTGTAGTGGAATCCATGACAAGCCCCAACAAGATTTAACAAGTCCCCACATGTCCTAACAAGTCCTCTCCGTCCCCACAAGTCCCCCAACAGCCCATCACAAGTCCTCCAGTCTCAAGTCAAGTCACAAGCTATTCAAATGACATGTGGCCATAGCATTCCTTTGTCATTGTTCAACCACTGTTACTTGTGACTGGACTTGTGACTGGACTTGTGACTGGACTTGTGATTTACTTGTGACTGGACTTGTGATTTACTTGTGATTGGACTTGTGATTTACTTGTGACTGGACTTGTGATTTACTTGTGACTCGACTTGTGACTCAACTTGTGATTTACTTGTGACTGGACTTGTGATTTACTTGTGACTGGACTTGTGACTGGACTTGTGATTTACTTGTGACTGGACTTGTGATTTACTTGTGACTGGACTTGTGATTTACTTGTGACTGTGCTTGCTTTCTGTAGCATTTGTCAGTAGCAAGAGAGGTTTACGATGAGCAATGTATCGACCCTCGGCGAAAAAAATAAGGAAAGTGTCCTGCAGACCCCCTAAAGGGTGAAGTCCACAGTACAGAATGCTGAAAATGGAAGAAATAATAGGAAATGACGAGAGATAGAGAAAATAAAATTGGAAATTCATATTAACTGTCCTATGCAAATATACATTCTTTGCAAAGTTGTCCTTTCAGTCAAAAGCAATCAAGTGACTGTTTTTAACAGTTAAGAGCTCCCAGCCTACATAAAGCAGGATTGACTGGCTGTGACTGTTTATGTTGCAATAGCTATGCTTTGACTGTAGGTGATTGATAAGCCAGCTGTGCCTATATGCACCACTTGCCTGCTTTTGTCGGTTGACTGAATTTGACTAGTTGCAGTGCTTGCTTGAAATATGATCTGACTGCTGGGCCCAATTTCTTGGCTCTTCTTACTGTTAGCAAAAAAATCCCTGCTTACTATGGCAGAAAATTCCATGCTTACTGTAAGCGTATTTCAAGCGTTAATGAGGAATTTTGGCTTCAGCAATGCGTACATCCCATAACTAGGGATTCTGTACTTACGGGTTGGCACAGAATTTTTCTGCTAGCGCGGTTAGCACAAAATTTGTGGTCGTAAGCGCGGAATTCTGTGGTTAGCAGAGCCAAGAAATTGGGCCCAGGTGACTAGCCTGTGTAAAAGGCATGGCAGGGGAGAGGATTGATAGAGGATTGATTTTTTTTTTACTGTGCCAACTCTTCAGATAGCAGGAGGGTTAGAATAGGAAAACATGCATTTTGCACTTGTCAGTTCAATAACCAGATTTTTGTTCTTTTCACTTTTCAGGATATCAGAAGTTGTCACCAAGGTATCCAAAAAGAAGATCCCCAAACACGTCCGGCACCTGGTCCTGGAACTGTGCTGTAACGCCGCCGACGGTGAGGATGTGGAGGTGCCGTATATACGCTACACGTTCCGCTGAGTCAGGATACCAGACCGGAGTCTTACACAGCAGCCATCTTTTGTTTTTGACACGAGTGTCTATGATGTTCATAGTGAGGGTAACGTTACAAATAGTCTGGTGCCTCTCATGAACGTCAAAAAACAAAATCGGTGGCAATGTGTGACTATCCATACGGTTGCAGACTAGTAAATAAACTGCCATAGACCCTGGTGATAAAATATTTTCAAAAAAATTCATTAAAAAATACTCGCAAATTTCCAAGGTGTTTGAGTCACACATCAACTTGAAGCTTATTTCATCATTGTTCATTTTATTTCAGTTTTGTTGGGGGGGCTAACTAATGTCTATTGGGAGAAAATTCCATCCAAAGATGATCACCCCTAAAAGTAGTCCTGAAGCACATCACCATTTTGAAAAATGGTGCCTGGGCTCCATTGCAAAATAGTGCAATTGTAGGGCCCAAATTCGTCCAACTTTCACAGAAATACGAGCTCGCAGTCCTGTGCACGGCTCCCACCTTTTTTTTTGTACAATACTCCAAGTTCATGGCCAACAAAATGCTCAAATACCGGAGAATTTGAGGGAATGCAAATCGTGATTTGGCCGGCGTAGGCAACATGGGGCCTATTTACTGGTCTGCAACCATAGGTAGCATTTACAAAGAAATATTGATCGTTTCATATTGAAGTAGCTTTGGGCTTGATATCATGGCACTTGTACAGAGTCAGGGGAAAAAAAATTGTGAGATAAGCATATCAGTGCAAGCAGAGTGAAAATAATGCCCCTTGTGAGCAAGTTTACTTAGTAATACTTGCTTTTCATGCGAGATTTCAAAAATCTCTAAATATTGTTTATTAACTGTAAAACGTTTTACTCATAAAGTAATATCGGTATTGGTAAGTATGCAACGTTTGTAAGAATGCTACGTTTACATGTACATTAACCTGGCAGCAAGCAGTTAAATATTTTTTTTTATTGACATTTTTGTGCAAGCCATTCGGTCTGTTATTTACATTCAGGAATCGGTGAGCGTGAGAGAGATGTCACCTTTAGCGCACAGATTGTAAAACGTTTCAATGTGAGCGATGTGAACAAAGCAGCTTTTGAATTCTCTGCTCATATTGTAATAAGGCCATTGTATGTCAATCGCAGATCGTAACGCAAGTCGGTCACAGATCATATCACAAGTCAATCGCAAGTCGATCGCAGACCACATCGCAAGTCAGTCACGGACCACAGTGCAAATCAATCACAGATCACAACGCAAGTCAACCACGGACCACAGCGCAAGTCAATCACAGACGCCAGCGCAAGTCAATCGCTTATAACAACGCAAGTCAATCACATCACAAGACGGTCACAAATCACATCGCAACTTGGTCACAGATTGCATAGCAGGTCAATCACAGATCGCAACACAAGTCAATGGCAAAGCACATTGTAAGTCAATCACAGATCACAGTGCAGGTCAATAGCAGATCACAACGCAATTCAATCACAGATCACATCGCAATTTAATCGCAGATCACAACGCAATTCAATCGCATATCACATCACAAGCGCTCACAGATCACATCATAACTTGGTCACAGATTACATAGCAAGTCAATCACAGATCGCATCGCAAGTCTATCACAAGTCAGATTGCAACTCCAGTCTCAAGTGAAGGGACAATCTTAATGGCTGTGACAAATTCATTCCTCTGTCATCGTTAGGCCCAAAAAAAAAAGTAGTCGGTCTCTGGTCAGCGCGCGCGTCGATTTTAATCATGCGCGTCAACCTTTTTTTTTCCAAAATGTTCCGCGGTAGCTCCAACAGCGCCCTCTATTGCTGCACCTCCTCAATTTCTTTTACCAAAGAGCTCCAAGGAATGGGAAATACCACCAAGGCAAATGATCGAGAGCACCAAGGCAAATTATGGAGAACACCAATGTACATGAGGACACCAAAAAAACCAAAATAGTACCCCACCTTGTCTGTACAATCCAAGCTTGAAAAAAAAAAAAAAGCAAAAAAAAAAAAAAAAAAAAGCCGCGTCGCCGCATCAATTCCGGAACTTTGGTCTGACCAGAGACCGAATATTATTTGTTTTTGGCCTTAATTCTCTGTTGCTTCTGACCAAGTTTTGTAACCAGAGGGGTGTCTGCTAAATGTATGTAATGCGCACGACTAACGCAACTTGGTTTTCAGTTCAAGGCAAATTCGAACACTAAATACTAAATGCTGGCAAAAGCTCTGTTTGTGATCTGACTTGTGATTGACTTGTGATCAACTTATAACTTGTGATCATTAAAATGTGGCTATCTGTGGCCATCTGTATGCAGCATTTCTCCCCTTAAAATTGTGGCTTGAATGCAAGTGTCTGAGGGAAGACCACATTTTGTTTAACTGTTGAAGTTCTTTAGGTTAAATCAAAATGCACATAGGGAAACTTGTATTATCTGTTTAACTATCCTTGGACTACCCCTTCCACCAACTATAAAGGGAACAACGAGTGCATTTGAGGCTAAAGTCTGTTCCTAATGTTCCCTCACAGACCTCATTGTACCTGTATTCTAACCGACCAGTTAGTGAAAAGGAAACTGGATCCATATAAAAGTTGCTGGTCAGTTTTTATTGTGTACCCCCAAAAATATTAGTGGACTTATGCGTTGCAGGGACCTCAGATATTACAGTAACAATGACTGCACAAAAGGCTTACTCATGCCTAGCCAAGGGATGCAAATGCACTGCCCTCTAGCTCCACCTTAACGCATAAGGTCTATACTGGCTTTGATGTTTTGTATTTGACATGTAGCACCGAGGGATTTTAGTTTGCTTAAGTAAAAGCAGGTAAAAGTGTTCACTGAAAGTGACTGCCTTACTCGTAAAAGTGTGTGAGATACTGATTGTATTTTTGTTGGGGGGGGGGGGAGTTTCTCTGATAACACACCTTCAAAACAGGTTGAGGGAAAATTTGAAAAATATTAACATTATAAGATGGGTTGTCGGGTTGATGGTGTGTACAGTTACGCGATGGGTAAAAGTCATATAGAAATTTAAGAAATCTCAAAGTCAACAATTACAGTGGAGAGACTCGGACATCATCCCATCAAACGGACATGCACTGCAATACCGTAAAAAAAAAAATCTCTCTTTACTGTATAAAAGAAATAGAATTAGGCGTACCTCTGCCCCAGTTTACTTGCACCCTATTTTCAATCCTGTGAAAAGTATTTTGGGCCATAAATGTATCTCCTTGACGTATTTAAACAACCCCAAAAAGTGTTTTTGTTTGTTATTCTTTTTTGAAAAAGTTTGACTACATCGTAAAGAACAGTTCAGGCAAATGTCATGTTATCTTTTGTTATTTAATTTTGTTAAATATGTAATTCATTTTGTGGAGTAATTTTGAGTGAAGCCAATTGAGAAACGGTCAAGTTAGTGTTGCCTGTTTTTCAAGTCATTTCATTAATAACCTGTATACACGCAAAGGTTTTGCGGTATTCGGAACAGATGACGGATAAACACGCAACGAGCAAGGCCGGAAATATCTGTCAGCGACCCGCTCGCAGCGAGCGAGGCCAGAAATATCAGGGTGTGCTACCCGCAGATGATGGCCTGAACCCGTCTGGCATCGAGGTTCGTGAAAAACAATCTCGCGCCTTGGTCCGGTCACTGTCAAAATAATCCCAGCGCGAACTGGTTAAGCAAGCACAATGGATAAACCTGGTCTGCCTGGGAAAACCCCCCAGCAAATTACCAACTTAACTGTTAAATCACTGCATTCATTTTCAAGGGTAGAGTTTTATACATTCCACGAATGACATGCTAGATTTTTTTTTAGCACAGTGATCTGCTTCCCCCAATTTCAACTTGGTCTTGTGCCCAGTATTGTATGCACACTTTAAATGCAGCAGTTTATTAAGCAGGCAGTTACCACACCTCTATGAATCTGTGAACTTTGACCTCTGTATATTGTCAGTGAAAACGTGTGCATTATACATTGTATTTAATTGCCTATCCTCGAACATATGTGTCAACATTAAAAGCCACAATATCGCTGACGTATATACCTAACGTTGCTCTTATTTAACGAAGGCTAGCTATTTTTGTTTTGTTTAGTATTTTGTTTGTTTTCTTCTGATTACGAATCAATTAATAATGGTATGTAATAAATGACAGGTACCTGCTGACAAATTGTGTTGGTTAAATTTGATTTTCTTTATTTGTTTTGTTTGCTTTTAAATCCCATGGAAAAGTTCAGAATTTGTTATTTAATGTTTTTGTTTTTGAGGAGTATACAACACATTTCCTTTATAAGACCATTAAAACAACCTAAAAACGTTTAAAGTCAAACACGGCCTGCTACAACTGATAATGTAGTAACCAATGCGTAATGCATCACTAACCGATTGTGTCACAAAAATTAACCGATATTGTATCACTAACCGATAATGCAACTCATATTGACCGATAGTGTAATAAAATTTACTTCACTGTTGATTGATGCTCCTCTTGCCTTTTAAAAGAATTTCTGCATAGTTTGAAGAAAATTCATTTTTTTGGCCAAATTTCATCAAAAAAGTAAGGCTAATAGTTTAACATTCGGGATTCACAACTGTGACCTTATGCGCCGCGCGACCTGTTCACGAAATAAAAACAGTATTATGAGGACCTTTAGTTACGTGTTTTTGATTTAAACTCTCACCATATATGCTCGGTATTGCTCCCGGCCCGGTGCATGGGAAAAACATGCCCAAAAGAACAAAGGATAGAATGTATACTTTTGAAGCACGTGTGGAATGCGCGCGCGCCTTCGATAGTAGAGGGCGATAGCAACTAAAAGGCTTCATCATCATCATTTTATGCAGCAGCGCAGCCTGAGCTATTATGTATGCCAGGGCGTACGTGGAGAGCCGTGGACTATTGATAGACAAGATCATGGATGAACCATGTTTTACGCCTGTTCTGCAACTTCTTCGTAATTCGGGCAACCTGAAAGGCAGATGGCTTCACCAAGGTAAGAAGCAAACAGTTTTTGGTCTAAAAATATTCAAACTAAGGAAAAAAATATGAAAATAACGTTGAACAGCATCCAAACTTAGTTTGATTTCGGGTTCGCGTGGATTTCTTATGCTTAAACCGCCATTGTTTTGTCTGCCTTGAACTGAAGTTGCAGCCAAACGCATGTCTGTATCAAAGAAAACATTCAAACTGAAATTAGATAAATAGCCTATCTAATCATAATCATACTGATAATCACATTCTATATGAGTCAGAAACTTAGTGCGCGCTTTCCAAGGACACGGTTTTCATAGCATTACAGGCACACTCGCGCAAAATGTGGTTCGGCAGCCTTCTGTACAAAAACCTCGTTGGCTCGGGGTTTTGTGCGTGAACCTTATCAGTCAGCCACTCATGCTCAGTTGACTTCATAAGGAATAAGTTAACCATGTTAAGGCCAAAAAAAAAAATTCGGTCTCTGGTCAGACAAAGTTCCGGATTTGACGCGGCGATGCGGCTTTGTTTTTTTTTCTATTTTTTTCTTCAAGCTTGGATTGTACAGACAAGGGGTACTATTTTGCTTTTTGGTGTCTTCATGTATATTAGTGTCCTCCATAATTTGCTTTGGTGCTCTCGATCATTTGCCTTGGTGCAATTTCCCATTCCTCGGTGCTCTTTGGTAAAAAAAAATTGAGGAGGTGCGGCAATAGAGGGCGCTGTTGGAGCTACCGCGGAACATTTTGAGAAAAAAAAATTGACGCGCATGATTAAAATCGACGCGCGCGCTGACCAGAGACCGACTTTTTTTTTTTTTTTTTGCCTAATCGGACCATTTTTTCCCAAGAGTGTGTCTCTAATGGTGTATGACGTTTTCGGCGAACCGGATTAATGGACCGATCCAGTAAACCCCGCCCACTGCGCACTGGGCAAATTAACACGTGTTCCTATCCAATGCGTGCACTACATTTTCTTGCCGCGCGCATCATACGCGCGTGACTTTTGTGCGAGCACGTCGGACATAATAAGTCACGGCTGTGATTGGTCAGAACACCATGGGGCGGTGCTTACTGGATCGGTCAATCATATATAGTCCACCCACACACCGTATACCTTTATTAGAAAAAACTCTGTTTATTTCGTTGCATTCCCGATGATCATTATCGTACACCACCATACATTTATCGTGAATTTCATGTCGCAAAAAAAATGATGTTGTAGAACTTCAATGTCTAGCAAAAATTGCGATCATCGCCAGTGTCGTGAAATAAATTATTTAGTACGTCTTAGTTGTCCCAAGTCGGGCCCAGGGGCGGCGAAACCGGGGTAACAGTAAACACTCCACCCCCCCCCCCCAGATTTTCCCAAGTGCCCCTCCTGCGGACATAAATGTACCCCCCTTGCGCATAAAATGTGCCGGCCCCCTAGCTCGAGATAAAAACAAAACTGGCTCTAAAATTTCGGATAATTTGTTTTCCCAAAATGGTATAGCCTGAGAGTTCTGATATGAGCGGGGAATATGAAAACCCGAGCCCTTAAACCTCTACAATGGGCCTTGAAAATGGGCACATTATCAATTTCAATCGGAAATACGTCAAGCACCAAGCATTGGAATTTTCAAGTCAGAATTTCTGTCTCCCATAGATGACATCATCAGGGGGCCCACTTTGTTGGGGAATGGATAGGTCGATACACAATTTGGTTGAGGACTGTGTTTATCGTGACCGTTTATTCCACAACAATATTTTAATACACATTGATTGATTGAACTGGTTACAGTGAACTGAGACAAAGAGAACTGGGTGAACTGAAATAGACTAGAATAGAAATGGAACAGAATTGGAATTGAAACAGAATTGAAACAGAATGAGATACTGCTATTGGAGCAGCACTTATATACTGATGGAAACAGGAGGTCTTGAGAATAAGAAATACTTAAGAATGGGGAAACTTAGTCACATCGTGGTTTCCTTGAGTCTCAAAAAAATGACTAGGAATGAGTAATATAGTTCCTTAAAACTATGATCTTGAAAGTAACTTGGTTGTACTAAGAAACTGACCAAAGACTTGTGTGTGGGCAGTGAAGGTCATTTGCTCTGTATCAAAGTAAAGGGACTACACATTGCATAGGCACTGTGTGGGTGTATGTGTATACAAGGAAAACAATGCGTGATGCATCCAAGAGAATTAATCATTAACAAATTCAAAAGGAACATTGATAATTAAAGTGTGATAATTAACTAACAATTAAGACGAATTGATAATTGAGAACTTATCATCTGAAAACGCTACAACTTCATGTAAATATCTGCTCGGTCACCATGGCGTCTGCATATTACATCCCTACTAATGAGATTATGCATGCAGTATATTCCACCGGATACAGAACCAGAATAAAATGGCCGGTTTCGAAGAGCGCTCCAATTTTTGTAAACTTGGTACCAGCCCAGCCCCCCCCCCCCCTTTTGATTTTACGGAGGCCAAGTGTCCGTTGAAAAAAAAAGTCAACATCAAGTTCAGCACGGATGTGCGCCCCCCCCCCCCCCCTCCAAATGGATACGCTGCTACACCAACGGAAGATGCCTTTTATTGAGCAAGTGCCCCGGTGATGCGACTGTATCCGGTCAGTCCAAAAATTCAACCCCCAAAAGTGGGTGCAGTACATTTTGTTTTCGTCCTTCACAAATGTATTTAAACAGGCAATTGTTTTCAACTCATGTTGATCATTATGTAACTGTGCCACCCCTCTAAGTAAGTCTCGTGACCAAAAGGTAATCGCCCATCGGGATTACGTCATTAGCATTCTATTCGATTCTCATTTCTAACCCAGGCTTGTGCTGAATGCACATTATGCAAATAACGTGTTTTAGAAGATTTCCACTCAGACTCCAGCCCTATTGTTACATTCATGCCTGGCTGATCACCATGGTACAGCGACCTAGCGTGCACGGGCTTTATCTTAAGCTGTTGTTTCGGTGCTGGGCTAGGCCTTCATTACTGTCGTTGTGCTCCTCACGCTCACTGCGTGCAACTCATTACACTGTTCAAAATTATCATTTTGGCTCGGCATAAAATTGTTTATTCTAATTGAACGTGCACATTGTGTCCAATTTATATTGTATGAACAAAGACATCGTTACCACTTATTCCAAGATCAACACCAAGAGGGGCAATGTCTTCAAGAGTAGAAAGAGGTACGTTACATGTCTCTGATTAATGTACATGTGCATAAGGTGTATAAGCTCTGGTAAAAGTAGAGAGTTTTGTCACCTGAAACAGAGAACTCCTTAATTGCATTGGATGTTAAAAATAAAGTTTACATGGAAGATAAATTACAGCAGAATTAAGGTTGAACGAAAATGATTATTTTATTCAATAATAATGCAATGCCAACAGGAATTTGTCACGTGCAGTGACATTGTGTTCCCACGTGAGTTAATTTGCATATAGGAATTTATTAAATACGTGCAGTGACATTGCGTTCGCACGTGGAACAGTTGAAGGGTAGCATTCCAGTGGATTTTTTTTTTTCAAATTGTTGTCCCTGAATAATTAACTCGCTTATTTACACCAGTATTTTCAATGATAAACCTGTGACAGTGTCTCCTTCATTGTCACATTGACTTGCAGGTTTTATGTAACTCCCTTTCTGGAGAAGGTTAAAAGACGTTCTCCACCTTAGTCTCAGAAACTAAAAAATAAATTGAAACAATATAAAACCTAATCAACATTCTGGGCAAAACGTTGGTGTAAGTGATGCAAACAATTAATTAGGTTTTTGTAGGTCAAGTTGGGAGGACGGTGCAGACGCTGCAGGCGTGCATTATGCAGCATCCGCAAAGCAAAGCAGCTGCTGGATCTGTAGGAGTGTTAGGATAATGTTATAGGCATTTAAATTCGGCGAAATATTCTCATACGCGTTTAGAAACCTCCGCACCACGTTCTATCGCTTTTCCGTTCGACAAAAAGGCATATTCATACGTAATGTTCGGCAAACTCGTGGTTTTTTTTGGCTAAACCGGAGACGGTTTAATTGGTACGAAGACCGTGAAGGGACATGGGAGTTATTTGGGTTTTTTTCATAATACTATTACGTATGTGTAAGTGTCACGTACATACGTAACTCACGCACGTAATATTATCACGTACGTAGGTAATATAATCACGTAGGGCCCACGTGATAATTATTACGTACGTAGGGCCCACGTGATAATTATTAAGTGCGTATACACAACGTATACTCGTTTAAGGATACACGTATTATCACTTACATATGCAATACATGTACGTACGTAATATGTACTTATTTATCAGGTATGTACGCAATAATAATACTAATATTGCGTTAGTACGTAATATTATATTATCATGTACGTATGTGATAAATTAAATGTATCACGTACGTACGTTGTGATTGTCATGTGTAGGCCTATAGTAGTAGGCCCTAAATAAGAACAATAGGCCTATGTTCATCTCCTCTTGGTCTTCGTACCCACGTACCCGCGTATCCGCATATCCGCGTACCTGCGTAATCGCGCGATTTCGTGTACCATACTTCGAAGTGATAAAATCTAGGGAACTGTTTAGCAAAGTGCAATGAACAGTGTTAGGGAAAATGAAGCAAACGAAAATTAGGGAGCCAGCATAGCCCGCTGCGAGCATGCGCACATTGAGCCTGCACGCAGTGCGATGGGGATTTTATAAGTTTAAAAAAAAAAAAAAAAAAAAAGGACAAAAATAACACTAACTTTATGCAAACGAAAATCAAAATCAGTCTAATGAAAAACACTGTCCCCCTAAACTTGAAAGTACTGGTGTATTTCATTTTATTTTCGCTATTAAGAAACTTCACTCGCAAATTTATAGTCGGTTTTGAAATTGATTGAGAGTCATTTTGTGATATTTTATCGATCAACTGGAATGCTGCCCTCTATACGGACATTGGCTGGTACTTTGCTGAACTCAAAACAATAATTAAACAAAGTTAGTAAAACAACTACAGAAAGTGGCAATGCCTGGTGCGTTGTCCACCAACGACGATATAATTTCTTTATAATTGTATAAAATGTTTAAGAGCAAACAAGATTCATAAAATCTAGGCCATCGGCAATTGACAGTGACCATGCCTGGTGCAGTGTCACTTGTAAGGGGTATCCTCTTCGGTGCGTATTAGTAGCGCTGATTTCCAAGAGACCCCTTCCTTCAGAAGAACTTGAACATTAAAACTTAAACCATAACCATTTAACAAAAACACGGAAGGACGTTACTACCGTTATGTTTAGCCATACAGAGAAAACTGTTGGTTAATAATTAACACTCATTCCTAAATGAGCTCTCTGTTAAGGTGACATATACGCTCTTATAGTAACACTAAAAGGTCAAAAATCTGGGATTAACAGCGTCTGTAAAAGCGCCGCATTGTCTATACTTCGCTAGTCTGTGAGCAGTGAGGGCACAGTTGACAGTTGACCATAGTTTAATGATCGTAGTAAAATCAAAAGTCATAACTTTGGTTAATTATACTTTGCATAAATTTATATAAACGACATTTATATTCTGTGAAGAGCTTTATAGCTCGGATCGTTATTAAGTATTTAAAGATAAACTTATCTGTAAGTAAAAAAAATGCTTACAGAGAAAATGACTTTTGGGGGAAAAACTCAAAAGTAGATTGTATTTTGTTTCATTGTAAATGTTGCATGTTTGATTTTTTGCCTTTGTGTGCATTGCTCTCTGTGTGGTGTGATTTTTTTAATGGTATCCGTCTGTTGTCTCTGACAATAGACAAAATTAAAGCAATTTAAATCAAATTAATTGTTGCGGCTACGAAAATGTCAAATCGTTAAGCAAAATCGAAGCAGATGTTGAAAAGATTAGTGTTATAAGTGTTGAAAAGTGTTATGTTTTTCTCAACTGCAATACGTCGGTTAAAAAATGTTACGGTTTTGAAGAGGCAAACCTCAAATTGACGAAAATACGAAATCAACTTTAATTTGTTAGGCAGTATTGGAATAAATAATACCTACCCGGAGATTTACTTGACTACGCGTATGACGAAAACTGAAAACAAAATTCAAATCGGTGCAAAATAAATGGTAGCGAAAATCACATCGTAAACGAATTTGTTTTCCGAAAAACAAATCACTCCGCTTTCTACGTGTAGGCCTACACGCTAGGAAAATGATGAAAATTACGCGAGGAAAACATCACAGCGTTAGTGAGAGTAAAAATACCCGAAATCAGTATTATTGTTCTTGCCACAAAGTAAACAAAATGGATTATGGAAATAACAAATCAAAATGACGAAAATAACGGCATAAAAATTAATCATCGGCAACGAGAGAAGTAAATACAAGTGTTTTCGGAAAGCGAATTTCGGCAAACGGTGGGAAAATGACAGTGGGAAAATGACGGCAGCAAAAGAAAGTGAAATTGACGAAATTACGAGAAAAAACTCACACCATAATGATTAAAATATCTGTTTAGAAAATGACTGAATTTCAGTTATAAACAGCGGCATTTCAAAAACATCAAAATTGTTGGCATTGTCGGGAAGTGCCTTCAAAAAGACCTAATTGCCCCCCCCCCCCACCAAAAAAGTACATTGTGAAAGGGTACAACTTATTGGCAACCTGCCGTTATCGGTGTCGGCACATGTTCGTGTGCATTATGACAAAAAGATCATGTCTGTTTTTAAAAGTAAATAGTGGAAACATGGGTAGAATCGTTTAGTTTCTATTTGGTAACAAGTGGCTTTATTACAAGTAGGCTTAGACATAATGCTTTGGAATGTTCACTTCAGTAACAAATGGGCTAGGCCCAGTGTTTTCGTAACCCTGTTCACTTAGGAAAGAGTTGCAGCTTTCATCAAAGAAACTGATGATCTAAAAGTTGAGACTGCATGGATGAGCTAGGCTGCTTTGTTTGGACGAAAATAAACCCTCCAAGGCTCCAACTGCCTCGTCAAACAGAAACTCGAGGAACCGGAAGCAGGGAGGAGGACCGACAGATGAACGGATGACCTGCTTGCTGTGCTACCCATTACTGATTCTTGAGGTTAGTTTACATGCTGGCCTCCTCTTGGCGGAATCAATCAAGTCAAAGAACTCATCAAAATGGGCGATCTGACTCTGTTATAATGTTCTTCCACAAACAACGAGTAGTGGGAGCGGGCTTTGCTTTGTGGGGTTAATTCAATGTTTTCTTTCCCCTTTCTAGCCCTGGCACGAATACAGCTCAATAATTCAAATGTGTTCTTTCGTATCCTTTCAGAAAAATGAAGACCACTGACTGTTGAGGGAATTGCTTCACTGAGATTGATGAGCCTGCCTCAAGACATCGTCAGGGCTCCAACAGCCTTATCACACAGAAACTCGAGGAACCGGAAGCGGGGAGGAGGACCGACAGATGAACGGATGACCTGCTTGCTGGGCTTCCCATTACTGACTATCGGGTTTGTATACATGTAGCCTACTTAAACAGAAACAATAAAGAATTAATCAAAATGGGCGATCTGGCGCTCTTCTATGTTCGTCCACAAACGACGAGTTCTGGTAGCGGGGCTTTGCTTTGTGGGGTTATTCAATGTTATCTTACCACTTTCTAGCCCTTGCACAATTACAGCTCAATAGATCAAATGTTTTCTTTCGTCAATTGAATCCTTTCAGAAAAATGAGGTCCACTGACTGATGAGGGAATTGCTCTACTGGGATTGATGAGCCTACCTCACGACATCGTCAGGGCGCCAACAGCCTCATCAAACAGAAACATGAGGAACTGGAAGCAGGGAGGAGGACCGACAGATGAACGGATGACCTGCTTGCTGGGCTTCCCATTCCTGATTATTAGGTTAGTTTACATGTAAGCCTCCTCTTAACAGGAACAATCAAGTTACAGAACTAATTTAAATGGGCGATCTGACTCTGTTATTTTGTTCTACTACAAACGAGTTCTGGTAGCAGGGCTTTGCTTTGTGCGGTTAATTCAATGGGTTTTTTCCCCTTTCGAGCCCTGGCACGAATACAACTCAAAAATTCAAATGTTTCCTTTCGTTATTTGAATCCTTTCACCAAAGTGAGGACCACTGACTGATGAGGGAATTGCTCTACTGAGATGAGGATGAGCCTGCCTCAAGACATCTTCAGGGCTCCGACAGCCTCATCAAACAGAAACCCAAGGAACCGGAAGCAGGGAGGAGGAGCGACAGATGAACGGATGACCTGCTTGCTGGGCTTCCCATTACTGACTATCAGGTTTGTATACATGTAGCCTACTTAAACAGAAACAATCAAGAACTAATCAAAATGGGCGATCTGGCACTCTTCTATGTTCGTCCACAAACAACGAGTTCTGGTAGCAGGGCTTTGCTTTGTGGGGTTATTCAATGTTATCTTTCCCCTTCTAGCCCTTGCACAATTACAGCTAAATAAATCAAATGTTTTCTTTCGTCATTTGAATCCTTTCAGAAAAATGAGGTCCACTGACTGATGAGGGAATTGCTTTACTGAGATTGATGAGCCTGCCTCAAGACATCGTCAGGGCTCCAACAGCCTCATCAAACAGAAACGTGAGGAACCGGAAGCAGGGAGGAGGACCGACAGATGAACGGATGACCTGCTTGCTGGGCTTCCCATTCCTGATTATTAGGTTAGTTTACATGTAAGCCTCCTCTTAACAGGAACAATCAAGTCACAGAACTAATTTAAATGGGCGATCTGACTCTGTTATTTTGTTCTACTACAAACGAGTTCTGGTAGCAGGGCTTTGCTTTTTGCGGTTAATTCAATGTTTTTTCTGTCCCCTTTCGAGCCCTGGCACGAATACAACTCAAAAATTCAAATGTTTCCTTTCGTTATTTGAATCCTTTCGCCAAAGTGAGGACCACTGACTGATGAGGGAATTGCTCTATACTGAGATGAGGATGAGCCTGCCTCAAGACATCTTCAGGGCTCCGACAGCCTCATCAAACAGAAACCCAAGGAACCGGAAGCAGGGAGGAGGACCGACTGATGAACGGATGACCTGCTTGCTGGGCTTCCCATTACTAATTCTTGAGGTTAGTATTTAGTTACATGTACCTAAAGAATAAGCAGAAATCTTATCAAAATGGGTGAATTGGCGCTCTTCTATGTTCTCCCACAAAAGAGTGCTGGTAATGGGGCACTGCTTTTCAGGGTTAATTCGAACATTTCTTTCCCCCCCCCCTCTTGCTCCTACCTTTCAGATATTTCTTAATAATTCGGATATTTTCTTTCGTCATTTGAATCTTTTTACAGACATGAGGACCACTGACTGGTGAGGGAATTGCCCTATGATGGATGAACCTGCCTCAAGCTGCCATAAGCTGGGAGGACCGACGGTTGACTGACTCTGCCTGCTTGGTTGGCCATTACCGATTCTTGAGGTGGGTTTACTTGAAAAGAGACCAGGGATATGTAGGCCTACACTTAAATTTGTTATTCCTTTAATACTATGTCACCTCTTACGATGCTTGATTTCCTCTTTAAATATCAATTCTAAATTATGCTAGTTTACTCTTTTTGACATGTTTTAGATGATGAGGACCGCCAAGCTTGGATGAGACTGGAAAATTACGAAGCTGCTCTATCTGGACAAGGATGCCCTCATCAGACACTTTCCAATTTGTGGAATATTGGATCCAAAGTCAGACTGCATATTATTTTGCATTATTATAAAACATAAAAACGACGAAAATACGAATTCTTACGTCAAAGTTACCGCTATAATTGGAAGAAATAATAGCTTAAATCACTGTTACTTGTTAACTTTACTGAGATACCTATACCTGAAATATTTGACAACGAGTACGACGAAAATTGAAGAAAAAAAGTCAAATGTGTGTAAAATACATTGCTGTGAAAATCAAATCATGAGCGGATTTTCTTCTCACAGAAATGCTTCTCCGCTTCCAACAAGTGGCTGAGAAAATGATGAAATTTACGCCGAAAATAACTAAAATCAGTGTTGTTTTTACCTTTACTGCGATACCTACCCGAAATATTTGATTAAACGCGTGTGACGAAACGTGGAAACAAAAATCAAATCAGTCCAAATTAAATTACAACGAAAATCACATAGTACGTGGAGTTTCTTCTTGCAGCACGGCACTCTGTTTCTACAGGCAGCTACAGGAAAATTACGAAAATTACACCGAAAATCTACGCGGCATATAAGTGAAGTGACGAAACATAGTTTACACGGCTAAAAAATCACAGCGTTAGTGAGAGAAATAATACTTGATATCAGTGTTATTTTTCTTACCTACAAAGTAAAAAAAAATCGATTGCGGAAGAATGAAATTAAAGAGACGAAAATTACGGTAAAAAATTAACAGCAGCAGCGAAAGAAATAAATATTTGAAATCGGTAACATATACGCTCTTACAGTAACACTAAAAGGTAAAAAAATCTGGGATTAACAGCGTCTGTAAAAGCGCCGCATTGTCTATACTTCGCTAGTCTGTGAGCAGTGAGGGCACATTTGACAGTTGACCATATTCTAATGATCGTAGTAAAATCAAAAGTCATAACTTTGGTTAATTATACTTTGCATAAATTTATATAAAAGACATTTTTATTCTGTAAAGAGCTTTTAAGCTCGGATCATTATTAAGTATTTAAAGATAAACTTGTGAGTAATCTGTGAGTAAAAAAATGCTTACGGAGAGAATGACTTTTTTCATTGTAAATGTTGCATGTTTGATTTTTTGCCTTTGTGTGCATTGCTCTCTGTGTGGTGTGATTTTTTTTAATGGTATCCGTCTGTTGTCTCTGACAATAGACAAAATTTAAAAAAATTCAATCAAATTAATTGTTGCGGCTACGAAAATGTCAAATCGTTAAGAAAAATCGAAGCAGATGTTGAAAAGAATAAGTGTTATAAGTGTTGAAAAGTGTTATTTTTTTCAACTGCAATACGTTGGGCAAAAAATGTTACGGTTTTGAAGAGGCAAACCTCAAATTGACGAAAATACGAAATCAACTTTAAAATGTTAGGCAGTATTGGAATAAATAATACCTACCCGGATATTTACTTGACTATGCGTATGACGAAAACTGAAAACAAAATTCAAATCGGTGCAAAATAAATGGTAGCGAAAATCACATCGTAAGCGAATTTTTTTTCCCAAAAAAAATCACTCCGCTTTCTACGTGTAGGCCTACACGCTAGGAAAATGATGAAAATAACGCGAGGAAAACATCACAGCGTTAGTGAGAGTAAAAATCAGTGTTATTTTTCTTGCCACAAAGTAAACAAAATGGGTAATGGAAATAACAAATCAAAATGACGAAAATAACGGCATAAAAATTAATCATCCGCAACGAGAGAAGTAAATACAAGTAATTTTCTAAACTTCTAGGCCCTATGTCATGCAAAAATTTGCTAAGGAAAAATGACCGAAATAATGTCAACAAAAAACTTTCAAATTGTAATCGGCAGCCACTTCCGGTATGGTACTACACTGCTTAAAAAAGTCGGAAAGCGAATTTTGATAAATGGTGGGGAAAATGACGGCAGAAAAAAGGTAAAAAAAATGACCGAAATCAAGGAAAATCTCCATTATATCGATGTAAAGAAAATGACTGAATTTCAATTAAAGCAACAATGTTAAAGGCATTTCCCCCGAGTTCTAGGCCTACACCACATCTTTTAAGTATTATTCGTCAGCAAAAATAATAGCAATTTGTGACATTGTCAAGAAGTTTGCCTTCAAAAAAGCCAGAAATAGCCAGGTTATGCATGTGAAAGGGTACAACTTAAGTATAATCAACTAAGCAATAGGGAAAGTGGCTGTATAAGACATGCGACATATTTACTATCGCATACGACATTTCTTCGTGTTTTTGTAAATGTTTAAACTTAATCTACATCATTTATGTGAGTCCGATTTGGAAAGATCGGCAGGGATACATGTTTTCATCGAGTATTTATTTCTCCTTCGAGTTACTCATTTGGTTGTCTTACTTTGACATTGATAACGTATTAGGCCGACAGTGCTGTTTTATTGAAGGGGAGAACACGAAAACCATAACGGAAAAAGCGTTGCAGTAGTTAAAGAGATCGGTCTAATATAGACTTTCACGATCAAATCTTTGTGGGCTACAAAAGAAAGCATTTCAAGATATGCGACAGGTTTAGAGTTACATAGAAAACTACTATTTCCTTGTTGATTTTAGCCTACGTGTAACCCTCCTTCCGTATAGTACCGTGTTCAATGTAAATCCGATTTGGAAGGGATCGGCAAGGATTAAGATGGCATTTTGTCATCTTAATGTCACGTGAATTTCTTTTAATGGTTGTTTATAGTGTGCGAGTTATATACAGTTTCCAAAGCAATCTGCCATTATCAGCGTCGGCACATTATGACAAAGTAATCTGTCTGTTTTAAAAAGGAAATAATGTAAACATGGGTAGAATCGTTTGGTTTCCATTGGATCCTACCCATGACCTGGTTATAGGTAGGCTTAGACATAATTATTGGCTACATTTGCAATGTTTCACTTCAGTAACAAATGGGCTAGGCCCAGTGTTTTCGTAACCCTGTCCACTTAGGAAAGAGTTGCTGCTTTCATCAAAGAAACTGATGATCTAAAAGTTGAGACAGACTGGATGAGCTAGGCTGCTTTGTCTGGACGAAAATGAACCCTCCAAGGCTCCAACAGCCTCATCACACAGAAACTCGAGGAACCGAAAAAAACCCAGCTTGCACAATATGAAATGATAAATCAGACTGCATAATGCAACGTCATTAATGTTATACACTAAGGCAACAACACTAAAATAAAGTGAAAAGTAATTTTGATTTCATTAATTTATTTATGCCTCTAAAATAATCTTAAACCGGATACTGCAACAGACAGTTAATAATGGACAATACTGGAAACTTGCTGAAAAAATTATTGTAAGGGTAATAATTTGTCACTGGCTTTTTAGCAGTGACATGTGAGAAGGGATGTTCCTTTGATCTGTCCTGGGTCATCCAAAATTATTGCATCAATCAGTTAATAATTTTATACTCCTTACCTTTAATGCATTCAATTGGATCTTCTCGGTAAATTATAAACGAGGTATCGCCTAAGGCTTTCTATTTGCTTTTTGTTCAGTTGACAATGGAGAATTTTGCTCTATCAATTTAATTTGATATTAAAAGTGCATTTTTAAGAAAGCCAATTTAAGTCATAAGAGTTTTGAAAGATACCAAAAAGGATTAATTTATTGTTTAAAAACTGAAGAAATGTAACAAACTTTATTTAAATGTAACGTCTTTAACAAGACGTCGGCTTAACTAAAACGTGACTTTCTGTCCATTGTATATTTATTAGAAAACACGAACGTTTAATTTTTAGGAAAATTTAAAGAATAAACTGTTCAGGAACTTCCATCCATTAAAATGCATTGCAACAGGTATAAGTGACACTCAAATTACACTTGTGTTTGTCCTTTTGTGATTTATTTCATTGCACTTTTTTCACTTGTTATATTTTTTTTTTACTTCGTATGCACAATTGTTTTTCTTGGTGGTTTTGCATGTCTTTTCATTTTCTTATTAATAATTAACTAACCTCACAAAAGGATAAACGCAATATATATCGAGTGTTGAACTTACCTCGCGTCAAATATTTTTTTACATAATAGCTAAATTAGACAAAATATAGTCCTGAAATGTTTCAAAATAATCTAGGAATTTTTTTTGGTAGGGGGAGGGGGCAATTCTAAGTTTTATCTTCCCTTTTAAAATCTTATTCACAAAATGGTGAAATACAAAAACCTGGCTTTACCGTGTACAGTCATGTAGTCGTTGCTTATGTAATAATCATCTATGATATAAAGCGATTATTAATTTCTCAAATGTATTGGCCTTCTGCCCAACTTTTTTCCTCATTTGGAATCGTATTTGTTTGTATGAATTGGTTTAAATATTTGTATGTCAAAAAGACTAAGGAATTAAACAAAATAAATAAAACTTGAAAGATGTGAGACATTAATTTCATATCCTTGGAAAGTTGTCAGTATTTTGCCTATTTTTGTTTTAGTTGTTGGTGGGGGAGGTCAAGCTACAACAAAAGTAACAAAACCCAGCTGAAATGACGTTTTATTATTTCTGGGTGATTGGGGGCGGGGTGCGCACATAAAGGCACGTCAGGGAATATAAAATAATTAGGTGTTTTTGTAAGGGAAATCTTCACTAGTACTCTTAAACGGAAATTAAAAAATCTCCTAGGTTCCTAGGGTCTACCTTTTAAGATTGTCCAATAAAAAGGCCCGAATTTGCATACGCCGGCCAAATCAAAATTTGCATGCCCCCATGGGCTTTTAAAAAGAACTTTTGCAAATGGGAAAGACACTTTGGAAACGTCCAATCAGTTTGAATATGCTTCATGAATGTCTGAATAAACAGCACATTTTTAAACAGTAGTTAATTACTATCATTTTTCGATGTGGCGGTGTGTGTGTGTGGGTGTGTGTGTGGGGGGGGGGGCTGGGGGCTGGGGGCTGGGGGCTGGGGGCTGGGGGCTGGGGGCTGGGGGCTGGGGGGGGGGGCTAGACAGAAGTGGCGCAATAAAACCGACAGCGGGCGCAATAATTTTGATAAGGGTTTCGCAAATTTCTACGCGAGTCGTTAATTTGTGCAAAAAGTGCACCCAGGAATAGAATAAGGAATAAGATAATCGGACCATTTTTTCCAAGAGTGTGCCTCTAATGAGCATATTCAGTCGGCTCCCGTTATAACGAGGTCCGATGGACTTTCACAATACTGTCGTTATAGCCGGAACCTCGCTTAAACCGGAGCGCAGTTTTCCCCATTCGTTGTGCACAAGGTACGGTACATGTTCGTGCGTGTTTTAATCGTGTAACGCACGTCCGAAGACATGAAAAGATGGTCATTTGTTGGTATGTACGTCTGTTAATAATGTATATTAAATATTTAACTGATGGTGATGAAGAAATGAAATAAAAAAAAAAATACCTTCAAGGGAACATTGTTCAATATTTGAGGACCTGAATCCGGAGGAAAAGGCATCATCGCTGAGAAGAATCAGGCAAGTAGGTCACTCGCACAAATCGTGCCGAGTGACATTTTGCTTTCATTTTTTTGCATGTGCTGGAATTGGGCAAGATAGGGCGCCAATACATGCATTACTTCCGGGTTTTAATGACTCCTGATCCTTAGATGCCTTTTGGTTGTTAGATATAATTGT